TATATATATATATATATATATATATATATACACACACCGCATTTTTCGACGTATAAGACGACCCCCAACTTTTCCTGTTAAAATATAGAGTTTGGGATATACTCGCCGTATAAGACTACCCCTCTTCCAATGCACACCAAATAAAAATTAGCCATGATGTACAGTGAGCAGACAGAGCTACACAGACAAGACATTAAATAATGATAATCTGAAATAGCATTTAAAGCCCAGGTATGTGCCAGGCTGTTTGGGCATATAATCCATGCTTGCTGGTCTAGCACACAGGAGGCTAATTGCGATATATTATTTTTACTCCCCCTCCCCCCCCCCCATTCTTTTTACTCAGTGTGCACTTCTTTTTAGTCCGGCCGGGAACAGGTAACTGAATCTCCTGTACCGCGCGGTACCCGGCCGGACTGACAGGACGAAGAGGAGCTCGCCACCCACTCTGCACAGGGAAGGGGAGGTGAGAAGAGAGGCAGTGCGGCAGCCGTCTGAGCGCTCTCTATAGAGCGCTCAGGCGGCTGCAGCATTAGAAGGGCCGGCGATGGGGGCGCAGGGCGCCCCCGTCAGCTATATAGACCCTATACCCGGCGTATAAGACGACCCCCAATTTGGAGAAGATTTTTCCAGGGTTAAAAAGTCATCTTATACGCCAGAAAATACCGTATATAAAAATAAATTAAAATGTAAAAATAATTTTTAATAATTTGAAAAATATTATATATATATATATATATATCTATTATATATCTATATCCATTGTATATATGTGTGTGTGTATATATGTGTGTATATATGCGTGTATGTGTTTATATATGTTTGTGTGTGTGCGTGTAATTTTATTCGAACGGTATTTTGATATTTATATATATATATATATATATATATATATATATATATATATATATATATATATATATATATATATATATATATATATATATATATTTATATCAAAATACACTTAGAAGGAAATTATATATATATCTGTATAAAAAATAAAAATACGAAATATACATGTCATACATAATTACATAAATAGTTTCATAAATATACACGTAGACTTCAAATATATAAATATGTATATATATTTAACACTAGAGGTTTTAGCTAACAGAATCAGAAATAATGAAAAGATTAAGGGTGTTACAGCAAAACAGAAAGAAATGAAAATATCCCTTTATGCCGATGATACTATTCTTTTTTTGAAATCATCAAGATCAATAACAAATGCAATGTCAGAAATTGATATATATAGTGCAGTATCAAATTATAAATTAAATAAAACAAAATCAACTGCCATATATATGAATATGACAAAGCAAGAAATAGATTCTTATCAAGAAACATATGGTTTTATTAAAGCCAAAACGTTTTTGTATTTGGGAATCAAAATTTGCAGAAAGGTAGAAAGTATTATGAGAATAAATTTTATGGATCTCCTTAAAGAGACTAATAAGAATTTGAAAGAATGGAGAAAACTAGAAGTATCTTGGGGAGGAAGAATAAATATTCTGAAATCATATGTTCTACCAAAATGGATATACTTGTTCAGAATGCTTCCGTTAGAAATTCCGAATGCATGGCTGACAATGATTAATAAGGCTTTTTCGGATTTTGTATGGCGAGGAAAAAAACCCAGAGTTAAAAATGGAGTTTTAGCAAGAGGAATAAAGAAGGGAGGTCTATGATTTCCAAATATAAGAAAATATTATGAAGCAGGAATTATTACGCATGTTATGGCTAGTCAACTGATTCAAAACAAAGAGGAAGTATGGTGGTGGTTGGAATTAGATTATAGCCAACTAAGAAGTAAATTAGAAGTCGTCTGGAGTACAAAAAACATAATCTGCCCAGATCATATGTTTTAGGACAGATTATTCCTATTTGGCAAAAAATAAGGAAAAAAATAGGTTTGGTAAATAAGATATTTGGCTTTCAAAATTTAGAAATAATAGAATTAAATGTGGAGAGTATATCCTTAAAATTATGGAAAGAAAAAGGAATAAATACTTTGGAGGATCTATTTGAAGGAAATAAAATTAAATCTTATAAAAAGTTAGTTGAGGAATTTAAGTTCCCTGACAAAGATATTTTTACTTATTATAGAGTAAAACATTACTTGGAGAAAGTTGAGGTAGTAAAAGAAGGTAAGATGTATGCTATTTTAAAAACAATCTTACATCAGAATAAGACAAAGCAATTGTTCTCCAGATGTGTTAGATTGTTGGATTTAATGGATGATTCTGTTCTGCCCACTAGCATTAAAAAATGGAACACTGAATTAAAAATAAATATTGAATTATTTGAATGGCTATGTATGGCACAAAAAATTAACAAATGTCCACTCCTTTGTATTGATAGAAACACATTTTAAGTTGGTTAATCAATGGTATATGACGCCAACAAAAATAGCTAAATTTGATGTATCAAGGGATATTAAATGTTGGAAATGTAGGGAGGAAAAGGGAAATTATATCCATATGTGGTGGTCATGTAAGCAAGTGATTGTTATATGGCGGTGGGCTCAAATTATCATTCATACATTATGTGATGTTAAAATGCCTTTAAAACCTGAAGTAATGTTATTACATTATAAATGGCCAAAATTGAATAAAATAAATCAATTCTTAATTATTCATTGTCTAATGGCATGTAAAATAATAATAGCAAGAAATTGGAAGGGAGATATCCCCTTTAACATAAAATTAATAACAATTCAGTTGGTTTACCAACTAAAAATGGAGAAAGATCATTGCAAACTTTTGAGGGATGATTTGAGCCTATGGGAAAAATTGGAGAAAAAATTATTACAACTGTAAAAGGAATGTCATTTGAAAAAGTTGGAAAAAGTTTGAAGTCTGTAGAACTCCGTGGGGTGGTGGAAAGTTTTTTTTGTGTTTTTTTTTTGTTTTTGTTTTTTTTCTTTTCTTTATCTGTTTTTATGTGGATGAATGTATTTTAATTATTCTTTTGTAAAATGTATTTATGGTGGAAAACTGCTAATAAAAAGACAATAAAAAAAAAAAAAAAAAAAATTTTACGTGCATATTTATGTAATATTATTGCATTATTAAGTCATTTTATTGATTGCAATTTGAGTAACATGCCTGGCAACCCAGGCCGAAGGTCCAGAGAATCTAATTTGTTAGCACTATGTTTAACCCTGTAACTTTCTATGACACCCTAAAACCTGTACATGGTAGGTACTGTTTTACTCGGGAGACTTCGCTGAACACAAAAATTAGTCTTTCAAAACAGTAAACCATATCACAGCGATGATATGGTAAGTGAAAGTGACGGTTTTTTGCATTTTTCAGACACAAACGGCACTTTCACTGAAGATATTTATGTGATAGGTTTTACTGTTCTGAAACACTATTATTTGTGTTCAGCGAAGTCTACTGAGCATAACAGTACCCCTCATGTAGACGTTTTATAGTGCTTTTGAAAGTTACAGGGTCAAATATAAGGGTTAATTTTTTTCTTTGAAATTTGTCAGATTGATAAAGTTGCCTTTGAGAGTGTATGGTAGCCCAGGAATGAGAATTACCCCCATGATGGCATACCATTTGCAAAAGAAGACAACCCAAGGTATTGCAAATGGGGTACGTTCAGCCTTTTTAAGTAGCCACTTAGTCACAAACACTGACCAAAGTTAGCGTTTTTTTTGCATTTTTAACACAAAAACAAATATAAATGCTAACTTTGGCCAGTGTTTGTGACTAAGTGGCTACTAAAAAAGACTGGCCATACCCCATATTAAATACCTTGGGTTGTCTACTTTAAAAAAAATATGTACATGTGGGGTGTGATTTGGGGATTTATGACAGATAACAGTGTTACAATGTCACTATTGATAAATGTCAAATATATATATATTTAAAGAGCAATTTCCTACTTGTACTTATATCCCTATAACTTGCAAAAAAAAAGCGTGTAAACACTGGGTGTTTCTAAACTCAGGACAAAATTTTTAATCCATTTAGCAGTTTTTTCATTAGCTTTTGTAGATAATTAAAAGATTTTAGTAAAAGTAAAGTAAAAGTCCAAAAACTTGTTTTTTTTTTAAATTTTTCACCATATTTTATTATTGTTTAAGTAAAATATATGACATGATACAAATAATGGTATGTAAAGAAAGCCCTTCTTGTCCTGAAAAAAACAATATATAATTTGTGTGGGAACCGTAAATGAGAGAGCAGAAAATTACAGCTAAACACAAACACCACAAAAGTGTTAAAACTGCTCTGGTCCTTAACGTACAACATCGCAAAAACAGGGCCGGTCCTTAAGCGGTTAAGTAAATATTGTATTTGTGTGACAGGTGCAATTTAAACTAACCAGTTCATGACAGATTCACTTAAAGCAACAATATTTCCTTATGCGATAATTATATATTTTCTTGTGTAAAATTAAGGAGTTTAAAAATGGTACACTATTTTATTTGCATTGAATAAGGTGTTTTGGACTTGAAACAGTTATCACTCGTTTTGACAGTTCAAATAAAATGGGATATCACTTTTTAATCCCAATAGATCATGTACACAAAGTGTTTTCTTTTTCTTGAATATATGTGAGTGTAGTGAGAAATGGCATCCGTGCAAATATTTTTTTTTTTTTCTAATACCCAGCACTGTTGCTGTCACAGTAATTCTGTTCCATGGGTAGTCAAAATAGATCCCACCTATGTCCTATTCCTCTCCATCCCCAAGTAGGCAGCTCCTTACAAGTGACTCTGACTTGATTTCCTGTGTCAGCATTACAACAGAATGACTTTTGACATGCCATTCAAATGTTTCTCTAGTAAATAGAAGACACTCTCCAAAGAATTATCAGATTAACAACCATTCATGTTCCATAGTTACTGTAACATATAGCTGACGAGCTTTTAGACTGGGTTCTGGTTTTTCGCCTGTCCTCTAAAACACTGCTATATTTAAATTTATAAAAGAACCTAAAATATTAATTATTCATTTATATATTTTTATTTTTTATAGGTCACAGATTGGTGTTAAAAATATTGAATGGTCTGTATGGAATTTTTGGCCAACCATGGAAGAACATATAGATGTTTGGAAAAATACAACTTTTTAACATACTAGATAAGTTGGTTCAAGCAGCCATGACCACTTCCCATGTGAATGGACATGTAACAGAAGATTCTGATAGTGAGAGACAAGCTGCAGATTTTTCTCAAGGGGAACCACAGAAACACAGAGAGATGGCTGTTGACTGTCCTGATTTGGGTTCGAGGGCTATGCCAATTCGCCGTAGTGCTCAACTTGAGAGGATCAAGCAGCAACAAGATGATATGCGACGAAGACGTGAGGAGGAAGGAAAGAAGCAGGAACTGGATGTTAATTCTTCCATGAGATTAAAGAAATTAGCACAGATTTTTCCTAAAACTGGAATTGACAATCCAATATTTGACACAGAAGAAGGACTCTTTCTGGAAAGTCCTAATCATGCTGTGAAAGTATTGGGTATGTGTTAACTCTTAAATGTTTTTTGTGTGTGTATGCTCATGTGAAACTTAATTGTGGGTAGTATATAGAAGTAGTATCTGATAGAATATCTCTAATACTATTTCATATTGATATTTAAAAGTGCTGTTATTCTGGCGCAAAATGCTCAATTGAAAACCATAACAAAGGAAACTAGCGTAAGGTTTCTATTTTTAACGGTTTGCACTCAATTACCGCTATTATAAAGTTGTCCACACAGGGTTAAGTATGCATATGCATATTTGCAAGCCGACTTAAATAATGGCAGCAAGACATAAGCAATCAGAAACAAGGAAATTGTTTCATTCTGCTTTTTTATTTTGCATGTGTATCCATTTAAAAAAAAAAAAAAAAAAAAAATATATATATATATAATTTTTTTTTTTTTTTTTTTTTGCTATCAAGTGTATTGTTTCTTGAACCACATCACAAAATGTTTTTTTGATTTTCTTTTTGGGGGGTGAAGGGGAAGGGGGGGTTGTTTTGTTTTTTTAAAGGGACATTCCTAGGCACCAAAACAAATTTAATGCACTTGATAAATTTTGCCATCATTAATATGGTGGTTTTTTTTTATTGTCCAATCTTTATATATATATATATATATATATATATAAATAAGATTGGACAATTTTCTATATATATATCATGTTTTATCATGTTTTTTGGATTCGCAGATCCAATTTGGTTAAAGGACCACTATAGTGCCAGGAAAACATACTTGTTTTCCTGGCACTATAGTGCCCTGAGGGTGCCCCCACCCTCAGGGTCCCCCTCCCGCCCGGCTCTGGAAGGGGGAAAGGGGTTTAAACTTACCTTTTTCCAGCGCTGGGAGAAGGAGCTCTCCTCCTTCTCTCCTCCTCCGTTCCGCCTCGTCGGCTGAATGCGCACGCGCGGCAAGAGCTGTGCGCGCATTCAGCCGGTCGCATAGGAAAGCATTCATAATGCTTTCCTATGGACACTGGCATGCTCTCACTGTGAAAATCACAGTGAGAAGCACGCAAGCGCCTCTAGTGGCTGTCAATGAGACAGCCACTAGAGACTTTGGGGGAAGGCTTAACCCATTGATAAACATAGCAGTTTCTCTGAAACTGCTATGTTTATTAAAAAATGGGTTAACCCTAACTGGACCTGGCACCCAGACCACTTCATTAAGCTGAAGTGGTCTGGGTGTATCAGAGTGTAGACTAAGCGTAGTCTTCTTACGCTATGTGATCTGGAGAACCTGTTTTACCTGTTTGCCTGTAATTAAGCGTCATAGATCTAAATTAATATTTGTGAACAACGGGACACGCAGGTCCCTTCTACATCTAGTTAGTGTAATCCTGGCGAATCTGTCATGCTCCTGTGATCTTTCACTGCCCCGTTAATAGGGCGTTGTTTGGTGTTTTTTATCTGTGTATAGCAGTTTTACCATTCATATTTACAAATTCAATGTGGTCTACTAGTGGCTGCTGTATGTGTGAGGTGTTCTCCTGTGTGGTGTGTCTCCCCCTTGTCTTGGTTGTGTGTTTGTTAGTGTTTTGTGTTGGCTAGTGTCCATCTTCACCGGTGGCTCTGGTTTACCTTAGGTTGGACTTCTCACTAGAGGTGTAGTGTGTATCCACATGGGTTCGCTTTTATATCTTTAGCTTCCCCCCTTTACTGTCAACATCAGGAGTCCTTGTGTCTGCCGGGGCATTTATCTGATGGTGTCTTATCTTTTGTCCTGTGGAGTCTTTGGTGTCGTATTTGTGTAACTGGCCCTGTGGTTTGAGGCATAAATGCGTTTTTATGTGGTTTATGTATGTACTGTATGAGTTATGAGGTGGATCTCTGTGTGGGAGTGTGTTAAGTTTTGAGCTTGTGTGAGTCTGTGTTGGTGCATGTTGTCATTTTCTTCCTTTTCTTTTTTTCTGTGCTTTTTGGCCTTGCTATATTCTCTTTTCGGGGGTTGTGAGTGTGTCTGTTTACCCTTCTTTTAATAGCTTACTCACTTACTCCCGCCCACTAGGTCTTTGCTCTTTCAACTTGCCTATTGTCTGGGCCCTGGATAGTCTCATCCCCTGTGTGTGTCTGCTCCCATCTGGACCTGTGCCCCGCAGCAACAGGTGGATAGGGGGTAGGCTTGGGTGCAGTGGGTGCCCCGTCCCCCGCTCCCCCTGCCCCCATCTAGGCGGCAGTTGTGTTCCGTGAGCAATCTATGTACCATAGTCTCCACTGCTCTGTGTGTTTTTCCTGTCTCCCTAGAAGATTTGATATTGTGGATTCGGCTTTTTGTATTTCTTCCACCCTGTGTTTCCATTGTCTGATTGTTGGTGGGTTCGGTGTTTTCCATAGTATTGGTATCAGTGCTTTTTCTGCGTTTAGCACGTGTCTGAGGATGTAATCTTGTGATTAATCTCTTGGTAATTCGTGCTCGATGAGCTCTTGTGCTGCAGCAGGAATATTTGTTCCCATTGCCCCTCCGTGTATGTGTTGTCCATTAGGTCCTCCCATTGCCTTTTGAATAGGTCCTTCCTTTCCCTTTCACCTATTGCCAGTCGTTGGTATACGGCCGAGACTGTGCCATCTGCGTCAGGTGTCTGGAACCATATCTTTTCAAACCATGTTAGTTCCCTGTGCAGTTTGTTTCTGTGTGGTAGGTTGTGGTAGAAGTGTTTAAGCTAAGCATAGTGGAATTGGTGCATGAGGATAGACGTCCCTCCTTCCGTCTTCAGCTCCGTTTCTGTTAGTGTCGTGTGTAGTGGGACATATCCTTCCTGGTTGACCAGTGGTCATGCGAACGGTGGAAGTCCATCTCCTATGTTCGAGTTGTGGGTGATGGGGATCAGCGGGCTTGGTGTAGGGGGAATGTGAGGCCCTTTCCTCAGTCTGTTCCAAGATTTGGGTGATTGGGGGAGTCTTCCCCCAGATTTTTTGAGGCCTCATCCTCTTTGTGCCAGAGGTGTTGGTGGAGTTGGTTTTCTGCTAGGTCTTTGCACAGTGTGATCCATCTTTTGTGAGGGGTGGCCGTGTGCAGTTGCCTAATGCGCTGTAGAATTGGTGCGTGATAGTATTAGTTCAGGTCCGGTAGTGCGTGTGTCCCACGTTTTGGGAGGTACAATTTTCGTGACCAATCCTGGCTCTGTCTCTCTTACATATGTATTTAAGGATCGCTGTCGGGAGCGTTTTGAAGAATATTTGTGGAATTGTGTGGAACATGTAGAGTATTCTGGGAAGGATATTAATCTTCACGATTGCTATTCGTTCCTGCCACGAGAGGTGGTTGTAGTTCTTTCTCTTGAGGTCCTCTAGGATGTTGGACAGGAAGGGTGCATAGTTATGTGCGTAAAGTTCCTTCGCTTCGAGAGTGACCTGTAGTCCCAGGTATTTCATGCGATCTGTGCAACAGTGGAATGGGAATTGTTTCTTCAGTTGTGTACATTCCTCCTCTGGTACCGTCACATTTAGTATCTCGCACCTGGGTATGTTTTAGTTTAAGCCCCGATAAGTTTCCATATGTCTGAAACTCTATCATTAGCTGGGGGATCGACTCCAGGGGTTCATCCAAGAAGAACAGCATATCATCTGCATAGGCAGCTACTTTGTGCTCCTGTGTTTTGTGCTTAAGGCCAGTGGTGTATCCTGGTTTTGTGCTGCCCTAGGCAGGACAAAACTCAGGCGCCCCCTCCCCCCGCACAGTCAGACGCGCACACACACACAGACGCGCGCACACACACAGTCAGACGCGCGCACACACACAGTCAGACGCGCGCACACACACAGTCAGACGCGCGCACACACACAGTCAGGCGCGCGCACACACACAGTCAGACGCGCGCACACACACACACAAAGTCAGACGCGCGCACACACACACACACAGTCAGACGCGCGCACACACACAGTCAGACGCGCGCACACACAGTCAGGCGCGCACACACACAGTCAGACGCGCGCACACACACAGTCAGGCGCGCGCACACACACAGTCAGGCGCGCGCACACACACAGTCAGGCGCGCGCACACACACAGTCAGGCGCGCGCGCGCACACACAGTCAGGCGCGCGCGCGCACACACACAGTCAGGCGCGCGCGCGCACACACACAGTCAGGCGCGCGCGCGCACACACACAGTCAGGCGCGCGCGCGCACACACACAGTCAGGCGCGCGCGCGCACACACACAGTCAGGCGCGCGCGCGCACACACACACACACAGTCAGGCGCGCGCGCGCACACACACACACACAGTCAGGCGCGCGCGCGCACACACACACACACAGTCAGGCGCGCGCGCGCACACACACACAGTCAGACGCGCGCACACACACACAGTCAGGCGCGCGCACACACACACAGTCAGGCGCGCGCACACACAGTCAGGCGCGCGCACACACACAGTCAGACGCGCGCGCGCACACACACACAGTCAGACGCGCGCGCGCACACACACAGTCAGACGCGCGCAGTCAGACGCACACAACTTTTTTTTTAAATTTAAATCTTCCCCCAACCTCCTTACCTTTGGGAGTGCTGGGGGGGGGTCTCTCTCCCTGGTGGTCCAGTGGCTGCAGGTCGGGTGGGCGGCGCTGGCAGGTGGGCGGCTGGCGAGGGAGCACTTCCTATGAGCTGAGTTATCTTCCGGCTCCCAGCCTCACTCTGCAGCCGGCGCGCGCGGGAGCTGAGCAGTCAGCTTATAGGAAGTGCTCCCTTGCCAGCCGCCCGCCTGCCAGCGCCGCCCGCCCGCTCGGGATGTCAGTTAGCCGCAAGGCTAACTAGGCATATTCCCTGGGCATTTGGGGGGCGGTGTTTTTTGCCGCCCCCTGAAAAATGCCGCCCAAGGCAAATGCCTTGTTTGCCTCGTGGCTAATACGCCCCTGCTTAAGGCCCATTATCTTTGGGTTCCTCCGTATTTTGTCTAGGAACGGTTCCAGGGTGAGTGCAAACAGGAGCGGCAGGAGTGGGCAGCCTTGCCTGGTTCCATTCTTGATGTTAAAGCTGTCGGTTAGTGCCCCATTCACTCGGACTTTAGCATTTGGTTGATGATAGTGTTTCGATCCACTTCAGCATCCTCTCTCCGATGCCGGTTCTCCATAGCGTCTCTGTCATAAATCGCCAATTCACTCCATCAAATGCTTTTTCTGCGTCCGTGGATAGCAGAAGTAGTTTTTTCCTTAGATGTTTTGCTGTATGTTGGATCACAAAGAGCCTGAGGGTGCAATCTCTGGCCTCCCTGCCTTGGATGATAACTGTATGGGCCGGGTGGACCAGTCTTGGCATAAATGTCTGCAATCGGGATGATAGTACCTTTTGAGAAAAGTTTTAGGTCTGTATTGATGAGGGATATCGGGCAGTAGTTCCCTACCTGTTCTGTGTTTTTGCCCGGTTTCGGGATCACCGTAATCATCACTGCCAGTGATTCTTTATGGAAGGACATCCCGTCTCTTAGGCTGTTTAATGCTGCTACCAGTTTCGGTATCAGTTCTTCGCTGAATTTCTTGTAGTATTCTACCGGAAAACCGTCTGGGCCGGGTGCTTTTCTATTCTTTGCTGTCTTCAAAGCTAGTTTGACCTACTCTTCAGTTACTGGTGCGTCTAGTGTTTCTGCTTCTTCCTGGGTGAGAGTGTCGGGATTGAAATCCTGCAGGTATCTCGCTGTTTCCGTTTGTTTCTGTGCGGTGCCGGTGTCTCTGTTTATGTCAGTGATGTTGTATAATTTTGTGTAAAAGGACCTGAATTCGTCCGCGATTTCTTCCGGGAATTGCGTCAGTCTGCCTTGTCTGGTTCGCAGGGTGTGTACCAGGCTTTGTTCTGCGGGACTCTTAGCATTTGGGCGAGTAGCTTCCCTCCTTTATTAGCATGCACATAGAAGGAAGCCTTTGAGCGTTGTACCTGTCTAGCGTGCTTGCGTTCTATTATCTTCGTGAGCTGTCTTCTTTTCGTGATTAGGTCCCTGTATGTCTGGTCTTGTTGAGTCCTTTTATGCCTCTGTTCCAGGTCTGCTATCTGTTGGGTGAGGTCTCTTAGCTGTTCTCCAGCTTACTTTTTTTTATGTGTTGCCATTCGTATTCGGTTCCCCCTCAGGACGCTTTTGTGCGCTTCCTAGATAGTCATGTCTGACAGGTCATCGGTGGTATTCTCCTTAAAATACTAACGAATATGATCAGCAATTTGCGCTCTCGTCTGTTGGTCTAGAAGAAGGGAATCATTGAGTCTCCAAGCCGTGCTGGTCGGGTGGTACAAGGGTGACTCCATTTCCACTTTCACCACACTGTGGTCTGACCAGGGTGTGGGTTGAATGTCAGCCTTCTTGAGATAGGTGAGCCCCTCCTGCTGTATGCATATGTAGTCCATTCTGGAGTATCGGCGGTGTAGGGTGGAGTAGTAGGTAAAGTCCCATTCTACAGGGTGGAGCGCACGTCATGTGTCTATTAGCCTGAGGTTTCTGAGGGATTTTTGAATGGTTATTATAGTCGAGCTTGGTATACTGCTTCGTCCCATATATGTATCTGACAGGGAATCTAGTGGGACATTTAGGTCTCGGCCCAATATCAGGACTCCCTCTGAGAATTTGGCCAGCTTCATCAGTGTTCTGTGAATAAAGCTGGCTTGTCCCGAGTTCGGGGCATAGATGTTTGCTATTGTATAGGTTTTTCCCGGCTACATCCCCTTTTACAGAGAGGAACCTTCCATCGATGTCCACTAGTTGATCTGTAGCCGCAAAGTGGAGGCTGGCAGCGAGCAGGATAGCTGTTCCTGTTTTCTTCAACGTGGGATGGTTGCTATAGAAGTTCAGTGGGTAGTGTCGATTTTTAAGTAGTGAGTTTGCTTCTGCCCTCAGGTGGGTTTCCCGTAGGAGAGCAATTGAGATGTTGTCTCTTGAGGTCTCTCAATAGGTGAGTCCTCTTTTCTGGACCCCTGCAGTTTTGTGGTGTTATGGTCAGAGGTGCCGGGGAGTAAGCCATTTCAGACGGTTTGCTCGCCTCGGGAAAGTGCTATGTCTTTTTCCCCTCCCTGCGCGCTGGGGGACTGAGCCCGCTGGACCACTAGCGGCGCGTGTGGGCGAGTACGGGGGGGGGGGATCCAACAGGCGCGGGTGCGTTGTGTGGTGGATCTCAGTAGCTGTTTGGGGACCCAGAGGGGAGCAGAGTAATGTGGTGTTCTTTTTCGCGGGTGGGGTTATATGCCTTGTTTTTTGTCGTAGTGTATGTTGGTGAGGGTGTGTGGTCATGTCTCTCCTTAGTTCGGGTAGAGTCCCGTGTAACTGGGTGAATGTCCAAGGCTGTACCATTACATGGTAGTTACCGGAGCGGCTGCAGCCGTGGTTCCCTCAGTAGTCTTGGTATAGCCGGGTCTAGTTCAGGTCATGGCCCTCGCCTTGCAGGATTGGTGATGTTAGTGTGTCTCGTGGTGTTCAACTAGGCTCCTTGTCCGCTGGGTGTGTACCTATAGTTGTGCACTCTGCGGTAGAGGTTATGTGCTAACGTATGCTCTCTGTCTTGGGTCTGTTACATTGGTCTCTTATTTCGTGTCGGTGCGGTCCCCTTCTCGCGGCAGCTGGGGACACCTCGTCTTGCGCCTCTCCTTGTCTTCTACTTGTAGGTGTAGGGTGTTGAGGTCAGATGTCGGCGTCAGTCAGTGCCTTTACTTTCCCTTATGAAGTCTTGTCTTCTGTGGGGTTTGTGCCAGTCTGTTTGTGCAGGCGGGGGGTGGGCGGGTATCTTTCGGGTCACCAGTGTGTTGGTGGTTTAGTTATCAGTGTAACCCTTGCTGTTCAGTGTGGGGTTTTGTGCTTGTTAGTCCTCGTGTGGACTTGTGCGGTCTATGTTTCGTGAAGCATATTGTGCATAAACAGTTTCCGACCTCCCTCCACCTCCCTCCTTGTTTCTAGAGCCTTCTCCTTTCTAACGCTCACTTTCAATGTCTTCTGCCTTTTATTCCTTCTCCCCCCTGTCTCATTTCTCCCACCCAATTTTGCTGTATTCCCCCCCCGCTCCCTCCGTTGGCCTGCCGATGCATCTATTTCTCCTGCCTGCATCCTCTCCCGGCTTCCGGCAGTCCAATGGCAATGGTTAATGCACTCCCACCCGTGATATTATCGCTCCGGGCTATGTGGTTCTTCTCCTCCACAGAGGTCTGCATTTGTCCCCCTTCTCCCTTAACCCCCCTCCCCAATAGCTGTTCAGCGTGTCTTGGCTATCATTCCCCAGGGGCGGTGATGCCGGTCTCTCAGCATGTGGTCTGTGCTGTGTCCCGCCGGGTCGGGGCGTGTTGGCTAAGTTTGCAGTCAGTGGTGGGCTGATCTTGTCTATCGCATGTTGTGCCCCATGGTGGGGTGTGTCTCGGTAGGGATGAGTCTAGAGTCTTAAGTAGTCTGTCAGTGCATATCTAAGTGGGGTAAAAGTACTTATCTGAGCGGGTCTTGTGGCCATCGTCCCCAGGTGGTCGTCTGTCTGTGTCCCCTCACTGCCATTCAAGGGGGGTCCCTCATTGGCTTGTCGGGCCGGTGTCTCGCTCATTCGGCGTGTTGGACCTGTGTGTCGGTGGTCTGCGCGGTGAGTTCTCTCTGCGTATTCGAGCGGCTCTTTGCGCCATGGGGCCAGGTCGTTGTTCAAGCGGCCCCAGGATCCAGACGGCCACATCCGTGTTCGGCGGGCCTAGTCTCCTCAGGAATACCGGTACCTCATCTGGCCATCTCACGGGTACCCATTCGTTCTCATATCTGGCTAGCAGACTAAAGGGGAAGCCCCATTTATATGGTATATTTGGCTTCTCAAGAGTTGGGTTATCGGCATTGGAGCCCTGCGAGCCTCTAGTGTGAGGGGTGACAAGTCCTGGTATAGGGCTACCTCAGCTCCCTGGAACGACCAGCTCTGCTTGGATCGGGCTTTGGACATAAGTTCTTTCACTTTAAATTCATGTAGGCAACATATGTCTCTGGGTGAGTTGTCAATGGTTCTCAGTCATGTTGCCCTGTGGGCTACGTCAAATCTGATATTGGGCGGCACGTCTGGGCCCAGTCTTTCTCTGAACAATGCGGTAAGTGTTGCCTCCAGGTTTTCCTCGATATGTGGCTCAGGAAGGTTGCGCACTCTGATAATAGATCTACATCCTCTATTATCCAGATCCTCTGCCTGCCTTCTGATGTGTAGGAGGATGGTACCTTGTCGGTTAATAGTCAGGTTATTAGCTTCTATGCGTCCAGTCATCGTTTGTTCTGCGGCCTCCAGTGCCTGGATGCCGGTGCCTTGCGCTGCTATATCATTCCCAATCATGGCGACTTCCGCTCGGATCGCCTCATGAAGCGTGTCGGACGTATTTTTCAGGTCTGCTTTCGTGACCATAGTGCTAGTTAGGGCTCTAATATCTGCCCTGATGTCCGCTAGGGACAGTGCTTGTGACTCAGTCTCCGGCAATGTGGTCCGTCCGTCAGCCATTTTTGGGCCCTGCGTGTCACTTGGCGGCTTTCTCTGCGTTTGGAGGTATTCGTCCATGGAGCCGCTTTGCGGGGTGTTCTGTTGCCACCTGGGTGTTTGGTGGGTTTCCAGGCGTTTAGTGCGCCCCATTAGTAGAGCGTTTGCGGGTCGGAGCTCCGGAGTTAAGCAGCTGTCGCCATCCGCATTCAGTCCACGCCCCCCAATCTTTTGTTTATGTAGAATTCTGCACTTTTTGTAGAATTCTATACAATAAGCCTGCCTCCTTTGAGCCATGCCCCTCCTGCCAGAAAGACTTCCTTGCCAAAAGTGTGTATACATTCTGAGTTTCGCTTTGCATGCTTTGTGTAATGTTATTTTAGAGCAGTGCAAGAGCATAACAGAACAAAAACATCCCACGAGGGGGAATAAAACAGATCTTTGTTCAGTTAATTGATTCTATAAGATGGAATAAAATGCATTGTTATTCACAGCTTCTTGGGTTTTAGCCCCCTTTGTGCCTGAAAATTCCATTTGTAGCACTTCTGCTCTGTGTTTGTGATTTAATGCTTTACCTTTAAATGCAACCAAAGACATGTATAGATTTTAAAATGAAAAACTAGGGCTTTCTTTTGATAGCCTTTATGTATGCATAGCAGAACATTAAAAAAATATTCTTTAAAAAAATAATTGTATGGTTTTGCTTATAATAATTTCTACACAAATTCAAAGGGTAAGTATTTAAAGTGACCATGGTTTATGGAGTCTGTATTTGTGATAATTCGCTTTGAAATATACATGAAGAGTACATACATATAGATTAACCCCTTAGTTGCCCGAGGTGTAACTTCACTTGCCCGAGGTGTAACTTCACTTCCAACAGTGTCATAAGCCAGCTCAGAACACAGCTCTTAACTGGTTATTTTCAATTATGTGCAATGTACCAATGGTGATATTAAGATCTGGCACCAGCAATAAAATAAATGTATAATTAAAGGCAAGTGTCAAGGGTAATCCTGAAGATACAGAGGGCATATGAAAAGGAAAACCAAAAGAAAATAATGACAGGGCAGATTTAATAAAATTAGGCATGCCTATTGTTACAGAAACAAACACTAGAAGGATTTGTTCTGTGTCTCGTTTAACTTTGTTTATTGAAATTACAATTATTATGTTATTTATATAGCGCCATCAAATTCTGCAGCGCTTTACAATGGGTGGTCGAACAGACATGTAGTTGTAACCAGACAAGTTGGACACACAGGAACAGAGGGGTTGAGGGCCCTGCTCAATGAGCTAACAAGCTAGAGGGAGTGGGGTAAAATGACACAAAAAGGTAAGAATAGTATCAGACTAGTGACAGTTGCAGAAGAGGAATCAGTCGGGAGCTATTAACAGTTTAATTGATACGCTTTTATGAAGAAGTATGTTTTTAATGATTTTTTTGAAGTCGTGGAGACTGGGTGAGCATCTAACGGAGGAGGGAAGCAAGTTCCACAGGAACGGTGCAGCCCTCGAGAAATCTTGAAGGCGAGCATCAGAGATGGGAGTACGGACAGAAGATAGACGTAAGGGCTTAGACGGGACATACTTCTGTATAAGGGAGGATAGATAGGTGGGAGCAGCAATTATGTAGCGATTTGAAAGCAAGAACCAGAATGTTAAATTGAGCTCTATATTTTATAGTAAGCCAATGTAGGGACTGACAGAAGGGTGAGGCGTGGGAGGTGCAGGCGGACAGGAAGATGAGCCTCGCTGCCGCATTCATTATGGACTGTAACGGCGCAAGTTGGGAGCACATGGGAGCACGTAAGACCACTGAGAAGCGGATTACAGTAGTCAAGGCGAGAAAGGACAGTGGAATGGACCAACACCTTAGTCGCATCTAGCGTTAAGTAGGGGTGGATGTGCGCAATGTTTTTGAAATGGAAATGACAGGATTTGGCGATAGATTGAACACGAGGCTTGAAGGAGAGGTCGGAGTCAAAGAGAACACCTAGGCTGCGAGCCTGCGTGATGGAGCTGATGGTAGCACCGTTGACTTGGAGGGAGACAGACACAGGAGTAGCAACACTTGAGGGAGGTAAGACCAGAATTTCAGTTTAGTTCAAGTTTAGTTTAAGGTAGTGGGCAGCCATCCAGTTAGAAATAGCAGAGAGGCAGTCAGAGACACTAGTCAAGAGGGACGGGGAGAGATCAGGAGAGGACAGGTAGATCGCGTTTCATCTGCATAGAAATGATATTGGAAGCTAAAGTTGCTAATGTAGGAGGATGGTAGGGAGGCAGTATAGATGGAGAACAGTAGGGAACCAAGGACTGAACATTGGGGGACACCAACAGAGAGGAGTTGGGGAGAAGAAGCACAGCCAGAGAAAGAAACACTGAAAGAGCGCTGGGAGAGGTAGTAGGAGAACCAGGAGAGAGCAATATCTTGTAGACCGATATTGCGGAGGATGAGAAGAAGCTGTTGATGATCAACAGTGTCAAAACCCGCAGACAGGTCGAGGAGAATTAGGATAGATTAGTGACCACGAGATTTTGCAGCGAGTAGATCATTGGATACTTTGGTCAGTGCCGTTTCCACAGAGTGCTTAGCGTGGAAACCAGACTGAAGCGGTTCTAGCAGAGAGTTGGACTTTAGGAAGTCTGTCAATCTCGCATACACAATTCTTTCAAGGATCTTGGATTCAAAAGGCAGTAGCGAGATAGGACGATAGTTGGATGGGGAGTTAGGGTCAAGGTTGGGCTTCTTTAGAATTGGGGTTACAGTTGCATGTTTGAAGGGCGATGGAAATATACCAGAGGGGAGAGAGATTGAGAATTTTAGTGAGAGGTGGATAAAGAAAAGACGGATGAGATGCGAGGTAATTGGATCTCGGGAGCAGGTGGTGGGGCGGGAGGACTGGAGCAGAGCGGAAACCTCTTCCAATGTAGCGGGTACGAATGAACCTAGAACAGCAGAGGGAGTGAAGTTAGGGGAAGTATTGTAAGGGGAAGAAGAAAGATGAGATCTTTTTCCTGATTGTATAGATCTTGTCAGTGAAGTGAGTTGCAATGTCTGAGGCGGTCAAGTTAGTAGGTGGTGGAGGAACTGCAGGGCAAAGAATAGAGTTAAATGTGTGAAATAGTCGTTTGAGTTCACGGGAGAGTGTGGTTATGAGGGTATTGAAGTAATTGAAGCTGTATGAGCTCAGCATAAATTTATAGTGGAGAAAATCAGATGCACAGTGAGACTTTCTCCAACCGCGTTCAGCAGTTCTGGAGCATTTTTAAAGGTATCAAGTGAGCTTGGTGTGCCAAGGTTGTTGTTGTCGGCGCCTGCGGCGTTTAAGTGTACAAGGTGCCATGATGTCTAGTTGAGAGGAGTGTGGAATTGTAGAAGGAAGTTGCAGAACTAGGACAGGTGAGGTTTGAGATGGGTAAAAGGAGAGTTTGGAGATTAGTGGAGAAATGCTCTAGTTCAAGACATTGGAGGTTTCTGTGAGAGTGATGTTCAGACGGTGGTGTCAGTTGGGTCTTGGGTATACCACTGAAGTGGTAGAGGTTAACACAGTAAAGGAGTTTAAGCATGCGTGGGATAGGCATAAGGCTATCCTAACTATAAGATAAGGCTAGGGACTAATGAAAGTATTTATTTAGAAAATTGGGCAGATTAGATGGGCCGAATGGTTCTTATCTGCCGTCACATTCTATGTTTCTATGCCAATGTCAGAGGAAAAGGAATATTGGAGAGATTAGAGGCAGTACAGAGGTTGGTGAAGGTGAGATCAAGAGTGTTTCCCCCTGTATGGGTTGCTAAATTGGACCATTGCGTAAGGCCAAAGGAGGCGGTTACAGAGAGCAGACGAGAGGCATCAGTACAATTAGGGTATTCAGTAACAAATGTTTGAAACAAAAAGCAGATACTCAAAATAATTTGACTTATTAGTCCTGGAAGGCTATATACCCGGTATTTCAAATATTATTTAACAAATAAAAAATAAAAACACATTTATTACTTTTTAGATTACTGAGATCTTCACGAGAAGAGACGCATTGTGTCCTCATCCTTTGAAAATGAAAGGTCTTCAAAGTCTGGCATTATCACTCAAAGTGTGAAAGCGCCTCTTGTAGTTATGTCTCACATCCACTAGAAGTATTTTTTCACGGTATTTTGTTTGTGCAATTTTCATAGAAGTGACATTTTCTCTTTCACACACATTTATTTAGTTAATGAAAACGTGAAAACTGTATAAAAAAAATAACTGCCTTCTTAAGCATGTCTCCAACATTTACATTTTTAGACATTGAAGAATTATTGTCTTCACTGAAAGATATTGAACACACCTTGCTGGACTCTCAAAGTCGAGACGACATTTATTTACTGTTACAGCTGGTTCAGAATGTAGACTTTCAGAATGCCTTCAAGATCCATAATGCTGTGGCCGTGCACATGAACAAAGCCAGTCCCCCATACCCACTTATTCCTAATTCTCAAGAGCTAACACAAGAGGTAAGTGTATGCACTTGGGTTGTTGTGTGAAGAGTATTTGTAGCTTGTTTTGATTCTAGTGTCTACTGCTTTACTGTGTAACTAAATCGTCAAATTGTGTAGAAAAATGCTTGGTGTGTGGCAAAGAATTATGTTTAATGGAATTTATTATACCTAGCCAAATTTTTCCTAACTTAACCCACTTATTTAAATCCTCTTTAATAGAGATCAGTTTAAGATTTGTAACAGATGGTTGGTTGGTGGTCTAGATTTTTTTTTTTTTTTCTGCAATTGAAACCGATATTTTCAGTGTTTTGACCTTAATAAATTTAGAGGCTGGAATGCAATTAAAACTTTTTTTTTTTTTTTAAATCTCAGGCATTCTTTTCTTTGTTATGAACATAGACTTGATTGGGGCTAAGAATCAATCAGTAATTATCAGACCTATAGAAACAGGAAGGTATTCAGCGCTTTTCCAGTACTGATACAGTCCAAAGGGCAGCTAAATCCCCACAACCGGGGTCTCTCATCTCTTAGAGAAGCAGATAACAACACAGGGGGTGGTGTAGTGCCTGACATGTCTTTGGAATTCATATAATAAAAAGGGAGAAATTGAGAGCTGATAGCAAAGTCACATTTCCCATAAGTATCAAGTACAAATAAATACACTTTTTTGGAAGCCAAGATGTAGCTCCAACTTGAATGCCTGGGCGGAATGATCCCCGCCTAAGAATATGGTTTAGTATAGACTCTTGTCGAATATTCTTGTGGTGGAAATGACTCTCGTAGATATGTGGGAGAGCTAAAAGGTGTATAGTGCAATATGTCAAGTTCAATATAAAAATAAAACTGATAAAAGGTGTGCATTCACGTATTCTGGAGCTTAGAAAGCGGCTCCGCAGGTATAGCGTTGAGTGGTATGATCCCCACTCTTGAATATCGGTGGTGATGGTCTATCTCTGATAATATAGATAAAAGAAGATAAAACCAAAAAAGTGTACACTGTATGGAGTGCAGAATAAAATGAAATAAAATCTACTTACATTTAGTAGAACAAATAAGGATTGGTCTGTCCATCAGGCGTAGGTGGTATTATCCCCACCAAGGATTCAGGAATCCAGCAGGAAAATACTCTTGTTGATAAAAAAAAAACTTCAACTATAAAAAGTTAGAGTAAAAAAGCTATATAAAACAATATTATGATGCACTTAACACATTTCACCATTTATGGCTTTATCACTTTTGATAAAGTTTAAGTGCAAGTTGCAGCACCTTGTGCAGAGGTAATATTCTGCTGTTTCATAATCCATGTATGCTACTTGAAAGATGCATTTTGAGGAAATGGTTGTAGTGCTATGCGGGTGCCAACTTGTTTTATAGTAGGCGGGTTGTAACCCATTTATTGGCAACTGTAAGTATGGACAGTCCATTAGCTTTATATATGTACAAAATTCCAGTACTATTATTTGGAATTTTGAAATGTCTCCCCCTTAAGACTCCTATAGTGGATACAAAGAACATTAGCACTGCAATTATTTATTTTTGTTGAAAATAATTGCTTCAGAAGGTCGGTTGAATGCTTTCAGAAGAGCCGTGGTTGTTACATGTTGGGTCTGTGTGCATAGTTTTTTTGAGTTTGAGGTTAAAAAAACTGTGCGCTGGTTTTTTAAAAGAACACTCTGGACATAACTTAATTGGGATTACTTTGTTGGTGCCAGGAAGTAACTGGCGCACCAGCTTACCTTTAGAGCTCCAAAGTCTTCAATCCAGCACGGTATTATTCTCAAGTCATTTTTTTGAATGGGGAACTACCAATTGGCTTAGGGTGTCACCTGACACAGTATATCAGCAGCACCCCTGTCTGAGGCTTCCTCTTTCAAGAATCAAAGAGAAGTAGGATAGGGGCAGAGATAAACACTGGATTCAGGATTTTGGATTTAAACTGTTAATGAACTGTTTAACCCCTGAAGATAAGTCTGCTCCAGGGACCTTCAAGCACCATAACAACTTAATTCTGATTAAATTGTTATGGTGCCCTCAGTGTTCCTTTAAGCCTTGCTGAGTTTGGTAAGGGGCTGGCAGTACATGTTCTGGAGTAATGTCTGCAAAGCTATTAAAATCCTTGCAAATGATTTAGTTTTGCACTAAGTTGTTACTTTTATTAAATTGCAAAACGTGCTAGTGTATAAACGTCATTAATTTGCATGCTACGTTTAAAAATCTGGCATGGAAGGCTGTCTTTAGTGTCTCTGTGAAATGTAATTCACTCCTCCCCCTTCCAAATTGGACAAACGTCTGAAAAACGTTTGTCCACTCTAACCATGGGGTACTAATGTAAGTGACTACCAGAACTAAGCCCCTGTAAGGGTTATCACTAAAGTTAGAGTTCAATGTGAAGTTTAACTTTAAGGCCAGAGTAGCTGACTTAGAGAATGTTACATTGAATTTGAAATTCACTTTGAATTCTCACTTTAGTGAATTACCTTGTAGGTATTCAAAATATCTTATCCTTAGAATGTAAGCCTTTCATATTTTGTCCTCTTCTTTCCTTTCCTCAGCCAGTGCTGATGTTAACCTTTGAAAAAATGCTACACATAAAGAATAATATCTTAACTGCTGATTTGGGCTTCTTTACATTGTATATTCTTATTTTTAAAATATTTTACCAGGAAAGATACATTGCAATTTCTTTCGTTTTCAAGTATGTCCTGGGTCCACAAAACATTGCATTGATACATTGTGGTACAATAAAATACAAAAACAATATTAATACACAATATAAACAAAATTTAACATAGAACAGGTAGGAAATATATAATCAACCATGACTCGTGCATTCTGTTTTGAGGTATGTAGAGAGGGATCTCTTTATAGGCTTGGGGAAGATTTTAAAGTGTGAGGGAGGTCACTCCACAGTTGCGGCGCTCTGTAGGAGGAGGAGGATCGGGCTGCTTTCTTTTTGTATTGAGTTTGACTAAATAAAGTGCTGGTTATGTATCGGAGGTTATAGGAGGTGGGAACAGCTGAGGAGAGCATTTTGCTCAGGTAGGGTAGGAGTTTCCCAGAAGAGCTCTTAAACGCAATATAATAACATAGGCTGAAAAGAGACTTGTGTCCATCAAGCTCAGCCTTTCTCACATTTGATTTTTGCTGTTGATCCAAAAGAAGACAAAAAACAATTCTGGAGCACTTCCAATTGTGCAACAAACTAGGAAAAATTACTTTTTTTAGTGCTGAGGTAAACTGACTTCTAATGACACTACAGCAATATACATAAAGAAAACTTCACTTTGCATTTCTCAGATATTACACTGTTTTTGTATAATGGTTAAACAAGCTTGATCTACAACCTGATAGCAGAAGATAATAGCAGATTGAATAGTGAAAATAAGAGATTTGCATTGACCGTTTAAGAGTTGAGACTTGAGGGATAAGCATGTTTAAAACGTAATATAGGTTATCTAGGTTAGTGTGAAGAGTGCCTTTCCAGGAGGCCACAGCATAAGTTTGATGTTAAATTGGTACCTAACAGTCTAGATGCTAAACAAGTATAAGAATCCATAAGAAAAATGTACCAACAGACTACATTTGTATTAAACAAGAAGCAGTCACAAAAACCAACACCCTTTGGGAGACTTTTTTCCTCCGTTTGACCACATGTGCAGGCTAGCACCCAGCTCAGGAGGATTACCCTGCAATGCCCAGTTGATGCTGTATAGTTAAATTTTCAGCTAGGGAGATAGCCATTCTGATGTTCCAGGCACTGGACAAAGTCCCAGGTATGGCCCGGAGGACCTAAGCCTGGAGATTTGGATGACCATCCTGTAACCTCCGTGAGCATATTAATTTCAGTTGCCTTTTTCGAGCCTGCATGCGGGTTGGAAATGCTGACCCCTCTATAACAGGCGGTAAGCTCTGGGTCACTTTCCTTCATATTTCACGTTGCCGCGAAGAATGCAAGCGGGTGTGCAATCGTCTCCAAAAATCGTCAAAGTGCAGATTGAGCCTGATAAGAGTTGTGGAGAGCATGTGGTGTCTGCCATTAGAGTAGCTTGCTGACTTTGTGTAGCTGTAGATCAGCACCATGTTGTAATGTAGTTGTGGCGTCAAGCATCCAAGAAGTGGACCAGCATCACCCCCACCTGTCAAGAGGGTGTGAAACGGGGCAACAGAAAGATTCGGTGTGGGTCCAGACCTTTGCAGACTGAGAGCAGTCACCTCTCCGTCTGAGGCTGCTAGGCCGCACTACCACCGCTGGTGGCCTCTGTGGCAAATACGGCTCCCTGCCACTCTTGATTGAACCTGCCAGGTCAGGGCTTCGGTGAGTCTCCACCAGGATCAGATTTGGAGTACTGGATGGCTCAAAGCAAGGCTAAGGAAAGGCTGCATGAGGAGCTCAAACATAGCACGTCTGGTCACCATGAATGTCAGGCCTGGCCCGGAAAAAAATGACTTCTTGATCCCAGAATGACAATCAGATATCTCCTTGGATCATGAAGCTATAACCCCATTAAATTAAAATTTGTAACCCTGTATATTATGTTTTTGCAAGTATTATCCAATTGCTATTTAAACATCTGTATAGACTGATAAAACCACCTCTTCAGGCTGAAAATTCCACATCCTTATTGTTCTTACTGTAAAAAACAAAACAAAAACTTTTCTTTGCCTTAAACTAAATCTCCTTTCTTCCAGTCTAAATCCATGACCTCTTGTCTATGTTTAGTCTTGTTTATGAACAGATTTCTGGACAATAGTTTGTATTGGCCATGAATATATTTGTATAATGCTATCATATCCTCGTTGAGGTGCCATTTTTCCAAACTTAAGAGATTTAAAATTGTTAACCTCTCTTCATAAATAAAATTCTCTATTTCTTTTATCAATTTTGTAGCCTGCCTCTGCACTTTTTAGGTTCCCAAAATTGCATTGCAATATGTATATAAGCTTACATTTAATTGTACAAAAGACATCACATTTTTTGTTAGTCAAGATTCTATTGCAAGGTATATATTTGCTATGCTCAGATTAGTATGGGATAAACTAAGGTGGCTTCTTTATTTAGTTATGAAACTATGCTGAGCGAGGAAAGTATCTTTTGGATGTCAAAGTTTAACTTTTTATATTATTGCTAGTTTCTTATGTATGTTATCTGTGTTTCTTTTACTAAAGTATTGCTTAGATGCCCCAGCATATGAAATATTACACACGAATTCTTAAAAAAAAAAAATGTTTTAAATTGTATTTATTTTTTTTAAATGGCGTTATTAGCAACAAAACTCTTGGTCTTTGCTGTAGCCACTTGGTAGCTTACATGAGTTTATACCCCCAAATCACTCTGTATCTGTCGGAAATATCTGACAGTAATAAAGAATGTTTGTTTTTTCTCTAAACACTGGGCAAATTAAATCCTAGTGTGCTTGGAAACAGCTGTTATCTGTTTCCAGAACTGCAAATCAGTGCTTTTTGTTTTAATTTTCTCCAGAAAACTGTGTAGGCATTATTAGTTTAAAGTTTTATTGTTTTTCTTTTTTTTTTTTTAATTATAGTGCATGTCTTGTGTTTCAATTTCTTGTCATTACGATTAGCTAGCCCGACAGCCTAACTGTAACTAAAGCTTCCTCTTCAGTCCATATCTTGTTTGGAATTATATATTTTACAGTGCTCTACTCTGGAATTAAAGTTAGCAACAATTTGTGGATGCTGAATATTATACTGCTACATTTTCTTTTCCATTTGTATAATGTACAAATAGTTCTACTACAAGAATATCAAAGTTACAATTCTAACAGGAAACTCCCTAGATTTTCACATACTGGTATTTTATTGATATTTTTGTTTTGATTTACTATTTTGTATTGGTTATGTTCATATTTTGCTACATCTGGCTTTTCTCAAACTACTGCATCGCCTCTGTGCATTGGAATGCATATCTTTGCCCAGTAGACCTCTATAGATTATATATAAGCTGCAAAAAGGTGCACTTTATATATTGGATACATCTGATATGTATATATAAATTTGTTCTACTGTGTGCTCTTGTGCTATACTTTTTGTGAAAGAATAAAATGATACCTGAACATTATATTAGGTACTTTAATATGTTTCATTAATTTTAATAGGTGCAACATGTTTTAAAGGCAAGCCATCAAAAAGAAAGCCACGAACTAAATGCAATTCTAAATGGGCCACATATTCAGGTAAGACTCGTTTTGTTATTTATTTATTTATTTTTTTGGTTGTGCACGAGAATACAGCTAACATAAAATCTTGCCATGCCACAACAGCAGTAGCAAGCCGGTAAAAAAACAAATCATTGTCATGGCATACAAGTAAAACAGCACAGGTTTTTTGTTATATTTGGATATTCAGGCTAAACATGCATTAATAGGTAGAGTTAGCAACACAATAGACAGGCCAATATGCATGAATAAGACAGTGGAAGGGTCATTATGCTGGATCTATATGTAACGCATAGGCTTAATAATACAGGCTAGGGCCAGGGGTAGGCAACCTTTGGCACACCAGATATCTTTGACTACATCTCCCATAATGCTCTTACAGCCACAATGCTGGCAAAGCATCAAGGGAGATGTGGTCCACAACATCTTGGGTGCCGAAGGTTACTTAACCCTGGGTTAGGCTATAATAATAAACACTGAGTAATAGTGGTGCCACTGGGTACTTGTCAAAACTGGAAATGCATTGTAGTAGGAGACCCTGTAATTAATACCAGGAAAGTGGGTATAGTTAAAATAGGGTCCATGCCATGCAGGATCTAGCCAATGCCACAAGTAGGCCTCAATTGACATACAATCTCAAAGCATGTCATGCTGTCAACACTCGCCCACACACAGTCCCGCAATAACAGCCAGGTGGCAGGCAGATGAGCAATCGAGGGTCTGCTTGATTCGGAGATTGCAACTCTCTGAGCCAAAGCCATATGTGGACTCCGCATCCAAAACTGAGGGGACCTCCATCTCCGCATGAACATGGATTCTGGGACGTCCTAGTGCTCACCAAAGGTTTTTAAAGACCTAATAATCTATACTTCCATGTATTGCAGGGTTTAATGCCCACTGTCTTCATAGACCAGAATACAATAAAATGAATGTATTCTTGCTGGTGTTCAGGCAGTTTAGCAAAAGCTCATTACCTGTGAGTCTAGACCTATGACTTCTGTGATTATCTACTCTACATGTTAACTATATCCCTAAATATTCTCTAAAAAAATATATAAAAATTTGTGAAATCTGTAGACGTTGATAAAACCTCTTTAGCCACATGTTCCACATCTGATGTAGATGGAAATCTAATTTCTTCAAATCCTTATGAGTGACTTTTTGTCATTTGTGCATTCATGTTAATGGACAGGTTGCCAAAGACCTGTTTGAAAGATTTGATGTATATCATTGACATAGCCAGTACAGAATCAGCAGCTACAATACTTAGATATTTTTCCTAACCAACATAAACAAACAAAACCTGTTTAGCCTGTTTTTCTTTATTTCTTTTTTTTTCTTTTGTAAACATAAATGATTACATTTGTTAAAAAATAATAATTTTATATATGTGTTGCATCTCTTCGCTTACACTTAGCTGTATTCATTCAGAGAAACAACTTCTGTGACCAAAACCTATGTAGGGAATGAGTTGATGTGCATTCACAAATCCTGACATTATGAGCAAGCAGCAACACAGTCTTTATAAGCATTTTATAAAGATGTATTTAAAAAAACAAAACAAAAACAAAAATATGTATATATGTATAAAATAAATTAAAATAGATATGTACTACGGTTTCTTTATAACTGTAACACCTATCACCACTATACAAAAAAGAAAGAAAACCAATAAATATTTATATATATTCTTTTTTTGTATACTTGTGATGGGGGTTAGAGTTATAAAGAAGCCGTAATACATATAATAATCTAACTCCCCAGGTAATTGCACTTCTATTTTATGAGTGGTTGTATTTCGTCATTTTTAATATATGACGAAACCATATATATATAGTTTTTTTTAAAGGAATAAATACTGGTTATCACACGGCATTTAAAACTGCTCATCTGAGAAACCTGCAGGTCAAGTGTTTTTGCTTTTAAAATGGTGGCCTCCTGATTTGTGTTTGACACTTTAGTTATTTTGACTCTAATATAACCTTTAGTTAATGATGTGTATTGATTTGGTTGAGGACATGACGAGAAACAAATGTGCAAGATTTTAGTCTACTTTGCCCACTTTTTAAGAAAAACAATGGAATACTGTGCACACAGTTCATTTTGTGTCCACAAGCCTATGTTCAACCTGTATATTGGTTTCTAATCTGTATTTGATGTGAACAAAATATAACAACTATTTTAATTGTCACGTTCACTTCACTTCCAGGGGTTTTTGCTTAAGATTCTTATGACCTTGCCGGATTGATCACAATTCTGTTTATCACCATAGCTTGATATTCTGAATGTGTTTACTGCAATGTGTTACTTTCATGTTTGTTTGTTTATTTTTTTTCCTCCTATCTTTATTAGGCACTTCTTTTAGCACATGACAAAATTGCAGAGCAAGAAATGATGCCAGAACCAGTATCCGAAGAGAGATTTTATGAAACTATTGGGCAGTATGGAGAAGAAACTGTTAAAATCGTTAGAATAGAGAAAGCTAGAGATATTCCATTGGTAAGTAAGCTAAAGCATTTGATTAGACTTCAGAATCAAACACCGCAAAATTAAGCATCTTGCATCACAGATAGAAAAATGGATTGGTACAAAGGCAAACATGAGTCGTTGATGGCCAGGCAACCTATGTATTAATTAGCAGGCATCTAAATTCTACATTTAGATTATTATTGCAGTGTAATTACTGCAAGTTCAGCCGTGGAGCATAGTGGGTTTTTTTTAAGACTGACTTGATGAGAAAACTGCCAAAGTCTGTCACATGCTAACTGAAAGCAAACACTGCTAGCTAAAACCATGTGGGGCACTGCTACCCAAACACTGAAATGCTGCAGTGGTAAGTATGCTTTTTTTTTTTTTTTTTTTTTTTACTTTTGTCCACTGCACACCTCACCTCAGCAAATAATTATAAAATGCTTACCAGTGTGAAGGATTGAGTAGCTGAATATATAAGAGTGACAATTCTTCAGTAGTGTTAATTTTGTTTTGTTTTTTTGAGGAGCGGGGGTGAAGAATTGGGAAGATGATGTATTTTAGCTGGTCAGACCGTTTGCTGATGAAGGGAAAGCTCCTTAGACTAGAAATTCTCAGTAAGTTGTTTGTGGGTTATTGTTGTGTTCAACCACCTCCTTTGTGCTTAGGAGCTGTTGGAGACAACTTGATATGCGTTGGGAGCGTTTGGTAAAGGAGGGTTGCTGAGATCTGGAAAATAAACCATAATGCAAAATGGCAGCTACTTCATATAAAGTAACAGCTTCTCAGACCTCTACAATTATAAATTAAGAAATGTCCTTTCACTTGTCAATCTTATATCCTTTATTGCCTTTACATGCTGTTAAGTAATCATGAATTCAATACATTGTAAAACTAGTTCAATAGTCGTATTAACTAATGCAGTTTTACACATTTCAATGACATTTGAAAGGTTATTTGCTTAATGTGGCAATCTTGATTTGAAACAAAGGCTCCAGGGAGAGTGCAATCTATAAAGGGAAAGTAGAGAGCCAAAATAGTACAATTAAAGGTTTGGGAACCCCCTGTGACATAGGCCAAACAAATATGGCCACCTCACCCTGTCAAACACCTTCTCTGCATCCAATGATAGAACCATTGAAGGCGTTTTGCCAAGACTTTTCATTGAGCTGCATTGGGAAGTCGACAATTGGACAGCCACTGAATGTCTGGGCAGGGTTAGAGGGGGCTTCTGAAACTTTTTGCTTGTTTTGTTTTCCATTTTTGTTTGTTTTTTAAAAATAGTTGCATTATGTTTTCCAAAATGATACATAACTAGGAACAAACTCTGTAAAAACATAAAATGTGATAAAGCCTGAGGAAGAATCACAGCTATGTAAACATTATGTTGATGGAATCCAGCTTTACTGGTATTTGTGAAACCCATATTTATCATCAAGGCGATCTCCTCGGTGCACAATCTCCTCAGAGTTTCCAGAAATCAGTCACCATGGGGGGCAAAAGAATGCACCTTCAGTGGAGAGATGACGCTAAGTAATACTTTAAAGAACTAGTACACTGGGTATATTGGGGGCATGATTTTCTGTAACCTAACTGGAGTTGGCTTTCAGCAATGGCAGGGGTCTGTAGCAGTGGGGTAAAGTGAGGTTCTGTGATGGGTAAGCAATAAAGAAACAATGTTGGGATATGCCGTGCATGGTTTGTCAGATTGTTACTTTGCAACAGAGGTATGTGGACCACCTAGGAGTAAGTGGATATATTTCTGAAGGGTATGTAGGATTACCCCCAATTTCGTAGGTGTTCCACTTACTTATGTCTTTTGGTTCCATTTATTATTTTTATCTGGTATTTCTGAAGGTGTAACCAAATTTGCTCATGAAAGGATTTGATGTTGGGGCAGATTACTGATTCCAGGTGAGAAGGCCACGATGATCAGCGTTTGCTTAGTTATTTTAGATGGAATAGCATATGATGTAGAAATTTTATTTAATATTTATTTCCAATATCTTTATTGAAGACAGGCAGAACTACGGTAATAAGTCATACATAGACACAGCCAAAATAGTATAATAGTAAGGACGTTATCAAATGTGATACATTGACCAGAGATCTTGTTAAAATAGAACCCCAGTACAGTGTTAATTAATTTGTGCCTTAGATACCTATATATAAAATTTATGAACTATCTTGACCCACTCATGGACAAATAGAATAAGAAGGGACCAATTTGGTAATTTGTTTGACCTTGCGTTCCTTATTGTGGGTCATTTCCACCCAAATATTGTGAAAAAAAGTTAATACATGATTAATTCCAAAGAAAGTGTGTGTGGGGGGGAAATCTCCTTATTCCATTTGGCAAGTATACTTTCTTGCCAGCTGCAACTAAAGTTAAAGAGCTACTCCACTTCCCAAATACAAAATAAATAATCACTCTTTAGTAGATATACCCCATATGAAAACTTGCATGCGTTAAATAATGCATTTCTTCATTGAAGTATAGCTAAAACAAAAAGTAAAGTAAAACAATGGGTCCTGTCATTGAACATGTGCTGAAGAGTGCCCACTCTGCTGTCATTGTTAAGTGGAGCTTAAAAACATCTCTGCTACGTGTTAGCCAAACGTATATTTTGGTATAGAAGGGGACACTACTACTATCTCGGGACAACCCTGCTTTAAACTTTAATAAGGAAGGTAAATAAGCTATATGCAAAATTCAGAAGTAAATCTTTAACAACATTTTTATATTTATTAAAATATATTTGTATAAATATCTCCATCTCACAAGAATCTGTAATATTAGGAATTGTGTAGAAAAACATTTTAAAAAATGATTTTAAATGTCAAAGACCTCCAGACCACGTCTCCTATTGCCTTTGTACTAGATTAGATAAATGTAGAATTGCTAGGTAGCACCATACCAATTGCTCTCATGATTCTTTCAACAGTTTTTATTTTATGGTTCATTGAAAATGCCAAACCACATTTTAAACGAATCTGAGTATATAGTTCATAACCTAATTGTATGCCTCAAGTGTCACAGATGTCATACAAAATTTATTCAAAAAGGTCTTTTGTACTTTTTTGTAAAATGTATTCAAAAGCACAAAAGGCCACTATCCCGTGTGACAAATGTACATCCATTATCATAAACTCCAGGTTTATGCAGCTGGAAAGCTGAAAATAATTTTCTTGCTGTAGCTATAATCATTTGGAGGACTTAATTTTACACTAAATAGTCTACAATAGGACTAGTACACTTCACTTGGGGGGAAAATAAATCTGCAAATCTTTCTCATCTCAGAATTTGTGCCACTTTGAGCCGGACTCTCCCGCGTTTTTTCCTTTACATCCGATATGTCTTGTTGCAACTGATTGCTTTTTAATTCACATAGTATAGAGCGTTGTGAAATATGTTGTTACTTTACAAGTAACAATCATTTTCACTAAGAAAAAATGATTCAAGGCACACCTACATTTTGCACCTTCATCAACAACTTGTAAATGTCATATACGCTTGTTTGTTTTAAGAGATATCTTCAGATCTTCCCAGGTGGGAAATTATTTATTTTAACACACTTCTTTAAAAGCTATACTTCAAGACTGTAAACAACCTTTTAAAGGGAAACTAGTGCCACCAAACAGTTTTTTCCTGCAACTATAGCCCCCTTTAGTGCCCCTCTCTACGGGGGTAGTGCTGAAGAGGTTAAAAACCTTAGTCCATTGCCAATGTCCCTCGGGTATTTTTACTTTATCATACTTTTCTTGTCTTACTGATATTGGGATGTAACTTCTTATCCCCGCATACTGATATCCGGTAGTGAACACCATGCAGCAACGTAGCATAGGGAGACTTACGTATCCAGTATATCATGCAAAAATGTGTACTTTGAAGTATATTCCCTGATGGTCCAGCAGCTGCAGCATAACCAGTGCACACATGGCTCTCGCTGTTCCTATATGGTCATCAACAAGCCTGTATGAATTAAATTGTCATTCAGATGTTCTCTAGCCCACTGAAGAAATGCAAGAGCATTCTGTGAGCACTGTAAAAATGCAAAGACCTACTGCTTTCATCACCAGGGATAATTAACAAATGTTTGTCTCTTAAAGCATTATACCTAGGTTGGGTTATCCTGGTTTGCTCACTGCACTCTTTGAGCTGTGTTGAAGCATACTAATGTGCAGCATTGATTTTTTTTTTTTTTTTAATTAGGATTTAACAATTTCTCACAGCACATTTTTACATTCCTAGTGTTTTTTGGAGAAGAATATTTGAATATTGTGTAAAATTTGTGAACAAAACCAATATGGCAACCAAACAGTATATTAATTTTACTTTTGTGTTTTGCTGCCCGAGAACTGTCCAATGTGGGTGTGGTTCCGTTATTACATTCAAAACTTGAATACAAATCTCTTTCCTTCCCTGTCTGATTCCGGAGAGTGCCCGACTTCTGGTAGTGAAAACGTGTAGTTGGGAACTCAAGAGATTGCTGCACACAGCCCAGTTAAAAAAACTGTGAGCTGCACTTTGTATAAAGTGACAATATAACTATCAGCTGCTTTAGAAATTTCACTCATCCTATGTTTTGAATGGAAGACTGGCTGAGGGCTTAACTGCCAGTTCAGGACAAGGTTAAATGGGGTAGTTAAGTCAGACCAGAGTGAGAGGCTCCTTTTTGGTAGAACCTTTTTCTGGTGTAGAAGAGGTCTACATGCTTCACCACTAGTCTGTTGACATCAGCACAAAATTCTAAGAGGGGTTGTTTTTAACACATTATTGTGTTATAGGGTTTCAGAAAAAAAAATGGAAGCCAGTAAACATTGTTGCCTTGCCACCTTCTAATTTGAACCTTTCCAAAGGTTACAAAAAACACTAGGCTACAAAAAACAGGAAGGAAAAGCTTTTTTTTTTTTTTTTCTTTTTTTTTTCTTTAAATCATTGACTCATATTGCTTATGTTTTTGTCATACAGGGGGCTACAGTGAGAAATGAACTGGATTCTGTCATTATTAGCCGAATAGTGAAAGGAGGTGCAGCAGAAAAGAGTGGTTTGTTGCATGAAGGTGATGAAATTCTTGAAATAAATGGCATAGAGATCCGCGGAAAAGATGTCAATGAAGTGTTTGAGCTTTTGGTAAGTCTATAAATCTTTGATTTCATATTATATCAGACTTTACTGTTACATAAGATACAGGTTACTCAATTGCACTCCCTTTATGATTTTGTTTATTGTGAACATCTAAAATGCGAGGGTCCATGGCACACTCACCATGGCTGAATTTAATGCTGCAAATAGCTTGTCGGTGAGTGGAAATTCTGAGCTCCGATTTACCTTCAGGCTTTTTTTTTCTTCTTTTTTTAACCTTATCTTATGCATTGTCTAGATCAAGGGTAGGCCACCTTCAGCACTTTAGGTGTTGTGGACTACATCTCCTTGATGCTTTGCCAGCATTATGGGACACGTTGTCCACAACATCTTGAGTTGTGCAATACTTAAAAAGGATCTCACTGACTGTGTGATTGTGAAGGAAGATGTTTAGGTCTCAGAATCCTACAGTCTGTATCCACTTCACGGAGTAAGAAAAAACTTAATTTCCCTGCAAGCAGCACTACAGGTGTGGGATTACCAACAGGCCACATCTGACTAGATAAAAAAAAAAAAAGCTTCAAAAGGTCAATGCATGAAAGGCTGAGGTCCTTCATTTCTAAGTTGGTTGCAGTGAGGATGCAGACTTGCATTAAAGGTAACAGATTGATATGTAAGAGTGGTGTATTTAAATGCTGTGTTTAAGGCTGGCAAATGGATTTAGCCATCTAGCGATAGTCAGGGAGTGACTGTGTTATAGTTGGTGCACTTGTGAGAGCTAGGATTTATTTTCTATTATTTTGTTTTGGGAATTGCTGGAAAAATACACATATTGGATTGTACCATAAATTGTGTTAAAGACTACCATATTCTGTCCTCTATAACACTAGAACACTGTGCTAAGATCTCTAACACCGTGAGTGTTAACTTGCACATCTAAAATATATATAGTTAGTTTAGTTGTTTGTTTTGCATCTATCCAGGACTCGCAGCTTCTGGCAGTGAGCTCTGCTTAGGCTGGGATTAGCTAATGCCTATCAATCAAAGAATCTTGTTATTTTTACAGAGAATGCTAATCATATCCTATAAACTCTTTGTATGGAAGAGCTGAAATGTGGTCCAATACTTACTTGTTGTTGATAAAAAGTGGGCAACTGAAAAGAGACCATACAAAGTGCAAACTTTGCAGTTTAATATTTTTGATTTTTTTTTTTTCTTTTTTCTTTTTTGTGAACGTGTAGAAATATTTAACTTTATAAATGTGAAAAGTCTAATGATTGGTATTTTGTTCATATATACATACTGATTTCTTGTTTTAGGCTGACATGCATGGCACCCTGTCCTTTGTTCTAATTCCTAGTCAACAAGCAAAGCCACCTCCTAGCAAGGAAACTGTGGTAAGTTACCTTTGCACTTATTACACTCCCACTTTAAGCCTCAAGATCAATCCTGCCAGTTAGAAATAAAATGCCTAATTGGTGCATGATCTTACGGCCATCTACAAATCCATTTTTTTCTTTCATGTTGTTAAAAGTATGCTGTTCCACAAGATTTAAGCAGGTAGAGATTTATACAGGGCATTGTAGCAACTAAAGGTATTAAAGGCTTACTCCAAGCACCATGGCCACGTTAGTGATTTGAACTCCACCTCCATCAGTATCAATTAGGTGTCTTCAGACAGCCTAGAAGTAGAGTTCCAGGCTGGCTAATGCCTATTCTGTGTAACTTTCATTGCACATAATTGCATTAATTAGCCACAAGTGGTCAGCTGATGCCTCATGCGGTGCTATAGAGGCTGTGGCTTTTGCCATTCAGTGGCTGAGAGCATCAGCAGGGACCCAGATAAGAGGGCAAGGTGTTTGTGAACAGTTTAGTCCATTATTGGTGAATTGGGCAAGTGTACTACTTGCATCAAAACCCAACAGCGGGCATGATGATTGGAGTAACACTTTAAGATATACTTAAGAGATAACTGCCACCAGAATTATTTTCATTTTTTGTTATTATAAGAATCCTTACAGTATATAATAAAAAAATATGGCATTTTTGTTATGAAGTGTATGGGGGAAAAATACCTGAAAATCTTGCCCTAACTTTCACAGAATCCCTTTGCCATATTCATACACATTTGGTCAGACTGCAATAGAAGTCAACTGTTGGGCTCCTGCTTCACTCCCTGCACAAAATAGTAAAGTCATCAGCCATCGCTGTGTGGTCTGCCTTGTCTGAATTCTGACTGTATTGGCAATTCATATATTTACTAAAGAAAAATGCGATCAGAATCCAGTCGGCCCGACCTATTTCTATAATATTGTTTCGGTGTAGAAATCGGATTTTACACATCCGAACCAATCTACAGCACCCGAATTGCATATTATCATTCATTTGCTTTTTGCCAGCCATCCATAAAATAAATTACCTACTTACCCCCCCCTCCACCACCATCCTAATAAAAGGGGAGAAGGCATCTAAAACCTGTCATACTTATAATCAGAAGTCTTCTAATTCATCTTTCTTCACCCCAAAAAAGACTAAATTAATTGCTGCAGAATGAGCGCTCCTAACTAGAAAAGCCCTTTTATAGGCGTCACACACTATGCCAGGTATCGCAAAGCGTGGCAAATTTCCCACGCTTTGCAACTTGACAACAAATGATCTGATTGGTTGGTTAGTAAACCAACCATTTAGAGCACTCTGACAACCAAGTCTCATGAGAAGTGATTTTTGGCGATGTGCCCTCTGGCTATCAGCAAGCAAATAGTTCTTCAAATTATCATTCACTTGTAAAAAAACTGTGAGCTGCACTTTGTATAAAGTGACAGTATAACTATCAGCTGCTTTAGAAATTTCACTCATCCTATGTTTTGAATGGAAGACTGGCTGAGGGCTTAACTGCCAGTTCAGGACAAGGTTAAATGGGGTAGTTAAGTCAGACCAGAGTGAGAGGCTCCTTTTTGGTAGAACCTTTTTGTATGCAAACAAGTTGTTGATCCAAAGCTAAATATGATTGCCATTATGGAGTCAAGAAGGAATATTTTCCCTTCTTGTGGCACAATTGTCAATGGCTACAATTGTGTTTTTTTTTTTGTTTTGTTTAATATCATTTTTATTGTGTTTTCAAGAAGTAAAATCAATGCAAGGGGTACAGAAGAGATAAGGGGTTTGACAAAAATATAACATAGTAGGGATTCCGTTGAGTTATACATAATGATTAAATCAGATTTTTTTGTATACGTAGTCCTGTCTTATGTTGACGAATTATAGTGGTGGGAAGGGGTCTGGGAGGGTGAGGTGGGTGGAGGGGTGGTGGTTGGGGGACGGGGTATCCTGTCGCTGCCTGCCTGTATAGAGGTTTAGAGTCTAGAGTTTTCCGGCTATTTGTGGTAAGGGGTTTCCTATTTCCGTATGTGACTGATTTAAGTGCTCTCGCTACGGCTGGTCATGGGCGTGTTTCCTGCGGGAGGGGGTTCTCAATAGGTAAGCCAGGGTTCCCAGGTTTTTAGGTATTTAGCTCTCATGCCCTGTGTCGTCCAGTGGATCTCCTCTATTTCTCTAGTCCTTTCTATCCGTTGGACCCATTGTTCTCTAGAGGGCATTTGTGTTTGTCGCCAGAGCATGGGTATAAGAGCATTGGCCTCACCTATGAGAATGTTCAGAAGTTGCTGTTCATACGGGTCTATCAGGGCCCGTGGCCACTTTAGTAATACTTGGGATTGAGATATGTGTGCCCTCATGGATAGGAGTTTCTTAATGTCTGTGAGTATCGTGTTCCAGAATGGGGCTATTTTCTTGCAACCCCACCAGATGTGTTCCATGTTACCCTCTGCTTCCTCGCACCTCCAGCACTGGTTGCTAACTGTGGGCCAGTAGGTGTGTAGTAGGGCTGGTGTTTTATACCATCTGGTGACTCTTTTGTAAAATGTTTCTTTGCGGGCTATGCTCAGTGGGGCTTTCATCCCTGAGTTCATGATGTGTGCCCAGTCGCTAGTCGTCATGTGTATGTGGAGTTCCCTCATCCATTTTCTTTGGTATGGGGGTCTGGGTGTGTCTCCCGTGTCCATTTGGAGGAGACGGTAGATGGCCGATAGGGGCCATTTTGTTTTACTGCCCTGGGAGCATAGGGATTCGAATGGCGTCTTGTCCCTTTTTCTCCATAACGGGAGGACCGATTGGGTCAAGAAGTGGGTTAACTGGGCTCTGGCCATATTATCTAGTAGTGTTCCTCTGTTACCTGGTTTTGGGAAGGTCTTTATTTTAGGAGGGTCGTCTTCTGATAGGACTGCTGTTACCTCTGGACAGGCCTCCCCAGTGACTCGGGTTAGAGTAGTGCTTCCATGTCCGTTTTGGAAGTCTGGGTTGTTAGCCAGAGGGAAAAACGGGGACAGACCAGGGGATAGTCCCCAGCCCTCTCTATGTCTCCTCCATGTCCGGAGTGTGTTATGGATGAGGGGGTGGTGTGTTGGGGAGAGTTTTGTGAGTTGGCATGTCTGCCAAGGGAGCGTATGGAGAGGTACTGTCGCAAAGCTCTGTTCAAGTTTGTACCAGGCTTTTGGTGTTTCAACCTTGTTCCATTTCCTGATTCGCGTGAGTAGGACTGCTACGTAATATTTGTATAGGTGGGGCAAGCCCAACCCCCCCCTCCCCGGTGGAGGTGTTATTGTCGAGTATGCCAGCCTCGCAGGTTTGTTTCCCCATGTGAATTTTATGATGATGGATCTCATGCGTCGGAAGAATTCTCCCGGTAGAGGGATCGGCAGGGTCTGAAACAGGTATAATACTTTCGGTAGAATAATCATTTTTATTATATTGACCCGACCTATTAATGAAAATTGGGGTGAGTCCCATTTTTTGAGGTCTGTGGCTATAGCGTCTCTGAGGGTCGGGAAGTTCTGTGTGTACAGGTCCTTGAGTGACGGAGTGAGACGAATTCCTAGATACGTCAGACTTTTCTGAGCCCAGGCGAAGTTGTGGGATTCCCTAATCTGGGCCTGTGAGGCCGATGGTATGGAGAGTCCTAGTATCTCGCATTTTTCTGTGTTGATTTTGAAATTTGATAGTGTGCCAAATTTCTTTTTCTGTTTGTACCTGGGTCAGTGTGTGGAGCGGGTCCGTGACGGAGAAGAGCACGTCGTCTGCGAATGCAGAGACCTTCACTTCTCCCCCTGGATAGCAATATCCCTTAATTTGGGGGTTGTTTCTGACAGCTGTCAGAAATGGCTCTATCGCCAAGACGAACAGGAGAGGGGAAAGTGGGCATCCCTGGCGGGTGCCGTTCCCTATTCGGAAGGGTGTGGAGTGTTGCCCATTTACCCTTACAGTGGCTGTCGGTCCCATGTATAGTGTATGTATCCAGTTCCTTAATTTGGGGCCTAGTCCTAGATTCTTCAATACTCCAAATAGATACTTCCAGTCAACCCTATCGAAAGCTTTTTCAGCGTCTATGCCTAGTAGTATTGTAGGGGTGTGATTAGTGTTGGCTCCATGTATGATACTTATTATTCTAGAGGTGTTGTCCCTGGCCTCCCGTCCCGGCACAAAACCTGCCTGGTCGGGGTGTATCAATTCCGGCAATAAGGGTTTAATACGGTTAGCTATCAGTTTGGCTATCAGTTTAAGGTCTAGATTGATAAGGGAGATGGGTCTGTAGCTGCCGCAAACTTCAGGGTTCTTCCCAGGTTTGGGAATAATGGTGATAGATGCGCGTAGCATCGGGGCAGGGAGAGAGGTGCCCGGTTCCAGCCCGTTTAGCATCTTAAGAAAGTGTGGTCCCAGGTCATCCATCAGTGTCTGATAATATCTAGCTGTTAGGCCGTCTGGGCCGGGGCTCTTGCCTTTCGGCATCGTTTTAATCGCTGAAGAGAATTCCTTATGGGAGAAGGGCTCCTCAAGCACCTGGGCTGTTTCGGTCGGGACCCTGTGTAGTATATTGGCCCGCAAGTAGTCATGTAAGTCCAAGGGGGTGCCTGTGGGGGGTGTTAGGTTCTAGAGATTGTGATAGAAATTGCTAAATGCGTCTGTCATCGGTGGTGTTACATTGTTTCCCCTGGCTATTTTTGATGTGGGTTATGAAGGATTTTTGGAGCTTGGTCTTCAGTGCTCGTGCTAGTAATTTCCCACTTTTATTTCCCTGCGCATAGAAAGAGCCTCTCGTTAACTGGACGGCCCTATGTGCTTTGAGGGATAGGAGGGATCGAAGTTCGATTCTGAGTCCTGTTAGTTTGTTGAATATCTCCGGCGTGGGGGTCTGTTTGTGTAGTGTTTCTTGTTCCAGAAACTATATACACAGGAGCAAGGTAAAGTAAACATATATACAAGGAGTTGGCGCTGTACTTGTGGGAGACTAAGTCGTGTCTCCAAGTTAGTGTTTAAGCGCTTCTCTGTGGGGGGGTGGAGTTCTGTCTGTCTGGACAGGTCCTGGTTAAGAGGAAGGAGTGGGCTGCTGGGACTCATTGAGAATGAACTACATGGTCCCCATGAGGGGCCCGTGTCTATGTCCCTTGAGATGTACCCGGTTCCGGGCTCCCCCGGGGCCCCCTAATGTAACATAAGTTTATGCTTTTGGGTCATGGGGCCTTAGTGGTCAGGGTAGTATAAATCAGTGGAAGTCATTGGCGGGCATTGATATTATAAAGAATTATATCTATGCGTAACAGAAGTATATAAAACAAGATAATTCAAATACAGTTTTAGTATTTGAGAGATTAGAGCAAAGGATATCTAAGAGCGTCAGCAGCAGTCTTCAGGCCTCTTTGTCTCTGGTCTTGCTGGGGGTCTCTGTCCTAGCCTGGGGTTGCCGCCTTCGCTTTCTTGGTGTTCTCTGCCATGTGGATTTTTGCTGGAGCGGTGTGGGCTTGCAGTTAGAGACCAGTCCAATCTTCGATTGCGACTTGGGGTAGGCCCAGTGCCTGTTGAAATTCAGGGACGTCTGTCGGTGTAGATATAGTGTGGGTTGCGGTTTAGGTTGATACTGTTAAGGCCAATGGGAAGGACCATCTGAATTTGATCTGTTTGTCAAGTAGGGCTGATGTGATCGGCTTAAGAGCCCGTCTGGCTTGTAGTGTGGCTGGTGAGAGGTCTTGGAAGATGGCCACTGGGTGCCCCTCGTATTTTAAGACCCTATTTTGTCGGGCCTCATGGAATATCTCCTCTTTCAGAGGGAAGTTGTGGATGCGGGGCATGTCCTTTGGTAAATTTCTGGGCCGTGCTGCTCTGTGGGCCCTGTCGAATTGTATTGCTGTGTCAGTTGGTCTAGTGAGGACCTGATTAAAGAGGGCAGTCAGTACCTTGATGGGGTTTTCGGTGGCGCCTTCCGGGCACTCTGGGATTCCCCTCACCCTCAGGTTGTTCCGCCTTCCCCTGTTGTCTAGATCGTCCAATTTTCTTTGGAGGTAGACTATGGCATCCGTATGTCGGGTTTGTATGGCTTGAGATTCCGTCCATAAGCGATCCTGTTTTTCCTCCGTGTCCTCCAGATTTTGCACTCTGACGCCTAGGTGCTGTACGTCTGTTGTGATTGCCTGCAGTTTCTCACCAAAGGAGTTTTCCAGTTTCTGGAACATTTCTGTGAGGTCTTTCTTCGAGGGCAGTTGTGTAAGTATTGCCCTGATGTCGGTTTCGTCCCCTGAGCCCTCAGATGGAGCTGGGCTGGGAGGCTGGCTGCGTTACGTAGTTTTTTTTGTCGCCATTGCCGCTTGTACGACTGGGGGCTGCTTATTTTCTCCTGTCAGGCACGGAGCTCCGTTACTCTGCTGCCAGTCTCGTCGGAGTCTTGGCCACGCCCTCTACAATTTTCTTTTTATTTTGGTTCAACAGCATAAAATAATGGGATTCAATATTTAATATGATGAACTTTAGTATTTTTTTTTAACCTGGTCAAACTATCTAACTGAAGTTCTCCAGGCGTTGTGATGTGCATGTGTTGCCTACCATGTCAACTGTGTATTTTAAATGTATAGTGTGATCAAGCCCTCATTTACAAGCACCTCACTTAGTGTTAGCTGTTACAATCTGAAAGTCTGCATTGCCATCTACTTATTCTTAGGCACAAACCCTGAAATAAACAAGATCCTAATACTGTTCACTGTGAGAGAACTATTCTCTAACCTCTACTGTGATCTTAGAAGATGTGTATCTAAAATAAACAGCTTGAACTGGCTGTGCTGGAATGTTAAGAGCAGTGGCTTTTAACTGTTGGCTGGAATTTTCAAGAATGCACCTACAACTGATGTATTTATTACTGGTATTTATAAAGTGCCAACAAGTTCCGCAGCGGTGTACAATTAGTGGAGGACTTACAATATACACAGACAAATACAAAAGGTAAAGAGGGCCCTGTCCGTGAGCTGACATCTAGCCATAGAAGCTCTTTTATACAAAGTGCTTAGCTAGATAGCCTGTGAGCTTACAATCTAAAGTATACAATGGGGATTTGAGACAAGAGGTTGCATGGGAAATTTTGGAAGTTGGCTTAAAGAAGTTAACAGAGAGTAGCAGCTATTGGTAAAATATAAAGGGAATGAAGAGGTAGTTTAGTGAGAATCTTAATGTATATATTGGTTTTTAACGGTTAGATTTTTATTACATAATGTCAACACTGATGAGTTGTTTCATTAAAAGACCACAACAAACTAGTTTTCCTGGCACTATAGGGTATTTAGGTCCCCCCCACCCTCAGGGTCCCACTCCCGCCGGGAGGAAGGGGTTAATCACTTACCTTTCGCCAGCGCTGGGGAAATCTCCTCCCTCTTCCGACGTCCGCGCTGAATGCGCAAGAGCAGCGCGTGCATTCAATTCGTCCATAGGAAAGCATCTCTCAATGCTTTCCTATGGACGTCTGCATCTTCTCACTGTGATTTTCACAGTGAGAAGCTCTTACAGCGGCTGTCAATGAGACCTCCACTAGAGGCTGGATTAACCCTAATGTAAACATAACAGTTTCTCTGAAACTATGTTTACAGCTGCAGGGTTAACCCTAGATGGACCTGGCACCCAGACCACTTCATTGAGCTGAAGTGGTCTGGGTGCCTATAGTGGTCCTTTAATATGTGAAAACTTCTGGTTTTAAAATTCTTTATTAGCATCATTACTCTGTTTGCAAATCATGCATGTTTTCTCCTTCCATCAGATACATGTGAAAGCTCATTTTGATTATGACCCTTCTGATGATCCTTACGTCCCATGCAGAGAGTTGGGTCTTTCTTTTCAAAAAGGTGACATACTCCATGTAATTAGTCAAGATGATCCCAACTGGTGGCAGGCATATCGAGATGGTGATGAAGACAACCAGCCTCTGGCAGGACTTGTACCAGGTAACACGTGATGAATTAGGTTTTACTAAGCATTTTTATAAAGCATTAAAACTGTATATCTTCATGACAAGCTGTGTATTGTTTGCTGTCATTACTGTAATTCTTATTTGCTGTAGTTTGCTGTGTTTTGAAAATGTCCATTCACAAATTAGTTCTGGCATTTCAGCTTAGTGTGCCAGTTACTATATTTAACTGTAGGCAGATGGCAAGCTGATTTTGTAGGTATGGTAAGTGGCTTAAGTCTTCTGAATTGTTTTACAAATTAGATTAATCGGAATGTGAATTCTATGACGTAAAATAGTCTAATAAAATATTTTTGCATGTTTTTATTTGCAAAAAGGGAAAGTATTTCAACAGCAGAGGGAGGCTATGAAGCAAACGATAGAAGAGGATAAGGAGCCAGAAAAATCAGGTTTGATGCATCTTTTTAACGAACACTTTAAATATGTACTTGTATGCTCTCCTTTATTAATACGTACACCCACCCTTAATGACCTCTGTGGTGTAAGCTCTGGCAAACTGTATTAAGAAGGGAATTTGAGGCACATCCATAACATGCATTTCTCAGCAATGTTGCTGCTCTAAGGACTGCTGTACAAAATCCAGATAAATGTGTTTTTAAATCTTACAAGGTTACCTAAACCTATAATATTACCAAATAAGTGCGCTAATACTGGAGATGGTAGATCTGAAAATAAGCAAGGAAAAATATAGTGCAGATGGTATGTATAAAACCATATATAGGTAGGGGTGAGGGGAAAGAACTCACATGGTCGGAGGAAGCCCAGGCAGGCGGGCGAAACGCATCATGGAGACGTCCTCAGAAGGCGGACCCCGAAATGGTCACGTGAGCTGGACTTTCGAAACCCAGCGTTGTTCGTGACTGTGGCATTCTACCTTTTGAATACAAGTTTTTATGTGGGTAGCTTACACCGCTGATACCCACCACTTTTAAAGTAAGAATTTTTAACCAATTTTTATTATTAAACTTTGAAGATACTGTTCATTTGGGGGTCTTTTGCCTTTCTATACCACACAGAATCGTTCTTTGGCTTGATAGTATCCAGCATACAGCCTTCATCTACAGATTGTGGGATTTTCCTTCTCCAATAGAGCTGTGAAAACCCAGAGCCAGCGCTTATAAGGCTCTGGTCCATGTGAGTTCTTTCCCCTCACCCCTACCTTTATATTGTTCTGTATATACCATCTGCACTATATTTTTCCTTGCTTATTTTCAGATCTACCATCTCCAGTATTAGCGCACTTGTTTGGTAATTTTCTGTGTATACTAGTTTGTGTCACTTGGGTATAGTGCTGCTATACTGTTGTAGCACATATTTTCTTAGCGCTCACTTGTTATTGGATTACCTAAACCTATCTTGGCAAAAAATATGGGTATTTGGTTAAACCATATGGCTATATAGTGTTCAGGCTTTCCACTATGTCACCATACCACAATATGGGTAGTCCTATTCTTATCTAACATGAGAGATAAACATGCTAACTGCAATATCTACTGCTTTAACTGCTTCAAAGACTCCCCTCAAACGTATGCTCTTCTGAAGTCCCTTCCAAAGGGAAATATAGAAAGAAGGGGTGGGTTGCTCAATCCAAAATGAATATGGTCTGGATTTCAAATCCATACAGAAAAAAGGAATTTGGGGGCACATCCAGACCATGCACACCTCAGAAGTAGCATTGCTGTAAAGACCAAAATATATGCAAAATCTAGACAAAGGATCAGTGCACGCAGTATAGGCATTCTGTGACATACAGGTGTGCTTAAAATGTCTGTCGCCTTAAACTTGCCTTTCTCCTATTGTTTCCTCTTCTCTTCCTCATTCCCAATCTGTTTTCTTAATTTCTGATCTATTTCTCTTTAAAAAAAATAAGACAAAGTAGAGACTACTTTTTGTGTATTTTTTTTCTACACGTGACAAATCTGACAAAAGGATGGAGCTTAACCAAGATGTACTTCCATTGTCACAGAATATGATGAATCTTTTTATTTATTTATTTCTTCCCCTTTTTTTTTTCTTTTTTTCTTCTTCACAATCTGAGATTAAAATTACATTTTAATATTATTTCTCCTTTAGGAAAATTGTGGTGTGCAAAGAAAAACAAGAAGAAAAGGAAAAAGATTTTATATAATGCGAATAGGAACGATGGTAGGTCCAGTCAAATGCGGTTTCAGTAAACATAAACGCTTAGTGATAAATGGTTGTTTATTTCTAACAGTATGCTTAACTAGAGTATTAACCCCTTAAGGATGCGTGACGTAAATTTTCTGTCATGCTTATCCTATCCTTAATGACGCATGACGGAAAATTTCCATCGTGCAATATTTTTCCTTCAGGGTCGGTTTTCTTGCTGGTAACTGTGAGCCCCAGGTATCATTAGATTTAGTGGCACCAGACTTTTTTTTTTTTTTAATTCTTTATTTTTGTTGTGCAGGTAAGTACATTGCTAGGTCAAGCGCCAGAACAGCTCACACATTGTATACATGATAAACAGTGGCAGGAGTATATGCACAGTTTTTGTTTTTGATATCTTAACCAATGAGTATGCGTAATAAAATGTAGTATACATGGTAGGTAATGGTTGAATACCAAGGAGTCATGCAAGTTAAGACTTGCTAGATTTAACAAATAATAAGTAACATATAGGGTTAACTTTGAGCACTGGCTGTGGTTGAACATCTTAATTGCTATGCTTTGTTAGGGTTTTAACGTGATAACTAGTTTGCAGTATGACGAAAACCTTATTTCCTGGCTAATCATGGGAGCATTTAACATATTGGTGGCTCCTCCTTCAAGCCAATAGGACAGGAATACCAATTAAAGACTTCAATTATCCCTGAGGTATAAGAGATCCCAGAATGCTAGGTTCCTCAGTCTTTTTTTCCTGTCCTCCTAGCCAGACAGGACAGTTTGTATTTATTACAATTATTTATTTATTTTTATGCTCACCTGGCTATTTATTTCAGCCTATTAATTTCTTAGAGGTCAGCCTCCCTCTATAGGAAGACCAGGCACATGCAACCCACCTCTTGGTAGCTGGGGATCCCTGGTAGCCAGAGGAGTTAGTGTTTCCTCCGGCATTCTATTGAGAGCTGCTGCTATGCCTGTCCCTGCAGGTGAAAACTTCTTATTCTGACGCCAGATTTCCAGTTCCGAGGTTCAGGACGCCCACACGTGTGCAGCGGTAAGAGGTCGCGAGTAGCCCTTTGTTTGCCACTAACAAATCCCGCATGCGCGATTAAAGGAACAGCTCGTCTTTTTTATTTAAAGGAGAAAAAGTGCGTTTTTTTTTTTTATTTTTTACGCGAAAGTCAAATCCTTCATGGAGGTGCAATTAGCTCTCTGGGAAACAAGCCCTCTCACTCTGCAGGTATTCATTTATCTTTTAATTTCCTTTTATAATATAATTTTGTATACTTTGAGGTTTTTTTCTGTTAAAACATTTTTTATTTTTTTTTTAGAGCCCTTGACTCTAAAGAGAAACATTTTTCTTTTTTCCCTTTTAGCCTTAAAGCCCAGGATATAGCCTCGTGGATTAAGCAGGCTGTGGCAGAAGGTATTGCTGAATCACAAAAAGGCAAACGTCCCAGATGTGAATATCCCCAGGTGAATATTGATTCTTCAGATGAAGATTTTGGACAGGATTCAGGTTCCTTCGACGTTGAACATATGTCTTCTAGCGATGAAGAATACTCCTTTCCCCTTGACTCTAAAGCAATAGAGCGTTTGATCTCTCTGGTGAGAAGAACGCTGGAACTACCTGATGAGGTGTTGGTAACCTCAGCAGCGGACAAACACTTTGGGGACCTCAGTAAAAGAAAACCTTCTTTTCTGTTACACAAGTCCATTGAGGATCTCATAAGTAATAAATGGAAGACTCTTGAAAAGAGACTTTCACTGCAAAACCGTCTGCCCCATTCGTGAGGAGGACTCCAGGCTTTGGACTTCCAACCCGAAGGTTGATGCCTCAGTTATCAAAGTGGCCAAACGCTCTATCCTCCCGATAGACTACAATGCTTCCCTGAGAGATCCTATGGAGAAACGAATAGATGCTGACATTACTAAATGTTTTTTTGGCAGCTGGTACGGGATGTCACCCAGCGGTTTCTATTTCAGCTATGTCCAGAGCTAGGAGAGTATGGATCCTGGACATAGAATAAGATTTGGACAAGGGTGTCAAAAGGCAACATATTGCTGATTCCCTAAGGGAGGTCAGACTGGCCAGTGAATGGCTCTTAGAAACCTCTACGGATATAATTAAGGTTGTCGAAGGTTATGGCTTTCTCAGTTGCAGCCAGACGTGCCTTATGGCTCAGATCATGGGGGGCTCATATGGCTTCAAAGCATAACTTATGTTCCTTTCCTTTTTCGGGAGAATTGTTTGGGAAACCCCTTGAAGATGCCTTTAAAAGAGCTCTGGATGTCAAGCAGGTTTTGCTTCCGCAGGATAGATGTCCAAGAAGACGGGTGATTGTTCCTGTTCCAGAAATTCAAAGGTTTTAGGGTTTCTATTCCCCTCTCTTTCTGGTCAAGAAACCTGGAGGAAAGTGGAGACCCATTCTGGATTTACATCAACTCGATATCCACTTGAGAATAAAAAAATTCAGGATGGAATCTCTTCGCTCTATCATACCGGCAGTTCACCAAGGAGATTGGCTAATCTCAGTAGATCTGAATGACGCCTACTTTCATGTCCCGATAGCCCTTCTTCACCAGAGGTTCCTCAGATTCTGTGTAAACAATCAACATTTCCAGTTCCTGGCTTTACCGTTTGAAATCAGTACAGCACCAAGGACCTTCTCAAAGATACTGGTGACGGTTATTGCATTGCTCCGAAAGAAGGGAATAACAATATTCCATTACCTAGACGATATCCTGGTAGTTGCTCAAACATATACAGGGATTTACTGAATCATAGACTGATGGTACTCCAGACACTAGAACGCTTTGGCTGGTTAATCAACTACCAGAAGAGTCAACTTCGGCCTGCCAGAAGGCTGGTGTTCCTGGGAGCAAAATTCGACACAGCGTCAGCAGTAGTGTCTCTGGCCCACGACAGAAAACTAAAAATATGGTCACGCATTCAAGAATTTCAAATCGAAAAAACGACTACAGCAAGAAAGAGTATGAAGATCTTTGGTTCCCTTTCCTCCGCAATTGGCCTAGTGAGATGGGCTCAGTGGAACCTCCGCCCTTTACAAGAATACTTCCTGCAGACATTCGACTCGACCTCCCACCTCCTTCAGAAGGTTTCCCTCTGAAGGAGGTGGACTGGATGATAATCACCACGGATGCCAGTCAAGATGGTTGGGGTGCACATCTAAAGGACCACTTTGTCCAGGAACTATGGCCCCTGCACACAAGACATCTTCCTTCCAATATAAGGGAACTAAGAGCAGCCTTTCTAGCTCTCCTACATTTCAAATATCTCATTCAGCATCAATGGGTGAAGCTGAGAATAGACAACAGGGCAGCAGTAGCATACATCAACCATCAGGGGGGTACCAGGAGTGGTGCACTGATGAAGGAAATCAAGCCAATCATGATTTGGGCACAGAGGAATCTAGCCGGTCTCTCTGCCTTATACCTTCCTGGGAAGGAGAATACGATTGTGGATTTCCTGAGCAGACATCAAGTGAAAGAGACGGAGTGGAAGCTATCCAGCTTGATCTTCCAACAACTGGTAAGGATGTGGGGGCTCCCACAGGTGGATTTAATGGCCACTGCTCAGAATACTCATTTTCCATGCTTCATGTCAAGGAGATTTCACCCACTGGCATATGCTCAAGACGCCCTTTCATCAAGATGGCCATTTCAGCTGGCATATGTGTTCCCTCCGATCAAGCTCATTCCCGCCCTTCTGAAGAAAATCTCCAAGGAACGATGCAGGATAATAGCCATCATCACGTTCTGGCCACGTCGTCCATGGTTTCCCCTCCTGAAAAGAACTTTCCCTTGGGGATCCCGTAAGGGTGAAGCAGCCTCTGTTTCTACCCTCCGTTTCTGGATGGTTTCCTCTATTTCAAGAGCTTATAAGGTCCGATGAGTTCCAGTTCCAAAAGGTATAAGGGCACACTCTACCAGATCGATTGCCACTTCATGGGCTGCAGAGTCTGGAGTATCACCAGAGAGCATTTGTGACGCAGCTAATTGGTCTTCTATAAGGACGTTTATTAGTCATTACAAACTTGATATTTCTTCGGATCCTCACCTGCAATTTGGTCTTTCGGTTCTAAATTCTTGTTCTTCTCGAAGCAAATAAATATTTCTGTGCATCTATTCCCTCCCTGTGGTATTTACTGCTTGTGTATTCCCCATATGTTAAATGCTGCCATGATTAGCCAGGAAAGAGGAAAATTGTATTCATACTTACCGTAATTTTCTTTTCCTGGCTATTATTCATGGCAGCATTTGGGTTTCCCACCCATTTATTATGTCGGATCAGCTTGCTACTAGACTAAGGAACCTAGCATTCTGGGATCTCTTATACCTCAGGGATAATTGAAGTCTTTAATTGGTATTCCTGTCCTATTGGCTGGAGGGAGGAGCTACCCATATGTTAAATGCTGCCATGAATAATAGTCAGGAAAAGAAAATTACGGTAAGTATGAATAAATTTTCCTCTATCTTGAAAACTAGAGAAATCTCAATGTATCTTTACTGGTAAAATATTTTATAAATAAATATCTATTCAGTTGTGCATGCATAGTATTGCTCGTGAAAGTAGTCCCCTGTCTACATGAGCAGATTTGTAACTTATGACTCGGGAATGTGTTCGATGTGAGAGTGAAGTGTGTACATGGGTTAATGCTTGTGCGTGTGGGTGTACCTGCATTACTGTGTGTGGCGGGCCTTTTGTAAGTTCAGTTGACTTTTAAGCAAATAGGTGATAATAAGTGGAAATACTAATAGTACCCCCTCCCCTCAATCTCCCCTTACAAAAAATCAATAGGTTCACTGTAGCCTATAGTGAACGCCTAGGGTTATTTAACTTGGGTTAGAAGATATGCAACAGGCATCTTGCCCGATAAAGAGTCTCATCACCAGCTTTCGGTCAGCCATCACCTTGCAGGGGCTGAGCGCGGTCCCTTCGTGCAGATTTTTGCGTCCAGCTCGGTGCTTCATAGATAAGGTGGTGCAGGGTCCCAGAACCGTGTGGACATGAGCTTGGTGGGGAGCACAAAGTCCTGTTTGCGGTTCTCCCTGTTCGGTGTGCCCCTTGGTTCAAACATGGGTTGCAAGTCTGCTTGGGGAGAGCAGTAATGAAATAAAAAAAAAAGAAATAAATAAAAAAAGAAGAATCCAAAGTTGGGGAATTCAAAGTAGAAGTAAAAATAGTCTCCTGAGTCCTGGCAAGGGCCTGCTCAACTAACCGAGCTGGAGCAAGGAAGAAGGGTTGCCCGGCAGTGGGGGAAGACCAGAGCGTGGGAGACATGCTGTGGTAAAAGGTTGTCTGGCAGCTGCCTGGGCCTTAATAGGTCACAGCCGGTGGTCTCTGTAATTTTGCGTTGCATTCTTGCCAGGGCTTGATGGCGAGTCAAGGTCTTCTGTGGGTAAGTGGCTCTGTGTCCCTAGGTTGTGATCACTGCATATGCGTCCGGCTTGGAGCTCTGGGGGATGAATGGGGTGATCCGTTCCGGATTCCAGGCATGGGTGCGAGCTGGGGAGCCGTTATTGTTGTTAGCTGGTCCTTCTGGGGACAAAGAGTCTTGGGGCAGACCCAGGAACTGCAGCATGGCCGGAGCGTACTGGATATCCTGGATGGTGTGTGTGTGTTCGATCCTTGTTGGACAGTCAGTGCCCTGGAGGGCCGCCAGCGGTAATCAATATTGTGTGCTTGGAGTACTGAGGTGAGTGGCCTGAGCGACCTGTGCCAGGCCAGGGTGCCGCTGGACAGGTCTGCGTAAAACGAGAGTTCCATGCCCTCAAAGCGAAAGGGGATTCTGCCACGGAGGGCAGCCAGGCCTTGTCTCTGCCGTTGCGGAGGGTCACGATGACATCCCTCGTGACTGTGGGTGGTGCGCTTGTTGGTTTAGGGACTCTAAAGACCTCTTCTGGGGTAGTTATTGTGGTATGTCTGTGTGGCAATATTGCCGGTAATAGGCGCCCCATAGGTTTAGGCAGGTCGGGCGCTGGGATGTCCTCCAGGACTCCCCCTAATCTTGATGTTGGATCTCCGTCTGGCGTCCTCGAGATTCGCAAGGCAGTGTTCGTATTGCTGAGTTTGCTGTTTCAGGTCTAGCGTGGTGTGTTGCATTGTGGCGATATTCTGGGCCTGAGATTGTGAGGAGCCCTCCAGCTTGGTAATGTGGCCTGTAAGGCCTCTTAGGTCTGTGCGGAGCGCTGTGACATCCTCGTGGATCCTCGGTTTCAGGTCCACTAGTAATGCTTTCAGGACCGCTGTGGTAATTGGCTCTGAGTCTGCCTCTGTGCCTTGGTGTTTTGCCTTACGTGGCGAGCTGGAGGACTGTGGGTGCTCTTCCTCTGCGTCGTCGGACATATCCTCGGAGAAATCAGAGCAACTGACATGCAGTGCCGCCATGCTTGTTTCAGTGGCTCCTCCCTGATCGTGAGGCTTAAGGTGGGCTTGCTCTGTATTTTATTTTTTTTCCTTTCTCCCCGTGTGGTCTTGGGGTATTTGCCTGTCAGTGAGTGTGTTTCACGTATTCATCCGCTTATAAAAATGTGGTTAATGACATTACACAGGAAAAGTTGTGCCGAGCAGCAACCTAATCCACAGAAGGGTTAAGCTAAGCAGCAATTATGCAAATGAAACCTGGTAACTGACTTTGGGCTCAAAGGCCGGTTACAGCCTATCAGATCTAGTGGAGGGGTATTTAGGCCCAGTTCTCATCCTGCCCTGTCGTGGTTTCTCTTGTGGTTGTCCGAGAGCGCGTTCCTGTTTATAGTTTTCTACCTGGTTTTTGACTTTGGCTTTGTTTATTGACATCTCTATATTCTGGTATCCTGACTCCTGGCTTTCCTCATCGCTGCGTCCCTTTCTGTGTTCCCTGACCTCGGCTAGTATTTTTGACTATTCGATGTACGTTAAATCCGGCAATTCTAAGGATCGGTAATACGTTACTTATTTGTCATCTGTGCTATACAGTTCTACATGCTGGATCAAACCGTAATCCTGACAGGGTGTGAGGGGGGGTTTTCTTTGTGTAAAGCTCAGAGCTCCCCATGCTTGTGAGCGTTAGCTTCGGTGTTCAGGCTCTGCCCCCCGGCCCCAGACTTTTTGATGAGCTGCGTGCAGTGCTAAAACTCAGCTCTGCATGTAGCCTTTTAAATCCACAGAGAACAGTGCAGCTGAGCGATCAAGCTCTCTCAAGTGATCTGGTGCTTGGGAGACACCCTCTATGTTCCAATTCCATTTCAGTTGCCCAGCACAGATCACAATGCATTAGGCATAACGTCTTCAATGTATGAGGTAAGAGACTGCAATACTGAAATTAACCAGTAGATGGCAGCAACTGTCTTAGTTTAAAATCACTTTACTAATATCAGGATTGATATTAGCAGAGGGAAACCTTTGGGATTAAGATTAAATTAAGGATTAAAAATACGGATTATTTGGTTTAGAATAACTATTAGATTTATTATCTGGTTTATTATTAAGTTTATGTTTAAGATTAGGTTTATAATTTATTTTAGTATGGGGATTATGTTTCAGATTAGGATTCAGAATATGGGTCAGATTAGGATTACAGCAGGAGCATCCCTTGCTGAATATAGCAAGGTAATTCCTCTGCTGGCACCAGCAGAGGGAATCCTTCTAACACTATTGCTAAAGTTAGGTTTGAGATTAGAATTAAGGTTATAATTAGGGTTACACATGGGATTATTGGATGGGTTAGGATTGTGGTGAGGTTTCGGATTAGATTTGGGGGTTAGATTTGGGGTTAGGGATTTAGATTGGGAATAAGAACCCTACTTTCCAAAGATACATTTGTACTCAGAAGAGGTTGCTGAGTACAGCTAAGATAATTTTATGACAGTGGGACACACGAGATTTAAAAATTAAGCATCAAAAATACTATGTGTATGTAAAAATTTTAAAAATGAATACTGAAACAAAATGGTAACAAAATGTCACTTCAATAATGCTCATAATATTTTATGTGAGAGTCTCCATGGTGTCCACTTTTGCAACTGATATGCTTTAGTGGCGTAATTTAAATATATGAGCGACTAAAATGCCCCAAAATGAACAAAAGACTCATTGTCAACTTGCCATTTTTTTATTTATTTTTTTTAAACTGTACTGCGCCGGGTATAATTTCATCCCTGTATTTTCACAAAAACTTAGCAAAGAAATACAAAGGGGGTCATTTTGTACTCTGGAAATATAGTTAATTTAGTGATTTTATTACAGTAGCATACATAAAGTTTCCAAAATTAACCACTAAAATGCAACATGTTTGTACAAAAATGCAAAAATAAAACAATACGATAAAATCTGAAAGAAATTGGTGCTAAAACAACTGTATAATAAAGCTCAAAATATACCATATGACATAGCCCGTGGTCTCTTTCACAAAAGGTATGCATTTATGGGGTAGTTTTTTTTTTTTTTTTTTGTTGCGCAGGTAGGTACATTATATTAACGGTCGCCACAACAGCATATTTCAAGATACAGAACATTTTGACAGTGGCATGAGAATTCGCACAATTTTACGTTTTTTTTTTTTTTTTTTTTAAGCATGCTTAATTAGACAGATTGTTGAAGTAAGATTAGCTAACATACAATGATATAAACTGACGATTAGTTATCAATTCTAGTTCTGCTATGCTATCGTAGTCATACTGTATAAGCTTGGTTTGCAGTTTAGCAGTAACTAAATGAAATAATACATTTAAAAGTTAAACTGTGTATTTAAGCTAAGAAACACCAAACCGCAGTTAACATTGCTAGAGTTAGCCTACGTTGTGTAGTTATGTTTCTGTTCTCTCTAAGCATAAAGATGCCCTGCATAAAAATAAGGGTAAGACGGTTTGAAGGTCTCGAGTGGGTTAATAGATGTAACATTTGAAAGCAGTTAGTGGAGACTGCACATTTTTAAAAGGTAAAACTGACATGCATGAGAACACAGGTGCAATGGATAAGTAACTGCTATATGATCTATGGTTAATGAGCTAATTGCGTGTGGTTAATATACTGTATTGCTTGCTCCACTGCTGCTATACGTAACTGTCTCTGCTGCGATATGCCAGGGCCATACTGTGAGACATACTGTGCGGTGGGATCTTGCAGTGTCTCTGCTGTAGGGCCTGCAGGGACGCAGATTGTCTCTGGGTCAGTCCGCCTTGGTCAGCCGACACCGGCACTGAAGGATTGGCAGGTGGGCCTGGAGCGCTGCGGGGTCCCCTCCTTCATTGGTTGTGGATGGGCTCTGTGCCGATTTAGTTAGCCGGGCAGCGACCATGTCGGATCGTGGTCTGCTCTGATCACGTGCCCCGTGTTCTGTATTCCGGCCGTGTGGTGAGTAAGGGTGCCCCTGTAGAGAGCAGGTTCACCTGGCAGGCAGCGCAGGGTCTTGGCTATGCTGCGTATTTTTTGGTGTGGTCGTCTGTCATTGCCTTCCCGGTATGGAAGTTTCATGGCAGCCATTTTATATGCTTTTCCTTCTGCTGTCCTCTCGTCCGGTCTGGGCCCCTCCGGAGTTTAGGCCGGGTCTCTGCACATCTGTAAGGCCGCCTTTGGAGCTGTGCCTTGAGTGTCTCTTGTGTTTCAGGCATTTTGTGCGGGCCGTGAGTGGCCTTTGTGCGGTTCCAGGTTACTGGGTTACCCTTCTTGCGGGTGGGGTTCGGTGGTTTGCCCTACCTCCCCCTGCGCTTCCATGCTTTGGACCCTGCCTCATGTCGCTGGGTGGGGGTCCCTTTTGGATGGACTGCATCAGGGACTCCAGCTTCTCCCACCGAAGATGCGGTCGTATCGGCGTTTAGTTTCCCTCTTGATTATGTGCAGAGCTGAGGTCTGTGGGTTGGGTGCCATCTTGCCTGCTCCACGTGTGGCCTCTGTGCTTCGCGGTCGTGTGTCTTGGTGAGTGCTTGTACACTTGCTTGTGTGGGTGCGGACCAGGATAACCCCCACCGGTCCGGGGGGAGGGTGGACGCGGTCTCTGTGTTAAGTTTCCAGGCATTCTAACCTCTTCTGGTAGGCCTCGCCAGTGTGTCGGGCACGTACCAGGTAGGTAGTCGCTTGTTGGGTACCGTTGTGTCCACCTTGGCAGCCCCCGTCATCTGGTGACCTTTGTTTGACTTTTAAAAGCTGTTACAGCGGCTTTCTGGCATTTTTTCTGGCAGTGGTTGCAGGAGCTATGGTGATTAGCATCCGCTCGATGCTGCGGTCAGGCCCCCTTATAGGGTAATTTTAACTGTCAAACTGCTACAATGCACTAAAATAAGACACATCAAATCCATCTATCAAAATTCTAATTGTAAAAACTATAATGGTCAATAAAAAAATTTATTTATACACACACACCCCAACCCCACCCCCTCTCTTGGCATAAACTGATGAAAAAATGCCATCACGTTAAGGCACAATATACACCATATGAGATACTCTGTAGTGTCTACTTTCACAAATGGTAGTGGTGTAATTTCAACAAAGTGCTACAATGCCCCAAAATGAGACTTGCACCCAACAAAATTATCACTGACAACTGAAATGGTCAGGTCTCTTTTTTGGTAATATAACTTGACAGGATAGTGACAAAGGCATAGATTGGGGGTATCTTTATACTCCGGAGATGTGACTGAACACAATATGGGCTTTTCTACAGCCGTAGTAAACATCAGGTTTACGAAATACACATTAAAAAAACCTTGTTTTGTGTGTGTGTGTAAGAAAAAAATCTGAAAAAACAGCGGCAGCGATATGGCTACGTAAAGTGTCAGAATACCCTTAGGTAAATAGCCTGTGATGTCTGCTTTATATAAATATATACATTTGTGCGTCAATTTTGATTTCTGTGATGGCTATTAAGCTTACAAGACAAACGTCCCAAATTCTAAAAAAAAACCTCTGAAAATCAGAACAACTAATTGAATTACTTTCCTTAAGCTGCACTTATTATATACACGTTATTTGTGCCTAAACTGTGTGGGGGGAATAACAATATATTTTAATTTTGTAAAAACTATTTTTAATAATAAATAAGAATATATGTCACTTCAGATTAAAGCCTTTTTTTTTTTTTTTTGTCCTTTAAAAATCGGTATATAATGTATTGGTGCAATAAATAAGAAAAATGCAAACTTTGGTTGAACACAAACCGCAAAAATTGCTTGTGTCCTTAAGGGTAAGTCTAGTTTTTGAAACTGTGTCCTTAAGGGGTTAATATATCTTACACCACCCTCACACCACTGAGTGTAAAGTGCAAAAAGTGTAACTATAGTATTGTTTACTCAGTTTGTCTGCAAACATGTTTGCTCCTAAAAGAACTCAAGTTAGCACTTTTTCTCATCACCAGTTTATGTAACAACATAGTTTTATGTTCAGGCGACATTGTCATGAATGCTATTTTTATGGTGCTCTCTTTCTTCCTAAAAGATTACGATAATGAAGAAATTTTGACTTATGAAGAAATGTCCCTTTATCACCAGCCAGCAAACCGAAAACGACCAATAGTTCTAATAGGTCCACAGAACTGTGGGCAGAATGAGCTTCGCCTCAAATTGATGAACATTGAGGCTGATAGATTTGCAGCTGCTGTACCGCGTAAGTATTTTCAGTTTGTTGTGACATTTGTTATTTTAAAGCAGAACTTTCCTTGTCCACTCACCCCGGTGAGTGAACAAAGCTGTGGATAGGAAATTATAAAATACACATTGCGACACTTCAGTATTCTTTACAACATTGTTGCCGTTTGAAGCTACAGGTTCATTAAATTTACATGCCCGGCAAATAAAAAATTGAAACAAACTACACACAATGTTGTGAAATTTAAAATGCAACCTATAAATAAAATAAAGTGTTGTTTTTTTTATATTTAAGAAATATTATCCTGGGGAAGGGGGGGGGGGACTTTAGCTGTTTTGGTGCTTAGTGTCCTTTTATTTTTAACACACTCCTTATGTAGTGATACTGGTGCCAAGAGTACCCAGGGCTTCTGGAGAGCTAATGGGAACTCTTAAGTTCATCCAGTTTACTATGGTTTCCACCACTATGTGCTCTCAGAATGTTATTAACAGATTGTAACCCTTCTGTTTGGCTTTTATGTACTCTCATAACTCTGTCTCACTCCAACTGCATCTTGGTTTAGCCTAACTTATTCTCCCTTGTGAGCAAGAAGTCCTTCATAGTCCTCACTCCTGCACTCAGCCAATCAATGTCCTGGATCTTCAATCTTTGATGTCATAGCAGATAACTGCATTGGCTTATGTCAGTGAATAAGCAACCCAAACTCTATGGTGGGAGGTCTCCAGGTTTCCTCACTGGGAGTGGGACAGCGAGGTGATTGGCTATACTATCCACATTATGGTTTTTGTTGGCTATTAACGAAGTTTAGCTAGGAGGAAGATTTTTTTCTGCAGCCAGTTGTTTAGCCGAGGGACGTTCTGGAGATTAATATAATGGCTTCACAAATTGTGAAGATTCTGAGATATTGTGCTCAGTCCCAGGCAAAAAAAGCCTACTTCGGTAGATACACTTGTAGTGTTCTGGGATTACAATTTCATCTACCAGTTTCCCACTTGTCTACTAGTACCCTAAAGCGTCAGGCTTCTGCCCTTTCAGTTCTTTCATAAGTACCTGAAACATTCCCTAGACTTGTCGTCTGCTTAATGTGTTCGCTTACTTTATCATTCTGGTCATAATGACTTCTTCCTCTTTGTTCAAAGCCAGGCATAGAATGGCCTCTCTGAACCTCGGATGGGATGTGGATCTACATGTTCTTCAGTGTGATTCCTCCTTCATCCATTTTTCTGTCTGTACTCTTGGCCTCCTGGCTTAAATCTCTGGTTTAGAAAGCTTATTCCTTTGTATACAAACAAATGCCTGGTAGGAATACTGCCCAATCTACCACAGTGGTAGCTACTTTCATCTTGAGGCATCCATAGAGCATATTTGCAAAGTGGCCTCTTTGCAAATATGATCCTCTTGCACACTTTTGCCAAATGGACAGTTTGTCCAATCATAACATTTGCATCCTGTTAATTATATGGCTTGTGACTGTGCTGCTAGGTTATACTTTATCCTACAAGTAATGGATTCTCTTGGACCATGACCATGTAATGAAACTTATATTTACCAATACATTTTTGTCTATGAGGCTCCTTCCTGGTGTTATCTCACTTAAGAATGCTGATGACTGATAGAATTGCTAGTGGCTGGATCCTTTTGAGCCTTTTTACCCTGCTATTTACCTTTTGGTCTATTTGAGAAACTTCCCATCAAAAGAGGCAGGAATTAGGAAGTGTCTATGAGTCCTTCTGTGACTGGTTCTGACTTCCCAGTTGGAGGATGCAACATGCCCCGTGTAATAGATTTTCACGGACCAAAACCATACAGATTAAAATTATTTTATTGGAAAGCATACAGTTTGGTTTAAGCTACCTATGGGGCTTTGCAAATTTCCCAGAATTTATAGTTCTGCTTTTATGGTGTATTCTATCCGTATAACACAGAGTGACCCCTAGAGTTAGAATGATTTAAAACTTGTTACAGTCTTATCAGAGACCTGAAAGGGGGTGCTGTCCATTCAGAATACTTAACATTCCACAGGATTCTTAAGTTGCTCATAAACTAAAGCTTTTTTTTTTTTTCTTCTTCAAGGATCTACCTTCAGTTAGATATGTTCCTGCAGTGTGTCAGCCTTATTTTAAGCAATTTGTCTGCTGGAGCAAGCATGAGAATAGTTGCTTGACACATTTGTAGATTAGAAGCAGCCGTGGCCTGGGAGCCACAGCTGCAGGAGCAGTTCTAAAACCTTACTTGGTTATACTAAACATGTAAGGAGTATTTTGATGGTTAATTAAAATGCTGCTGATATATAGAATAAAGGTTTTATTCCTATTTATTTCTTAATGTGAAATCCTTTGGGAAGGGCCCTCTTTACCTACTGTCATATGTGTTTTGTTAGAATTTAATTTGTCTTGTTTTATTGTACAGTGCTGCAGAATATGTTTCCGCTATATAATTGTAAATGTATTCTATTGTTTGGTTATTGGTTTTGCTTGCTGGTAATGTAATTGCAAACGAAAGTACATTAGAACAAGCTTTTATTTATTTCGAAATGTGGCCTCACCTGGTGAACTTTGGATACGTGCCCATTTTCCTCCTGTTCAAATAATTCAGCAATGATGATTGATTTTCACATTTTTGGAGAATTACTTTTTGAGCTTTAATACAGCAGGACAGTAGTGGACCCGTGTATAATGAAACACTAAAGCATCGTAATTAAAATGCTTTCTGTATAATATTTAAAGTGTACAATTGTGGGCACATTAGTAAATCATATAATCCTCTCTGATCATTTAATGTTCTTCAAAGGAAATAAAATATACAGATCGAATAGTAGTTTTATACACGCTGTATTAACTAACAAATTGGTAAATTCGCATTGATTTAAATTAATCGTCAATACCACACATTACTGGTCTCCTCCAGCCCTAACATCATCAGTGCATATCATCCCTAACAGGACTTATTTCTGTTCACGGAGGAACCCCAAAGCCCTCCTACAGCAGGTATAAAATGTCTACACATCCTTTTGAAAGTGCTGATTTTTTTAAATGTAAAGACAGAAATGACAATGTAAATGTCAGAATTGTTCAATCAGTAATGTGAACTTCTAAGAAACTAAAATCCAAAGAAAAAAATTATGAATATTTTAGATTGAAACAAACAAAAAAAACACAAATCTCCACGTCCTTTCATGATGGGTAATATGGCTGCATTTACAGTTAACTAACTATATTCTAAGTCATGCCTGCAAGTAAATGGCATACACCTGCCACCGAGGAACATGACTTTGCTTAGACCCAGATTAAAGTTCCCTTTTACTTTAGGGTTTTCTTGACCTTGAAGGTCATCCTACTACGAAAGCCATGGTCTGCAAGAGTTGCCAAAGAAATCGTAAGAGCCAATTGTTGAAAAGTACCTATCAAAGCCAGATGCGGTGTGATTCAGTCAGTCACACCGATTTATGTATCATTCATTCTGAAGCATTTAGAAAAATATCTGCATGGGGATGGGACCTGTGACCTGTGAAATAACAGGGAAGCATAGTCCCAAGGGCTTAGGAATCTAATGGCCCCCCATCCATAGGTGATTCATTTTGGGAAGAGGACCCACGAGCCCCCCCAGTGAGTGGGGGTCCTAATTAATTATAAATGGACATGCCATTGTTTAACCACAAATAATGTCATGCCCCCCAGATTACAATTCAAATCTTAATTCAATCTAAAATCTTTTAAGCAATCTATGGCAATATACCTCACCACAGAATGCCAAAAACAGAAGAAATATAGGTCGCGCTATAACAATTAAATATAAAATATTTAATAAGTATAATAAATAGATGTGCTTATAGTAAGTTCCAGTGGATAGATGAAAATTTCAGTACTTGGTGTCCATCTCTTACTGTTAGTGGTACAGGAGTGAAAAGACGGGATCTTCTCAAGTAGATGCAGTCTTGATTCAGTGGAAACCATGAAAGAGAACACAAAAAAATCCAATAGTGTAGATTGTCTGTAGATAACTGAGAGTATAGGAGAATAATAGGGAGGTAATACACTCACCTATTTCGGAGCACAAACTTGCTCTAGTGTGTTTGGCATTCAGTGGCGTTGGTCCCCCACTGGTAGGATATAGGTGAAGATAGTTCCTCCGTATGAGAGAAAGAATAAAAAACACAATATAGTGCTCACTGGATAAATAAAATGAATAAAATAAAAGAATAAAAAATACTCACATTGAGATGAGCAGAATAAAACTGCTCAATATGCTCGCATAAGTGGTACAATCCCCACTTAGGATTCTTGGTTGTATGTAGACTCCAAGGTAGAGAGTGATCAGGTACCAGGAAATAAATAAAATGATTATTAAGGAGATATATGGCAAAGTTGTAATAAAAAGCCAATATTCCTTTATTAATACAGTAAAAAATATATATATAATAGCCAAAACGCGTTTCGCCACACAGGGCTTTATCAACTGGCAATAGTAAAAAACAACCTGGTACATGAATGCTTATATAAACTTAGATAAAACATGTTAATTCAAATTTTGGCGCCAAAATGACGTCATCAATACAATTAATAATAATGTAAAAGTGTGAAATCATAAAAGGAAAGATACATGATGTTTATAATACAATATATGTATTGGTAGTATAAATATAATAATAAAACGAGTAGTGTAAATGGGCAAAAAAAGAAATCTAAAAGAATCATGTGATCGCGATATAGCGCGATCACATGATATATTAGTGCAGGCTGGGAAATGTAGTGAGCAGCCACGTGGTCGCGAACCTCCGCGACCACGCAATAGGCTGCTCACATAGAAGGGGAGGCGGCAGTTCAGACGGAGGTCGGCATAGTACAGCACGCCTCCGTCTGACGTCAGCCTGGGGGGCGGCAACATCCGCCGCAAATGCCTTTGGGACATGTAGTGATTCGGACGGAGGTTAACACAAGGATGCACGCCTCCGTCCGACATCACCGAAAAGGGGGCGGGGAAGGTGCCGCTCGGAATAATCTTGTTATAGCGCGACCTATATTTATTCTGTTTTTGCCATTTCTTTTTTGAGGATTTTAGAGGGAACCTCATATTTATAGGCTGCTGCTACCCACTTGTTTCTAACCTTTTAGTATATCACGCAGCGCTGATCCATTTCTCTTTTTCACCACAGAATGCACCTGTCATGGTTACATATATTTATTACTTGTTATGTATTAAATGTATATGTGTGTGTGTATATATTTTGCATATTGTATTTTTTGTAATATTGTATCCTATTGTAACAATGCAATGTTTTGTGGATCCAGATAGCTGACATTGCGCAGGATACCCGTGTAATGCTTTACCCACCATTTGCATTCAGTTTGCTGCAAGCACTCCATGGGTGATGATGGATTCACTTTTTGTGTGGTGGTGGTGTTTATTTTTATTTTTATTTTTTATTATTTAATCGGTTGCGTTGGCAAATTATTTATATATATATATATATATATATATATATATATATATATATATATATATATATATATATATATATATATATATATATATATATATATATTCTCTTTATTTTGGTTGTGCCGAAAGTACATAAGCGCCTGTATTGCCTTAACTGGATGTGTCAGTTGAAATGTGAATTAAACATGTGATATAATTTTATCAAGAAATAGTCATGCTAACATTGATAAGGTCAGGTGGTACTAACCGTTTGATCAAGTATAATGATAAGGTAGAAACGAACAAGTAGCGTTATGTCTAGAGCTACATCAGGTTACATCAGAAGTAAGGCAATTGTAGATTATGCTAACGTAGTGTACCTATAATCTTAATTTTAATAATGACAGGAGGCGAATATTTTGCATAACTTTCTTTACTTTATGCCTCCAGCAGCACAAGTCAATCAATAAACTTTAAACCAATCAGTAACAGGCATCACATCCATATATAAAGCCCTGACAGACACATGACTTCCTCTTTCTTTGATACGAAAAACAGTCTATTATAACGTCAGGGAATTCAAATAACAGTCCTGATTAACGTGTAGCACATAACTTGAAACGAAACTTGAAACCTTCCAGCTTTATCTTGTCGAATCCATCTATGATTACGCTGAAAAGAACAGAAATACGTGAAAGGTGATGGAAACCAACTGTTGTCCACATTAAATCCAGTACTATATGTGTCTATATTTACATTAAGTTAATATACTGAAACATTAAACAAACCATAGTATACTTAATAATCAACACGGATCTAACACATATCAACCAAATAAGCATCCCATAAATATACTGAAATACCAAAACCTTATAATTTACACTGAGAAAATGACAAACCAGAATATAAAAATTTCCAGAGTATAGGGAGGGAAACAGGGAGGGAAAATATTAGCCTCCTGTCATTATTAAAATTAAGATTATAGGTACACTACGTTAGCATAATCTACAATTTTATCACATGACAGGAGGCTTCATATTTTGCATTTTTAAAGCTGTGGTATGAGCGAGAAGGATGCGTGTGTGGTTGACGAAAATAAATATACGGAAGTAGTCTATCCGTGTCCAATTCGTCGCTGAAAATATAGAGGCCCCCTCGTGAAGGCCTGAGAAGCAGCCGCGCCTCTTACCGAATGAGTACCCAAACACGTCTCCACCCTCGCTAGCGATAACAACCAATGAACCCATCTAGACAGAGTGTTCATGGTAACTGGCTTGTACGGTTGGTATAAGACCAGCAGATGTCCTGAATGTGACATTCTAAGTGTTGTCGTGATCTCCATGTAGCAAAGTCCCGCTTTAACTGCACAAAGACTGGGAAACCGTCGGTAACAGGGAAGGATACGGACGCGGATAAGATATTTCTACAGTGTCTCGTAGAACTATCATTCTTTCCGGTGATACCGAAAAGACCGTCTACGTCGAACTCCAGTACATCTGATACCCGACGAAAAGACCTAAAAGTAACGTGACTCTGGCTAACGGCTGACTGAGGGATAGGACCGTGATATCTGACTAGCTCCAAAAGAACCAAATCAAAGTCCCACACCAGTGATACTTTGACGCATGGTTCTGGATGGTTTGATACCCCGCAGAAAATGGCATATCAAAGGCTCTTGATTGACCGGAGTGTCGTGAATTGTGCTATGCGTCGTCGAAATCGCGGAACGTAGCCCGTTAATGGAACGTTCCGATCGGCCTGTAGTGAAAAGGTATGATAAAGATCCAGCATCGTGGAGATAGGGGTAATAAAGGGATTGCAGTCCCTTCCCATACACCAGCGAACTCCAGGTGTTCCATGCGGATAAGTTATTTCGGGGGAATACCTGGCGTCCATGAGTCCCATAGTAGGTCTCTAGTTGGTTGCGATAGTCCCTTGATATACCAGTCTCCCCTGGAAGACACCAATCTACCAACTCCAGATGCTCCTGCATTCTCAATGGATGTTCTCCTTTTGGATCCGCCCGAAGGCAAGTTAAAACGGAAGGAGCAGAGGATGATCCTGATTAAGGACAACTCTTCTGGGTGTCACGCTTGCCTCCTTTACCGCAGTAATGAGTACTATCGAAGTCTTCGCTATTCTGATCCCAATTTCATAGGTGTGTCCGTATCTCAGGCAGTGAGCTTTCAGCCACTGTCTGGCCCGTAGTGAAGCAGTCCTGGGAAATAGTCAAAGGGTTATGGTGCCTTTCCGCCGTACCCGTCGAATTTCCTTACGAATCGTCGCTATCAATGATGTGGGAAGGTGTAATCCGCCCAAGGTGGAATCTATTCTGAAATAGAGGAACTGAATCACTCGGAACTGGGATCGAACCAACTCCTCTCTGTTCACTATGAATCCCAACAATTCCCGAAACTGTAAACATAAATCTCGTTTGTAAACGTAGTCATGAATTGGATTTGCAAAAGGTAAGTTGTCTAGGTATGTGACAGCAGATACCCTTTGCTTTTCAGTGCACAGTGACCGACTTCAGAAACTTCATGAGGCACCATGTGAACCTATAGGTAAGTGCCCTTCAAGTCCAACCTTGTAGATCCCCTAAGAGATGGATACCTTCCTTCTTGAGTTGTCGGTACGCCCCAAAACCATTGGGTTGGCATAGGTTGATGACTGGGTGATAGTCTCCTATCTTCTTCCTTACTACCAAACCGTTGCTGAGATAAATGGTTCTCCAAACGATAGTCCGTCTGCCTGAGGTCCTCGCTCTTTCGTCCCTAACTTCAATAGTTTGAAATCCATCTTTAATCGGGCTGCTTTGCGGCGTTCTGTGCACCTGTCTGCCTTGCGTTCCCCAACTTACATATTGCCCTTTGCACCCATTCCCTCACATCGTGAGCTTCTAGAGGTGAGTCTTGTGTGGGGTCAGGTCCGCAAAGTATAGAATTTTTTCACGGGCTGATCATATCCAGTATTTCATCTTAACTCATTTTGAGTCCTCCTCCTACACCTTTACATGGACCCCGGCTTGATCGGGACATACATATCACCACGAGCTCCATAGTGACATAGAGGGCGTGGGCATTCCATCCTGAGCCTGTCTCGGATTTCTTTTCCCATAGGCCTCCTAAGCCAGAAGTGAGCCCGGTGCTCCGGTTAACCCCATTCGGATAACCCTGGTTGTCGGATGGTGCGTGAGTCAAAACAGAAGTGTCCAGTGTGCCAAAGAAAAAACCTTTCTTGCTAGGCGGGTCTTGTCACTTTTACCTCTTCTGCCCTCCATTCTTTCATGATCTCCAGAGAAGGGGGGGAGGATGAAGACCTCGTCCCCTGATGATGGGTGTCCGACCTAACGTTGGTATCTCAATCTTCCATTGGTGTTGCTGCCGTTGCACCCGCTCTGTCGGATGGGTTGTTAGCCAGCATACTGGAGAGGACTTCTTCCCCCGGAGCTGTCATGGCGGCCTTAATCCTCGCCTGAAAATCGGTCGGGGATATTGAGGTAAGTCCGACATGCTGGTTCACACCCTTTCGGTCCGTGGGAGACAGGATCGTACAACAGTACACTTATTGCCACTCAGTGGGCCTCCGCGTATAACTGGGGGTCACCCAGAATTTTGATCAATCAGTATCATTTTCGCAGGATCCGGGGAGTGGTCTGAGAATGAGGACACCCTCAGTAAGACCGGGATGAGCGGTCTGCAATGTCGGGACGTAGCCAGAGTCTGGGAGACGTGAAAGTCTCAATATATATATAGTCCACGGGGTTCATCCTTATATGGTCTAGAATTGTGGAGTTTTGGCAGCACTGTGAGTTCTCCTTCTCGGTTAAGGGAAGGGCGTACGGAACCCCAGTTGAAGCATAGAGGTGCCAGAATACATGCATCTAGTGCGCCCTGGTCTGTGCATACAATGACGGAGCGTACTCTGAAGGTAAAATTCAAGATAGTAACTCGAAGGTCTTTATATCTGGGATAACTTCTAGATTGAGTTGCACTTAGTGTTAGGAGAGTTACCACTGGGTTTGGGGTTAGTCATCAACAATAGGTCACCGCAAGCCTTATAAGGAGGATAAAAGTATAGTATAAAACAGGTCAAAATTATTTATAGAATTCAAGATAGTAAGACAGTGGCACTATATTTGTCAGAGTGGTAGGCTGTGATTTGTTGAAAGGCCCCTTTCATCCTGTGCCCAATATTGGGAAGCAGCAGGACCATGTTGGAGGTTTAGTGTCCCTTCTTCATGCGGTCAGGCTCAGTGGATTCTGCGGGGCTCCATGAAGAAAGTTACTGGAATGCGTGGCCAGGCCCGAGCGAGCCACGATTTCTCCTCGACCTTCCTTGGTTAGTTGGAAGGGTGGCTGTGAGGCCTGACAGGTAGGACACAATCCACTGCGCTGTAGCCTCTCGCCTCCCCTAGTCTTAGCGGTATCTACTTGTCAGTTGGCAGGACCGCTGTCTCTTCGGCGCTCCGGATCACGGAGAGCCCTAAGGGTGGGCGGTGGATCGGGCGAAGCTTTGAGTCGGCCCCTCGCGCTGAAGTCAGTTGCCTGAGCAGCGGGCTGCGTTGGTGGTCCTCTCACAATGGGGCTAAGTTGGGGTAGATTTTCAGTTCGAAGCCAGAACGCTTGGCAGATGTCGCATTTGATTTCAAAGCGCTCCTTCCATGTCAGGCCTCCCTGTGTCTTTTGTAGAACTGGAGTGTAGGGTAGTGGTGCCTGTTAAGTTGCTTTCCCAGTGGGGACCGGGATATCCGCCGCTGGTGCAGACTTTTTTTATCGTAAGTAACTAAACATAAAATTATGCTTTGCCGTTAATTAGCTGGGCAAATAACCTTCAAGAGCATTGTGCAGTGTGTCCTGCGTTATCATACGGGTATCGTCCACATGTGGCCTGTTATATTTCTGCGTCTGGGTATTCCACTGTTATGAGAATTCAGATCAGTCCAGGCTAAGATTACCCCTGTGAGGCAGCGTTGCAGGCTTTTCAGCCTATATCTAGTGATGGTAAGTCCTGTGCTTTGTGTCTGCTGGACTCGTCTTTTCTGCCACAGGGCCTGGTGTCTCTGCCTTGGGGTTCTGCTCCGGTAGTGTCCCCCATGTGGTGCAGTCGCGTGGTCGCTTGCGGTGTTGCCTTGTATAGGGAGGTGCTTGTTGTGTTGCGCTTATTGCCGTGGTTTCGGTCAGGTATGGTATGTGTGGGCGTAGCTTGGTTCGTAGCCCCAGTGTTTCTTGTGTGCTGTAGGGTTAGTGTGCACGGGAGGTTTGGTGCACCATCCCGCCTTGAGGCTCGGCGGTATCTGTTATGCCGGATGGCCATCTTGGAGGCTCGGGGTATCTTCATATAGTAGCTGCGCCTCGCTGCAGGACGTATCCATGAGGCCACTGTTAATTCAGCTTGGCGGTGAGTTACTCCCCGGCTGTGTAAAGCCCCCCTGAGGCCTGCGCAGAGCCAATCAAAGGTTTCCAGTGAGGACCTGTGGGTCTGGGCTGGTGCTCCGCATTTCAGGCATAGGCTGGGTGGCCATTTTGCACAGGCTGTGTGGGTTTGTTGCCCCGCTTTGCTTCACCTCCATCTTGCTCGCTTTAGGGATGTGAATGGGTGTTGCAGGCTGCTGCTGCATACCACGAGTTTTGCTGTCGCTTGTGTCCGCAATTTTGGAGGCCCTCACCTCCGATCTGTTGGTTTCGGCTGTCTGTTCTGACTGCAGGTGTGTAGCAGGGCCAGCTCTGTGGCGGGGACTAGGATATCCCCCCTCCCCCTCGGTACATGGGGGGGGGGGGCAGGGCCAGATTAAGAGCCCAGTGGGCCTGGTGCTGACAATTATGATGGGCCTATTTACAGAATCTTATTGACCAAAAACACTAAAACAATCATATCTCCCAAGCGTCGTGTATCTGATGGAGATGGTGTTGGAGGGAAACTCAAAGGATGCAGCTATACGAAAACACATACTCTATGCTAAACTCTCTCTAATTTATGCTTTCATCTTTCAAGTAAATCCATAACCTCTAACAGCAGTGTCCAGTGAAGCAGGAAGTCAATGTGCGGGGTAAAAGTGTATGCCACTGGTGCAAATCACGTGACTAGACCTGCCAAAAGGGGTGAACATGCCCAAGAAGGGGTAATTGTTTGTCCAAAGAATTGGAAGGCCAGCCTGGCATGAATGCATGTCAGACTGCCTGCCAATCCTGCAGGCTGTCCAACTAAGGGCATACTATGCAGGCAGCACCCTGAGCTTGGCATAAATGCATCAAATGATGCGCCTTCTCCAAGCTTTCTACGGACTGTCCCCTAGCACTCACATGTTCACTTGTCTTCTTATCATCTTACTAGCAGGCAGAAGTTCCTGGTATGTAGTCTGACAGAGAAAAGGTGTATGTAGTGAGTGTAGAAGAAACTGGACATGCCACAGTGTTAGAGAGACCAAAGTCTGCATTATCTAAACTTATTTTATTGTCAGCCAGTCCACACAGGTTTTGTTCTCATGCATCCCTCTTAAGCTTCCAAACTTAAAGGGGCACTATAGTCACCAGAACAACTACAGCTTATTGTATTTGTTCTGGTAAGTAGAATCTTCCCTCCAGGCTTTTTGCAGTAAACACTGTCTTTTCAGAGAAAATAACTCTGATGGCCACTCATTAGATGGCTGCTAGAGGTGCCTCCTGGGGCAGTACAGTACTGCCTAGTGTGCAGCACCGCCATTCAGTGTCTCCACCCTCTGCATGCAGACACTGAACTTTCCTCATAGAGATGCATTGAATCAGTTTATCTTCATGAGGAGATGCTGATTGGCCAGGGCTATGTTTGACTTGTGCTGGCTCTGCCCCTGATCTGCCTAGTTGACAGTCTCAGCCAATCCTATGGGGAAGCATTGTAATTTGCGCAGACCACCACTTCTGATGATGTCAGCAGTCAGTCAGTTCAGAGGCAGACAGGGACAGAGCCAGCAGCTGCATACTTGAATACAAGTAAGAGTTTACTATATTTAGGGGGCAAGATGGGGCCACGGGGGCTAAATTGTGGTTTTAACACAATAAGGTCAGAAATACATGATTGTGTTCCTGACCCTCTAGTGTTCCTTTAAGCAAGAGTATGTGAAGAGTAGTTAGGGTTGCCACTTTTATTGGAAAAAAATACCAGCCTTATACATTTGAATAATTAGTTATGCGTGACATCACATGATGTAAATCACAAGGAGTGACATAAGAGAAAATTCTGTAAAATCACCAACAAACTACTCAGTTTGATTCTGCTGTATAGATGGATTGCTCCCAGTGTCTCCCAGTGTCTCAGTTTCGCAAGTCATCCGGTCTCTGTGTCCCTCTGTATCAGTGTCCCCATGTCGCCCAGTCCCCTAGTCTCTGTGTCCCCATTTCTCTCTGTGTCCCCATGTCACTGAGAGACCCGGAGACATGGAGACACTGAGTCACTAGGGACACTGGGAGACATGGGGGCACAGACACTGGGAGACTAGGGGACACTGAGACATGGGGACAAAGACACTGGGAGACATGGGAACACTGCGTCACCAGTGTCTCCATGTCCCAATGTCTCAGTATGTCCCTATGTCTCACAGTGTCCCCAAGTGTCTGTGTTCCCAGGTATCCCAATATCCCCTAGTGTCTGTGTCTCCATGTGTTCCCTAGTTTCTCAGTGTCCCCTAGTGTCTGTGTCCCCATGTCTCCCTGCTGTTTTCCTCCCCATCCCTCACTTACCTGAGTTGTAGAACTGCTGTCTGGACTCTTTGTGCTGTGCTACTTAAGCTGTAAGTGTTCCGATCGGGGTTCTCAAAGTAGCAGCATAGATAGTTGTCTATTGCTTGTAAAATTTAGAGGTAGTATGTCTGTTCAGGTGTGTAAACAATAATGGAACTAAATATCGCCGACTCTCACAACAAAATAGAAATGTGTCATATTAATGTAACATATGCATCATATCACTAAAGTAATAATGAATTGTAATTGCATTTATATCGCTCTCTGTTTTAGATACAACTCGAAATAGAAGAGATAATGAAGTTGCTGGGCGAGATTATCACTTTGTGTCACGACAGACATTTGAAGCTGATGCTGCTTCTGGGAAGTTCATTGAATTTGGAGAGTTTGAGAAAAATATGTACGGCACTAGTATTGATTCTGTGCGACAGGTTATTAATTCTGGCAAGATTTGCCTTTTAAGTCTTCACACACAGGTACGGTTTCATTAAACTGTGTACAACTCTACTAGTGCTTGAAAGAAATAAAACCAAAAGTTGTTGAAAGGGGTAAAAACCAAACGTACTACACTTAATGCTGTGTATATCATTAAAAGCAGCAAACTGCCGTGGTTATGGTACCAGGACTGCACTGTCCTCTCCACCCAACATAAATAGTCAAACCATTTAATATGGGGGGAGGGAGGAGGGCAGTAAGATCATACGAGCACCTTATCCTCTACAAAATGGTGTTTGTGGTGCTCTTTTAAAGTTACACTCCAATGCCAAAATGGGCAGAAAAAAAAACTCAATATATTCCTTGGGGCTATATGTTAAAAGAGCTTGCAGAGGCTTCAGATTTTATGAACTGCAGCCTTAGCAAGCCCTCCTCTTTCAATCTCTTCAGAGGAAATAACCTCAATGAGAACCCTCTGACTTGCTGCGTATGTGGACTCCGCACGGTCTGAGGTCTGTGTGGAAGGAGGCAGTGCGTGCCACTTCCATTAGCTCAGGGGAGCTAACAGATGTAGGAAGTAAACCTCCCTGGCTGTTTGATGGCAAGGGTGGTGTTCTCTAGTTAATTTTTTAAATTTCAGATTTTTCATAGAAATACGCACTTTTCTAAAGGTTAAACTAGGATACTCCTCACCCAAGCTGATGTGCTTCTGGTTTGTGGTGTGAACCTGTAACTTTAATATAAATGAAATTATTTTAAAACAAACAAAACAAAATGTTAGAGTGTAGCTGTAAAGTGATATTTAACGCAAAGTGCACAGAGAAGAACAAATAATCCTTGATAAACCAAACTTTTATTACATTTTCAGTAAGTTATAAAATTAAATGAAGTTGTAGTAATCTCTCCAAATGTGAAATATGGCAAACATGGGGTAGGTGGCTGCACTGTAACATGGATGTGCAATACAAAGCAAATAAGTACAAAGAAATCAGCCATGCGTCCAACGTCACTCTTATCTTGGGTGCCAGAAATAGCTGCACTATTCACAAGCCTAAATGTCTAAAGAAAACAAAAGAAAATTACCTGCACACTATCCATAATACCTGTCTTATAATAGGTTATGGGTACTACTGTCATTACCATTGCAGTGTAAGTCTATTTAGGAAAAATTGGTTTGTAGGTTTTAATAAAAATACTCACTTCTGTCTCATTAAGGATTTAACCTTTTAGCTGAAATTGGTCAATATTGTTGCCATAGGACTCACCTAAGAGGTTTGCCTTCGGCATTGGCAGGCGAGATTGACACTGTAGTGGTTATGGTGTTTGGAGCGTTAAGTGATTCAACTATTACTAATACAATTTGAAATGTGGTATGAAACAGAGAATGGAATAGATAATAGATATAAAAAGAGATATATAGAAGGAATGAAAAGAATAAAGGCACTTAGATAACTTAAGGTTTTTGGAAACATGAGGATTTTTTTCCTAATTGTTTGACTTTTATAGACTCACAATGTTTTTTGGTGATCTTGCCGTTGCCTTTCTATTTATTTATTTATCCCCCACAATTTTGTGGTTTAACTACTTTACTAGAACAAGAACATAAGAAAACACTTAAAAAATGTGAGAAAGGGGAGGAAATCTAACACTATATAAATATATAAAAAGGAAAGATAATATATAGCACTTTTTATAAAATAATATCCTCTGAAATAAAGGAAACAATAGTTAACACTTAGATAATATAATAAGTTTAATAAATTTGCACAATATTTAACTATTATAGAAGGATGAGAAAGGGGTCAATTTTTTAAAAAATTTTTTTCCTTCATTCACAATAAGTGTGATCAACTTGTGAAATAATAAATAGTTTGAAACTAAATTAAGGAATTAGACACAAAAGGGAACTAGAGTTGGTGCAAAGGGAGAAGAAAATAGTCACAATAAAAGCTATCGTTAATAAAGATAGTACACTGCAAGTATCATAAAATAGTTCATTCTGAAACTAAGAAAAGAATCATAGCATATAAATAGATAAGCTAATAAAGCTGTACAATATATAACGTAGAAATAACTTTTTTTCTCTCCCCTACCTCTCTCTATCCCCTTTTCTATCCCTACTTGTTACATTGTGATATCCTCCTCTGAACTCTGATTCACTGCATCTCGCTAGTATGAGGTGAGGCTCAATCCCCATATTACTCCAACATTAGATGGAGTTTGGATGCCACACCATAGGGAATAGGTTGTGGATTCCTGTCCCCAACAAAGGGGGTTGAAGACGGGTTGTTTCATGTATTTTTTATATGAGGGATTATGGTTTTTATCATGTTTTATATGTTCTCTTTTTTCTGTTGTGTTGACTGTGCCGAGACTTTGTCCTATTCTCCTACTCTCTCCCAATGGTTACAATTCTGACACTTAACGTACAGGGTTTAAATAATCCATATAAAAGATCCATGGTATTTTAATATATTAAAAAAAAGGGAGTAAAAATAGTATTGTTGCAAGAAACTCATTGGTCAAGGAAAGATACAAAAAGATTTATTCCTAATACTTTTAATATCAAAATATGTTCTTCATTAGAGGATAAAAGAAAATGTGGGGTTGCCTTTTTTGTAACCAGTGATATAGACACACAGATTATGTATCAGAACATAGATAAAAATGGAAGATACACTATAGTAATATGTAAAATACAAAATGAAGTATATACAATAGCGAATTTATATGCAACTAATGATAAACCCATTGGTTTTATACAAATGGTACTAAACAAAATAGATCATATTAAAAAGGGAAAGGTCCTTATAGGGGGAGACTTTAATTGCATTATGGACAAAATGCTAGATAGAAAGTCACTTGGAGGGGTTATCCAAAATAAAAAAAGTAAAAAAAAAACATCAAACCAGCTTAAACTTTTAGTAGGTAGACATGGTTTGTTAGCTATATGGAGAATTTACCACCCCCAAGAAAAGGACTTTACTTGCTTTTCAAAAGTTCATTATACATATTCAAGGTTAGATCTATTCTTGGGTACAGTAGAGATATCACTTAAGATAAAGAAGGTTCTAATTCAAGAAGTCACTTGGTCAGACCATAACCCGGTTATATTAGACCTTAATATAAGCCCAGATATTAAAATAAGGAACAGTTGGAGGGTAAATGATCTCTTATTAAAAAATCCTCAAGAAATAGAGAAAGTAAAAGAATTAACAAAATGATTCTTTGAAGATAACCAAAATAAAGGTACATCAGATGTAATAGTATGGTGCACCTATAAGGCCGTTCTAAGAGGGCACTTTATCAAAATGGGTTCAATAAGAAATAAGAGTAGACGTTCCTCCTTGACAGACCTATATATTTATTTAAATGCTTTAACAAGGCTTAATAAAGATAATCCCTCCAAACAAATGAGTGAGAAAATAGATAAAATTAAAGATAATATTAATGAAATTCTATGGCAGCAATCCTCCAAAAAATTGGAACGCTTAAGAATAAAATGGTATTACATAGATAACCGGGCAAATAAAATGCTTAAAAATAAAGTTAAAGGATATAGAATGGCCACGATGATACAGAAAATTATAACTGAGGAAGGGCCACAACTAACACCTGAAAAAGTTGGTAAAGTATTTAACTCTTTTTATCAAGAGCTATATAACTTGCCTAACCAACTCAACAATCCAGAAACATATTTTAAAAATGAAAAGAGGAAACGGCTATCAGAACAGGTTAATAGTATCAACAAACCTTTTACTGAAATAGAGATTAAGGAGGCAATAGATATGTTAAAAAAAGAATAAAACTCCAGGCCCGGATGGCTATCCTAATATATTTTATAAGCAATTTAAGGAAGAATTGGTGGTCCATTTGAAAAATGTATTTAATAAAATTGTGGAGGAAAAGGTCATCCCGGAGGAAATGCTATATGCAAATATTATCCCTATGCATAAGCCAGATAAACCACCAGATCAAATAAGAAGTTATAGACCTATTTCTCTGCTAAATTTGGATATAAAGATATAGGCTAGCATCCTAGCTAACAGGATGCAAACTGTCTTGCCTTACTTAATTCATAAAGACCAGGTCGGTTTCATAAAAGGTAGACTCTCCAGCAATAGTGTGAGAAAAATAATCGATATTCTAGACAGCACTAACGATTCAGGAGTCCCATTTCTGGCCCTGTCATTGGACACAGAGAAGGCCTTTGATAGGGTCAGGTGGGACTTTCTGATAGCATCTATGAAGGTTTCTGGTTTCGGTGGATGGCTAATGGATGCTGTAATTGCCTTATATTCCTACCCAAGGGCTAGAACTATAGGGAGAGGCAGGCCCGGACTGGCCATCGGGCATACCGGGCAAATGCCCGGTGGGCTGCAATGGCCGTGGGGCCGAGGTCGGCAGGGGAGATCACAGGATCTCCCCTGTCTGCCCCTGCAGGGCCAGCGTTATCCGAACGCCAGCCCTGCTGTGTGCTTCCATGGGCCGGTGGGGAGATCAAAGATATCCCTCACCGGCCCACAGGCAATAATAACCGGCTGCCAGCTGGGGAGGGAGGGAGGGAGGAGAGGACCGGCGGAGCTCCAACCAGAAGCTCCGCCGGGTCCTCTCACGGGATTCTGAGCGTTGCCGCGGCCTGACCGTTGGCCAGTCCGGGGGGGTGTGTATGTATATGTATGTGTGTGTGTGTATATATGTGTGTGTATATATATATATATATATATATATATATATATATATATACATATATATGTGTGTGTGTATATGTATATATGTATGTATATATATAATATATATACATATATATATATATATATATTTTAAAATAACCCTCAGTGAGTTAACAGACAAAAAAAATTAAAAACCTAGAATGTGACGGCAGATAAAAACTCACACACAGCACCCCTGTTACACACACACACACACACCGCCCCTCACACATACAATACGTCCAAATAAATATATATATATATATATATATACATACACACACACACACACACACACACACACACTACAGCACCCCTCACACTGCACCACTACACACATTACGCTCCAGATACACGCTAGATCCCTTATCCTATAGGCACTCTTAATCCTCTACACACACACAATCTCCTATACACACTCTGAGTCCTTTACACACTAGATCTCCTACACACACACACACACACACACACTGCCCCTAGCCACACATATTACACCACAAACACAAATGAAATTGACCTATTTACACAATACCACACCACACTCTACACACACGCAATTCCACAAGCAGGCTCCAAACACATGCACCATCCGCTTTCCTGGCCCTTTTGTCCTCTGGTATCCCACTTGTAGAGACACCAGAGACAACTTAAAAGCAAACACAACGCAAGCATATTATTAAATTTGCTTGCGCTGCACAGAACAAATACAGGGCCTTTTTCTAATGCTAGAGCTCTTCAGCAGGGCTCTGCGCATTGAACCAACATGCTCACTTTGAGAGGGGGCGTGCTTGTCTCTAGCCCCGCCCCCTACTTAGGGGGCCGCTCTGATTGAAAAATGCCCGGGCCTAATTTTTTTTCCCAGTCTGGCCCTGGGGAGAGGTATAATATCTGACTGGTTTAAAATAAGCAACGGGACGAGACAGGGATGCCCTCTCTCGCCGCTGCTTTATTTGTTATATATCGAACCTCTAGCCTGTGAAATTAGGGAAAACCTAAAGATTAAAGGAGTCAGAATAGGTCAACAAGATTACATATTATCACTATATGCGGACGATGTCCTAATCTCCATTACAGACCCTGTACCATCATTGGATGAATTGCTGAAAGTTATAACTGAATTTGGAAATTACTCCAATCTCAAGTTAAATGTAGATAAAACGACTATATTAGCAAAAAATCTAAGTAAGGAAGATAGAGGGAAGATTGGGAATAAATATGCTTGGGCTAAGAAACATTTGCAATATCTAGGTATTAAAATAACAAGTAACCCAAATAAAATCATAGAGAACAATATTCTCCCTATGTTGAAACAAATAAATAAACTTAAAGACTTAAGATCTGCAGAGATATCATGGATTGGGAGAATAAATGTTATAAAATCATACTTAATCACCAAATGGAGCTATATTTTCCGCATGATACCTCCTTAAAATTCCAAAACCATGGCTTACAATGATACAGACAGCTTTTGAGAAGTTTATATGACTGAAAAAAAAAAAGAGGGTGAATAAAAAAAATACTAAATATGAATTCCAAAAAGGGTGGGTTGCGATATTCTAGAGACCTGAGACATGCGCATTGGCTCATTTAATTATATCGTTAAAGGAGAGCTCCGCAGAGGAAGCCTGGGCAAAAATAGAAGCTACAAGACTGGGATCTCCAGACTTATTAGGTATATTTTGGAGTTTACAAAAGAGAACATAAATATAGGCCTAATAATGGATAATTTATTATTGCAGTGGAAAAATTGGAAAAAGAGACTTAAGATACTGGATAAAATAATTACGGATATACCTCTCAACATTTTGACAGTCAATATAGAAAAAAACCTGGACGTCTAATGGTATTAATAATAGAGATCAAATAATGCAACACAATCAAATTATGTCTTTTGAGGACATTAGGCAGTTATTTTATCTTCCTTATAGAGAGAATTTTACATATTTAAGGATAAAGCATTTCTTACACAAACATAGGGTCATAGAGTCATCTGAAGGATTACATCTATTCATGAATCTAATGCTAAAAGTAATAAAAATGTAGTATCATATTGTGCTAAATTATATAAATTATATAAATCAAGCCCAATATTTCCAGCCCTTGTATCTTGGGAAAAAGACCTACAGGTTACTATTACAAGAAATGAGTGGATAAATGCAAATAATGCCGTAACTAAGGCTATTCATTGTTTACATTCAAATGAAAGTCATTATAAGATCATTAATAGATGGCATTATGTTCCCACTAAATTGGCAAAAATGTACCCATCTTCTTAATATGTGTTGGAGATGCGGCTCATATAGAGCAGACTATGTCCACATCTGGTAGTCTTGCCCAAATCTAAGTCAACTATGGAATAAAGTAGCAAAATTTTGTCAAGAGGTGATAAAAGTAGATCTTGACTTTACCTGTATGTCTTTTGTACTACATCTGGGTTGGCCTAGAATTTCAAGAAGTAAAAAAGATATAGTGATTCACATCTTAACGGAGACTAAAGCAAAATTAGCGAGATATTGGAAATTATCCGATTTTCCCCTCTTGGGATATGATAAAATATCAGGTCCTGAACCATTGCAAAATGGAGATTGGAATCCTGAGACAAGATAACTATACTAACTCTAGAATAGAACAATGGGAGGAATGGGTAAAAAAATTAAGCCCTACATAAGGAAAATAATAGTATCTATTATTTGATCTTAGTACAGTATGTTTACTGGACATTACTGTTAAATATAAGTAGTGAAAAGGGGAAAAAAGAAAAGGGAAAAAAAAGGAAAAGGGAAGGAGAGAAAAGGGAAGAGGAGAGAGGGGAAAAAAGAAAGGAATTTTTTTTTTTTGAGAAGAACTTAAGATGATAAACTCAATATGACAAATAACTAATGAACATAGAGACAGATTAGAAAAATGTCTTAATAATTTTACATCTTAGAGAGCTAACACTGTTGATATGTTCATAAGGTTGTAATGTTTCTCTATTTTGCATCTCTATGTAAAGCAGTTTTTTGGTTATTTATAGCGTAAACCTTATTAGAAAAAAAAGAAAAAAGGGAGAAGAAAAGGGATAATAAAAGGGGAATATATCAAGCCCTACAGTAAGACACTATATGTCAGGATTTATAGATCTCGGCACAGTATGACTTTGTTTTTGTTTTTATGTTTATATGGATTGTTATAGACAGTGGCTATATAAGGCTCTTTTAAGTCGAAGTGAAGACACTAAATTTGATATGTCGTCTAATAAATTAAAAATTAGGTATCTTAGAGTGCTAGAACTGTCTGAATGTATTTATTGTCCTATTGTCTTTTGTTTATATTTTTAAATATAAGTCTTTTATTGTCTATTGTGATAAATTTTCGAAAAATAATAATGAAATGAAAAAAAAATGCGGTGTGATTTTAACTGCACAGAGGTGCTCTCTAGAGTGAATGTGAAGACGTTCAAATATATAATTTAGATCATTTTATAAAGCTTTTTAACTTAATCAGACTATATTTAAATATCAGTAAACAAAAATTACTTAAATGTTGTTTTAAATTACCCTAAATGTGTCTGCATCATTAATTTATCTCCATAGCACTGACTTCAAGTTGCCTACACACATGTGCACAGTAGGCAAAAACAGCATTGTGTTTTTTTTTTTGTTTTTGTTTTTTAATTAATTAACAAATAAGCCCAACTAATTTGGTTAGTGGGTGGCTTTTGGAAATTCCTTTACAGTGCTTTGTCAGCATTTCTGCATCGTTGGACTTGCTGCAAATAAGTCCCACTACTTTTTAATTATTTATTTAAATAAATTGTACACTATCAGCGTTTTGTTTATGTAGAAATTCCACTCGCTTATCCACTGAACAAATAAACAGTAATGGGGGAACGTCTTGAGCAGGACTAGTGATGGCAGCTGAAGTCCCTCTCACAAAACATATACAGTAGTAGTTTTTCCCATTTGAAACCAGATGACTAATCATGCAGTTTCAACCCCTATTGTCTTCTATGACCAGTTTGGAAATGCATTGATCTTGAAAGACCATCAGGTGCTCGATCTGTCGTTGACAGGTTGAATAGTTTACCATAAAGAAAATTAAAAGAAATGTTTGCTATTCTTGAATGTATGATTGCACCCTTGAAAGCAACCTTTGTTATCTTTTGATTATTGATTTTTTTTTTGTGTGTTAATTCAGTAGTTGCCATCCAACTCCTTAAGTGCAAATCACAAATGTGAATGTGTCTGAGAAAGTGTCCAGAGCTATTCCAGAGTTTGGGATGTCATCTGAAAGGGAGTTTGATTATTTCTTTTTTTTTTCCTATGCATCATTCTGCTTGTGTAAGTTTTATCATTTAAATGGGAATTCTAAGCAACATAACCATCGCAGCTCAGTGAACAGACTTCACAAGTCTCTTACATTAGGGAATGTTTTACCTAGTATTTTGTTGTTTGCAGTTTTACACAGCAGGGAACAAGTTGTTCCCTTGTTGTTGGTGCAAGTGTCATGTATGAAATTTATTATGTCGTTAGGGCTATAAGTTCCAGGAGATATGACAGAAGAATTCCAACATCCGGACAAGAAGAAGATACCAAATTGCATACCAAATTGCACTCTCAGTGAAATGGGTGTTAAATTACATGTGACGGGGAGTGGGGAAGACACTTGAAACGTTTGCAAGGTGCTACATTTCTACTGCCTCACTATTAAGGTATACGTGGTAATTCTGTAAGTTATGGATGTTAAATCAATTGGAAGATCACAGAATTTCCCTAACCAGCCCAGTAATTTTCCACCATGGGTATGCTAAACTTGTCACCTTCAAGTCCCTTATCTAATAACATAGTGAGGAAGGCTTATGATCTGTCTCTTCAGAGTGGATGATTTTACTTGTTTTTTTTCTTAATTTGGGTTATAGTTGAGAACACACCATAGATGGACAGATCTTGGAACATTTGCGCCGGAAAGTGCAAAATAGTCTCAGGATAAGTTTAAATATTTTGCTCAAACTCTTATTTTAAGAACATACCCAAATATGTTGAAAGAAAGCAGCCCCCACCTTCCCTCATCGCAAACTCTGTGTGGAGCATGTCTCATTCAGTCGACGGTACACGTGTAATGCTATCCGTCGTTGCATCTCCTGGTACAGAGGTACCGGTGGGTGTGATTCTAGTCCATTCTTGGAGGCCTTCCAGACCAAGCAGGAGCGTGGGGCAAAGTGACATCTGGAACACCTGGAGTGCCGAAGGTTGCCTAACCCCACCCTTCAGCAACTCTACTAACATGGCGGAAACTGCTTGTTCTCACAGTCAAGAGGGTGCATAGCACAATGTCATGTCCATGCTGGAACAAATCTTTTCCGACTTCTGGCAGCAGATGGAGCACAGGCTATGTCACCCACCTACCTCCCACTGCAAGCAAGTGACCACTCTCCATGACCGCAATCCCAGACCTCTCATCAGGAGCAAATGGATCTGGCGGGAGAGCATACCCAAATATAGCAGTGGAAAGAGCAGTGCAGCTCATCCAGATACAAAGTGGCACGGAAATGAGTACCAAGGCTGGGCCTCATGAGACTCTGGAGGTACACCAATGAATCCCACCAGCAGTGTCTGCAGTGAATCGCCATCCTCCATACGGAATTAAAGGTGTACAGCTCATCTACCCGGTGCAGGACTGCACTCTGCCTATGAGAAGCATAAGACTGCTTTGGGACAAGATTATTTAACTTTTAAATGAGTGAATTGAGCGGTGAGTCTGCAGGGGCATGATCTAGACACTAAAACTGCTTTATTAAGCTAAAGCGATTTTGACGTCTATGGTATCCCTTTAAGTAATTTGTTTCTCGTAGTGAGAATGTCTATAAAAAGGCAGGAGAATGATGATGTCCATATGTGAACACAGCTAGTCGTGAATGAATGATTCAGGACTGATCTAATACTTTATCTGCCATTTAAGTGCTTAGTGCATTAATAAATCTAAATTCTTCTGCAGTGAAATAATATCTTGCTCACCTTGCCTCACCTAGTTTTGTGTAATTTGCAGACAGGTGCCTCCAAGGAACGTTCTTTCGGTGTTGAGAGCCCTGTAAACAATTCTTAGATGCACATAAAAAATGTTTTGTTTGGTAAACTTTACTAATTGGTGCTTTTTAAGAGTTCTCTTTGGGCGAACTCTTAAAAGTTTGACCTAGATAATTGCGAGAGTTGGGATCTGATGTCTGTTTAATGTTATATTTTCCATTCTGACATGGGGTACTCTGTATATTTTTTTGTAGATAACCGAATATCACTAATTAAATGTTTTGTTTATTTAGTCTTAAATTGTTTAGTGTTAAATAGATTTTTTTAACAGGCAATATCCATGTGGGGTGTTTGGTTATGTAATCCTGACAGCATCTTTACTCTCTGTATTCTGCTTAAAATCAATAAAACACAAAATGGAGAAATAAACAGATTGCAGATCAGGCGCCTGGATACAAGTCAAGGGCTCATGAGCTGCACCAATATAACCACCTAATAGGGAGCTCCAATAAGGAGATAACCCTCCAAAATGTGCTGGAAATAGGAGAAAGTGATGTATAGAATCCCACAAGGGGAAATTAACATCAGGATAGCTCCACTGGTATAAGAAATGAGGAAGCGGGGCCCTAACTTTAATCAATCGAAGGATAAAAGGGGATATTCAAACAAAAAATATAACTTGAAAAAAGGAGATCTACTAAATGGTGCCCATGGGATCCATTAACTGGAGTACTAAATTGCATCTAAGTTCCATCTGTGTTTAGACCAGATTATCTGGTCCCTTGTTCTCTGTGGACCCTGTGCCTTTTCTCTCTCCCTAACCTCGTTTACACTACCTTCCCGTCAGTCGGACACTTGGGGAACTGGAACTTAGATGCAATTTAGTACTCCAGTATAATTTTGTTCTGACTAAATTTTAAGTTATTTCCAATTACAATTCTGTATGTATTAAAAAATACTAGCATATCTAAAACTTTTCTCTCTTGATGTATCTGTGATCAGCAGCCACATTCTGTTAATGTGATCTATATTTCTTCTCTTTCCAGGCTTTGAAAATGTTACGTAATTCAGATTTAAAACCATACATTATATTTATCGCTCCACCCTCCCAAGAGAGGTTGCGTGCATTACTGAATAAGGAGGGTAGAAATCCAAAGGTATGTGTTTGTTTTATATATGTAAATTATTTTCAGTGTTCTATGTCTGCACTTTAACATTTATTTGGATGCAAATGGGTAGCACAGTAGTAAAAAGGATAACAATTACAGTTTATTTTCCTTGTTGTCATGCTAGGAATGTGTGCAGTCTCCCTGTTTAAAGTCAAACCTGTGTTGATTGGTTTTGGTGCTGCGAGAGGGTTCATGTTTGGTGTTTCTTTGTGTTTGGTCCAGAAGATAGAAAAAATAAATCTAAAACATATTCTGTTTGAGAAGTAAAATCTTGTTCAGGCTTTACTGTACAACTGTATACAAACTGTAGTAATCGAGCCTTGATACCTACAAGTGCTTTCAGGCATTGGTTCAGCAATACCGTATACATGCTTTTCCAGTTAAATACCTGTTGCTATGCAGTTATGCAAAATGTTTTTATTTTTTTTAAATCACACTAGGTACAGTGACTCTTCAAGGGGTATCTTTCATTCAAAATGAAATTCACTGCTTAAACAGATTAAAAAAAAAAAAAAAAAGTTGACTGCAAGTATGATTGCCCAACGAAAAAAGTTTTTTATTTTAAATATGATGTTCATGATACGGTGTAAAAACTTAGTTAAAAAAAAACAAACTGGCACAGTATTTAATATTTATATATATATATATATATATATATATATATATATATTATGAAAAATGCTCTTGCACTCACTCTGTAATCCCTTAATGACCGGGTGCTAGTAGTATCCATTTATCCAAGAAGGATGCAGCACTCTCGGATTTAAAAGTCCAAAATTTATTTGTATGAAGTTAAAAAGATCGACGTTTCAGTCCTACATAGAGGACTTTCATCAGGATCAAATACAAACATATGAAAAACAAACATTGCTTATATACATATCAAAATTATTCAAATTGGCTTACCCCTAGGTGAATCAAGTATGTGACCGCCGTTCTGCCGTTCTCTGTGCGCATGTTTGGCCGAGCTCCGCCCCTTAGTGACGTCAACGTGATGGTGTAGTGTAAGTTTCCATAGCGACGTGGGTAATCAAGGCGTCGCTATGGCAATAAATAACAGGAAATAACCGTGCCTTGAGCCAGAAATAACATGCAAAATCAGAAACATGTAATAATCCAACAACAAGATTCTATTATGAATATAGTGTATGACTGTGCATCTATAGGTGCATTATAGTATATTTATGCCTAAGAATTACTATTAGGCACTAACACATTATCTATAAAGTGCAGTGTTAAAGTGACAGGCTTGAGAAATAGAGCCTGTGTTTATAATAATAAGCTCAGTGACTGCAGTAAAGTGTTGAGTACATATTATAATAAAGTGCCAATAGTGATCAAGTGCAAATGGAAGAATATATAAAGTGCCAACTTATGTAGAATGCATACAAATAGTCACCGATATTGTATACACTGAGGCTGTATATAACAGCCCAAGTGTATACAAAGAGAATTATTTAAAAAAATCGTTATGTGAAACATATATACCACTGTCCAATAGACACATACATGAAAAACACATATAGAACATGTACACATATATACAAAATATATTTTAAAAAAAAAACACACATAGAACATACATATATACAATATCCCAGGGTTTACTACCATTTTGTTAGATATTACCCATCCTGGACCTAAGGGCCAGTTGGCTATATATCACTGTATTAAATATCTTATAAACACTATAATATATAAGAACCAGTTGACCATATATCGCTGTTTTAAATATCTATTTTTGTAAACATTATGGCCATGCGTCATCCCATTGGCCCAATATCTAAGGTAGTATAACGTAAGACCTGGGTTATGTATCCTAAAGTTCTTAAATAAAGAAGGAGCACTGTGCATGCATATGAATAATTAATACCTTAAAAATAATTCATATTTGATAATTCAAAAAAGTACTTATGAAAATACTTATAAAAAGGAGTGGAAAGAGATGGTTTCATTTAGACCTCTTGGGGATACTGTGTCCAATTCATAGATCCAGTAAGTCTCTAATGGCCGAAGAGATTTGCGTAGTTGATTGATGGAAGGCCGTAGGGAAGACCATTCTTTGGGTTACCATTGTTTCCCTATGTACTCGGGCAGTCTTCACTTCTTCAAGAGCCTTATCGAGGGTAGAACATAAGTACTTTTTTGAATTATCATATATGAATTATTTTTAAGGTATTAATTATTAATATGCATGCACAGTGCTCCTTCGTTATTTTAGAACTTTAGGATACATAACCCAGGTCTTATGTTATGCTACCTTAGATATTGGGCCAATGCGATGATGCATGGCCAGCAATATAATGTTTACAAAAATAGATATTTAAAACAGCGATATATGGTCAACTGGTTCTTATATATTATAGTGTTTATAAGATATTTAATAGTGATATATAGCCAACTGGCCCTTAGGTCCATGATGGGTAATATCTGTAACAAAATGGTAGTAAACCCTGGGATATTGTATATATGTATGTTCTATGTGTGTTTTTCGTGTGTGTCTATTGGACAGTGGTATATATGTTTCACATAACGATTTTTTAAAATAATTCTCTTTGTATACACTTGGGCTGTTATATACAGCCTCAGTGTATACAATATTGGTGACTGTTTGTATGCATTCTACATAAGTTGGCACTTTATATATTCTTCCATTTGCACTTGATCACTAGTGGCACTTTATTATAATATGCACTCAACACTTTACTGCAATCCCTGAGCTTATTATTATTATAAACACAGGCTCTATTTCTCAAGCCTGTCACTTTAACACTGCACTTTATTTATGCGTAAGAATTACTATTAGGCACTAACACATTATAAATATACTATAATGCACCTATAGATGCACAGTCATACACTATATTCATAATAGAATCTTGTTGTTGGATTATTACAACATGCTTCTGATTTTGCATGTTTCTGGCTCAAGGCACGGCTATTTCCTGTTATCTCCATAGCGACGCCTTGATTACCTGCGTCGCTATGGAAACGTACACTACGTCATCACGTTATGAAGTCACTAAGGGGGCGGAGCTCGGCCGCACATGCGCGCAGAACGCCAGTCACACACTTGATTCACCAGGGGGTAAGCCAATTTGAATAATTTTGATATGTATATATGTTTGTATGTGATCCTGATGAAAGTCCTCTATGTAGGACTGAAACGTCGATCTTTTTAACTTAATACAAATAAATTTTGGACTTTTAAATCCGAGAGTGCTGCATCCTTCTTGGATAAATATAATATAATCGTGTGTGTGTGTGTGTGTGTGTGTGTGTGTGTGTATATATATATATATATATATATATATATATATATATATATATATATATATATATATATATATATATATATATATATATATATACACACACACACAACTTATCAAAAAAACTCTTGTAAATGTATATGTTTAAGCTTATTAAGATAAGTGTATTTCCAGTTCTGATTCACCTCCCACCCCATAGCTGCCTGTATATATACATATGCTCTTGGCACTCACCCATTAACTGACGTTTTCCTTTATATCTGTGCCTGGGTGCAGACCTCAGCGTAAGTATATATATATTCATTGAAGAAAGGTGCACTCACAGGGCTTCATCCATAAGTAGTTTTATTCTTAGATGTGCATTACATGTGTAATCAAATCCTCAATCAACGTTTCGACCCATAAAGGGTCTTTTTCAAGATCTTATATATATATATATATATAATAATGTTATTTTTTTATTTTTTTTTCCCCGGTCTTTTTGTGCTCCGGTGCACAATCTCCAACCAAAATATATATACCTAGTAGAGAGCACTCTGGAGTCTTGGTGAAGTAAATTCAAACTGGTGCTTTATTAAACAAACACAGTGATTAATAAAGCGGCAGTTTGAATTTACTTCACTAAGACTCCAGAGTGCTCTCTACTAGGTATATATATTTTGGTTGGAGATTGTGCACCGGAGCACAAAAAGACCGGGGGGGAAGAATATATATATATATATATTATTTTTTTTATTTTTTTTAAGGTAATTTTATTTAATTTTCTATTTTAATTTTTTTTAAGCTAAACTAGAGATTCTGATTGTTGTGTTGGTGCCGGACTTTCTTTTTAATTCGGTCACCGCATTTGAGATACATATTTTTTCCATTATGTGAGAGTACATTTTTGTATTGACCTTTTGGTTTTTTCTTATTTACCATACAGCCTGAAGAACTGAGGGATATCATTGAAAAAGCAAGAGAAATGGAGCAAAACAATGGCCATTATTTTGATGCAGCAATTGTGAATACAGATCTGGACAAAGCCTTTCAGGAACTTCTTCGACTAATCAATAAACTGGACACTGAGCCTCAATGGGTCCCATCTTCCTGGTTGCGGTGAAGACTAATAGAAAATGTATTTGGCAATCATAAAAGGTTGCGTATCAAAAGTTTAAGCACTGAGAAGTCAGGTTGAATCTGTTTTATAACATGTTGATTTTGCATTAATACCCTGATCATCATTCAGTGGATGATCTGCAAATTCACATCTGTCATATCAGATTTTTATGAAAATTGGAGTTGTAACATCCTCAGATTATCAGTTAAGTTATAAGTCCTAACACTATGTCCTTTGAAATTGTTTTTCTGCATTATCTGAATATCCATGAATTAATAGACTGAACACTCAATCGTGTTTACATCCTATCTCTGGAAAGGGTTTGGTGGAGTTGCCAGGATTATGTGGTTAATTTATGTGATCTTTAGTTTGACGATTGCATCAATTTAAAATGTATCTCGCAGGTGTCATTCACATATAGCACTCGGCAGTGTTTACAACAGAAACACCTAAAGTACCTGTAAGTAAACTCCATAAATAAGGCCATTAAAATTTGACTGTTTTTCAGTTTACAGCATTGAGCAAATTTAATGAAAAAAAACTAAACACTTCTCTGAAATGAGTGTGCTACTTATATTTATAAACCCAATCACTACTAATCCTGCAAGCTGATATAAAATGCACTCAACTTTGTATTATATGTAGAGTGTACTGTTACCTGGCTTGCAACAATTTCTAAATGATTTCTGTGAGTATCAAATATACACAGATTTATCCATTGCTCTGCTCATTTGTGGGGGAGGGGGGAATCATTAATAAGATAATGTTGGGAATTACTTTTAGTGACTGTATGTATATACAAAATAGATTGTGTTTTAGCAATATGCTTTAGCAATTTACCTGGCAGCTGGAATATTCACTCTGCCACCATTTTTAAACAAATGTAATTTTTGTATTATCTTGGACTTAAACATTCCAATTTATAAAAGCACTGATACCAGCAGTAACTTCCATTTTTCAAATAGCAAAGAATGTAAACTCCTCTTTTTTTTTTATTTTTTTTTTCTTTTTTTTTTTTACATTCTTATAAATAAATTTGGATTTGTACAGTTATGGAAATGAATACATGTAAGTACAATTTATTTAGTTCAATACATCTGTCTTGTGAACTACTGGTATGTCAGATTCTGGTAGCAACTGAAAATTTGAGAAATTAATCTATTTCAACATGAGATAGACTTAAACGAATATTTGAGTTTTTATTGCAGATTTTTGTTTTTCATTCTCCAAGGCGATCCATTAGGTTTAACATTTAGCATTGTTTTAAAAAAAAAAAAAAAAAAAAGTTAACTATCAGAGGAGTGTCAAAGATTGAATGCTTTTCATATTCCTAATCATGCATAGTTCCAAACATTAGAGACTTGGTGAATCATGAAAAGAGTGGTTTGTTTTTGTTTTTATTTACACTGGATACTTACACATTTATGCAGGAAAAATTTTCTTTGTTTATCTCCTTTATAATCGCTTTTTTTTCTGTTTGATAACTTATCAAAAAAACTCTTGTAAATGTATATGTTTAAGCTTATTAAGATAAGTGTATTTCCAGTTCTGATTCACCTCCCACCCCATAGCTGCCTGTAGCACCTGGTTACTAATGTGTTCAATCAAACTCTTAGAAATTTTGTTCAGTACTGACACAAGTAATTATAAATAAAGCTAGTTGAGACATCTTATTTATAGCCAAGTGTCATCTTCCTCAGAAGCAGTCTAAGAGAGCGTTACTAGTTATATTACATTTGATTTTTAGAGGAATGTGTCTCACTGCAGGAACAGTGGGGAGATATTTGATGGTGGCCTTCATATACAGCAAAATAGATACTTGTTCTTGCATTGTCCATACATATCTTTAATTTATGAACTGTATAATCTCTCATTTGATTAAACAGTTGGGTTTTCAAACACATGTTGGATCTTAAGAAAACATCTAAAACTTATATTTTAAGTTTCCTGGCTCTTTTCAGCCACAAAGGTAATGTAGCATATGATCAGTTTTCTGTTTGGCTGCCCTTTCAATGTGGCCGGCAAGAAGTGATGGCAATATCTCTTTATACATTGCACACTCCCAGAGCAAGTAGATTGCAAGTGCATGCACTGGATATCCACAGAAACTGTCTGTGTTTGGCAAGATCATCTGTAGGAATCTTATTCTTATTCCACACCAGTGTGTGCATGTAATTGCTTGCCTCACATAGAAAATAACCAGCAGATGAGCATCACCGGATGCAGGCAGCATGCTACAAGCAGACAATAATACAGAGATTGGCATATTTCTCATTTGTGTGCTAGTGTTGTAAAACCGAAAGATCAGAATGTAATTGTTAATTTTACATTATTTGCATACTCATTAGAGTGGCATCAAATCTCCCAATGGCAACACATAAGCATGGAAAATGAAAACCATGTATTAATTTTTTTTTTATTTTTTTTTTTCATTTTAGTTCTTTACTGCTGGTTTTAAGAATTGTGAAGACAAACAAAGCCTGTAGTTTGTTAGCATATCAAATATGTGACCAGTCTATTATTAGTCAACATACAGGGGCTGAGATATCTTGCACATTTTTTGACACATTGATTAGTAGCAATTGTTTGTTTCAGTTTTTTTTTATTTTTGGTTTTTTTATTTTGGTGTAGACAAATATTGTCACTTCTTTATAAAGGATCCTGAATACACAACAGAAGCAACTACTGTACAGAATGGTAGAAACCGAAGTCAGAATCTCTCATAAATTTATTTTCATTTTGTTTTTCCTAATCCATGATGTAAAGCTGAAAGATGGAACATAGCTACAGAAACATAATTTAATACATTTTATTTGAGGTCTTGACAAGCCTTTCAATAGTTTATATGCTCAAAAATACCTCCTGACTATTGTGAAACGCAATTAAAAAGCAGAGTTGAATTTACAAACACTGGAAATATAATATATGGTTTTTAAAGGAAATGTATATTTTATTGAAAATGCAGAATTAGAAAAGTACACGTTTGCACTACTCATGTAAAGTGAATGAAGTTGTGATTAGTAATACAATAATCTGTTTTTATACTTTCTTTCCCTGTGAATATATCTTTATATATATTGTTTAATATCTTACACTATTTTCAAGGTAAACTAATGAGAATATTGCTTTATTTGCTGGCTAGTTACTTTGTGATGTATACGGTTGCAGTTTAAGCCAAGATAATTTGTATTTTTTTTTCCATTTTTAGCTTTTAGCAGCTTTTATGGATTTCATGGGTCATTTCGTGATGTTACTTCATTCTTTTACTGTCTCAAATTCTTACTCAAATGAAGTTATTTTTAAATGTATTTTATGAGTGTTTTTGTTTTTTTGCGTAACTAATCCAAATTTTCATTTGTACAATTTTTTATTTTATTTTTTACACTTCAAATATTTTCCAGTACTTTGTTTAAATATACAGCAAACAAAATAAAGCAAGAGGCAGTGTAGCTAGATATAATTGCCATTTGAAAATGTAATAATTCATTTTTGATTATTCTAGAAATGTCACCGTATTAAAGGGACACTATAGTCACCAGATCAACTACAGCTTAATGTAATTGTTCTGGTGAGTATAATAGCTCCCTTCAGGCATTTTCATGTAAACACTGCCTGTTCAGAGAAAAGGCAGTGTTTACATTGCCCCTAGGGACACCTCCAAGTGGCCACTCCTCAGATGGCTAGTGGAGGGTCTTCCTGGCTCAGTGCTCCACAGTAGGCAGCCCTGTTATTCAGCATCCCCATGCTCTGCATGGAGACGCTGAATTTTCCTCATAGAGATGCATTGATTCAATGTATCTCTATGAGGAGGTCCTGATTGGCCAAAACAGCATTTGGCCCGCCCCTGTGCCAGTTTTAGCAAAGGGAAAGCATTGGATTGGCTAAAAATTGGCCATTTTGAGGGCGGAGCCAGCGCCGGCGGAGCCAGCGCCGGCAGACCCGTGCGGCCCTGGAAATAAGGCGAGTTTTAAACTTTTATAGGGGAGCTAAGGGGGGGAGGGGGGGGCACACATGTACACATACATTGCTTTAATCCATTCAGTTTGTTTTAGGATGGTGAACAAAATAAGAGTATATCAGTTTTATCAATATGAAAACATAAATGTAAAATTACATTACCCCACATTAATAAGGACTAGTCAGGAATTCCATATACTGTATCAGCCCATATTAGAATGTTATTTTATATTTCTGCTTCTACACGAATATATCAGTCAATCTTAAATATTACAATTTAAGTGATCCATTGAAATCCTAAATTATCCCACCCACACAATCTTGATTAAGGGTGAATAGATTTGTTTACGAAATTTTTATTTATTTTTTTACATAATTTGAACCTTTAGATAATCCTGTGGCACAAACTTAATTTTTGTTTTTTTTTGTTTTGTGTATTTTTTTTTCCTCCAAAAATATTCTTCTATGCTCAGAAAGCTAACAATTAAGCAATATAATAAACTGCTTGCTATATTATGGTGCAAAGAAATTACCCCTTTCATACTTACGTATTTTGGACAGCATTCGGACTTCCAGGGCTGATTCAAGGATTTTTGGCTACACAGTCAAAGATGCATTTTTTCCTTGGTTGCCTACCAGCCAGTGATATAGATAATGCATTAAATTTTTCAACTACAGCCTGAAGTTTCCATTTTAATTTATGGGATTGGAGGCCATTTTATAAATGTTAAAATAAAATACCCCATGGTATATTTAAGAATGTATGTTTGTGTTTACAAAATTTGTATTTTAATTTTTCATTCAAAATGTTCATGGCATTACTGGTTACAAGTTCAACCTCTCTATTAGCAGGTAATTTGTTAAGTACATATCCACAGAGAAATTACACAAAATAGACATATTTACGTTTATACATATCATTAGATTAGGAAGAATTTGGACTCTTGCAAATTGATTTGTAAAATCTTCCCAGTTAAACATTTGATATAATGTCCTACATTTTGTTTTAGTGCGACTGCTGCTTGAAGGATTATCCATTTGATTTGTAATGAGTGACATGTTGGTTTTAATTTATTTTTAATTCAAATTTGTTTTGCCTTTATGGTCAGTTAATACAAGTAATTTCAAAATACTCCACAGTTCGAACATTTTATGTGTATGATTGATTTATCAGATATACTAAAGCTGGGGATTTGTCTGTTTCTTCTGATCCTTCACCTTTGTACGAGTACCGGTATATATTAAAATGGGGAGGGAGAGGACTGTCAAAATACTCCACTGTTTAAATATGTATATATTTTAGTTTTCAGCACTTTCTAACACATCACTGATGTTCTACTACAGATTTGCGTTTTTCTTGATTTTTTTTTTTTTTAAACAATTTCCAATTTTGGATTTTTAACTTGAACAAATGATGGTGAAAGTAAATATTGCCAGCTTCAATATTTATTTGTGATAGCGAAGGCCTTAACTATATGTTTAGTCCTAATTCATTTTATATCCAGTATTTACCTGCACTGTGTATTGATGAGTTGTCACAAAATGCACAATTATGTAAAAATGTAAAATTTGATTTTAGACTTTGAATAAAATCACACTTGTACAATTACATGCATTTGTTGATCTTTTTAAGTTTTGTTTCTATATAAAATAAATTGTAGTGTAATAAATGGCTTAGTAATTGACTTGTGCAGAAATGGTGTTTTAGCTGGTATTAACAAATCAGAAGCCTTTTTAATCTGTGCCAGTAGTGGGTGCATGGAATAGCCTTCTAGCTGAAGTGGTAGAGGTTAACACAGTGAAGGCGCTTAAGCATGCATGGGATATGCATAAGGCTATACTAGCTATAAGATAAGGCCAGGGACTAAGGAGAGTATTTAGAAAATTGGGCAGACTAGATGGGCCGAATGGTTCTTATCGGACGTCACATTTTATGTTTTTATGAATTACTTGATCCATCCTGGATTCAACTAACATAATCCAAATGTAAATACTGGAAGGATTGATTCATTAAAGTGCAGGTTAAAAGGCGTTTGATTTATTTGTACCACGTTGTTATTTTATTTATATAGCCCCAGCAAATTCCACAGCGCTGAACAATGGGTGGACTAAGACACGTAATTGTAACCAGACAAGTTGACACAAAGGAACAAAGGGATTAAGGGCCCTGCTAAGTGAGCGTCCATGCTAGAGGGCGTGGGATATAGTAGGGGTAACGAAACAGGTTACAGGAGAAGTATTCACTGAGAACTTAGTAGGATATATTTGACAGTTGCAGGAGAGGAGTCATGGGGGTGGGATAAAAAAACCTGCTAACAGTTTAATTGATGTGTGACGGACCGCCTGGCACCCCGACCGGTTGCCTCAGTCAATCGATGCTCCTAGTGCTCCCTGAGGACTCAAAGCACTACACCCGACACCATCAGAACTGGGACCTTGCATGGACCTTGTTGGGGACTCCAACACAAAAACACAGACCAATAAGAACAGTGATTAAATGCACAACACTCCCATAACAAACATACAGTTCCTCCTTTCTGCCTGGGATATAATGGAGTCAGATACTATATCAATTCAGTTATCTCCAGGCAGAAAAAACACATTTCTGAAAAGCCCTAAAACACAATATCCCCACAAATGTTTCATCCCCTGATAGCCCTGATCTGGGTAACAAACATATCCAAAAATCACCCAGATCCGTTCAGGGGTTAAGAAATTCTATGAAATTAATTTATTTCACCGACCGCAGGCATGGTCCCATAGCCAAAAATAGTTCCATAGAATCGCTGCTGGAGGACCAACTGGGAACTGCAAAGTTTTCATGCCGAAAATAGTTCCAGGGCATTCGCGACTAAGTCCCCCTGAAGTCTATACGCACTTTTGGTTTTGGTCCCTGCAAACAAGATGGAAACCACCTCGTGATCGAATGGCACTTGGAATGGCTTCAGGAGTTCGAAGTGCCGCTTCGAAAGTTCGAATTGTTCCTGTTATATGCCCAACAGGCACAAATAGTGTTTTCAACCAGGGTTCAACACAGGGTAATAGGCTGGCAAGTATGCCTCTCCAAGGACCAGTGGCGAGGTTACTTTCGCCACAATATGCTTTCCTGAAAAAGTGTTTTCAAAGATTTTTTTTGAAGGAGTGGAGACTGGGTGAAAGTCTAACGGAGAATGGAAGGAAGTTCCACAGAAAAGGTGCAGCCCTGGAGAAGTCTTGATGGCGAGCACGGGACATACTTGTGTATTAGGGATGATAGGTAGGTTGCAGCAGCATTATGGAGGGACATGTAAGCAAGCACCAGAATCTTAAATTGAGCCCTATATCTAACTGGAAGCCAATGTAGGGACTGACAGAGGGGGGATGTGCGGGCAGATAGGAAAATGAGCCTTGCCGTTTTATTCATTATAGATTGCATTGGTGCAAGCTGGGTACTCATAAAACCACTGAGAAGGGGATTGCACTCAAGGTGAGAGAGAACAATAGCATGGACCAGCACCTTAGCCGCGTCCAGTGTTATAGGGGCGGATGTGAGCTATGTTTTCGAGATGGAAGCAGCAGGATTTTTCGATCGATTGGACATGAGGAATAAAGGAGAGGTCGGAGTCAAAGAGAACACCGAGGTAGAGGTAATGGTGGCACCATTGACTTGGAAGGAGACCGACATGGGAGTTGCAACACTTGAGGGAGGAAAGACCAGAAGTTATGTTTTGGACAGGTTGTTTAAGGAAGTGAGCAGCCATCCAGTTGGAAATCGCAGAGAGGCAGTCAGAGACATGAGTCAAGATGGGTGGAGTGAGATCAGGAGAGGACAGGTAGATTTGCATGTTATTTGCATTTACATGATAGTGGAAGCCAAGGGAGGCAGTATAGATATAGAACCATAGGGGATCAAGGACAGAACCTTGGGAAAACGCCAACAGAGAGCGGTTGGGGAAAAGAGGCAGAACCAGAGAAAGAAACACTGAAAAAGCGCTGGGAGAGGTAGGAGGAGCACCAGGAGAGAGCAGTATCCCATAGACAGATTACGGAGAAGAAACTGTTGATGATCTAAGGCAACAGAAAGATCAAGGAGAATTAGGATAGAGTAGTGGCCATGAGATTTAGCAGCGATTAAATCGTTGGACGCTTTGGTCATAGCCGTTTCGACATTGTGATTAGCGTGGAATCCAGACTGTCAATCTTGCATACCCAACTCTCTCAAGGATCTGGGAGGCAAATGGGAGTAGTAATATAGATGGGGAGTTGGAGTCAAGGTTGGGCTTTTTCAGAATTGGGGTTATGGTTGCATGTTTGAAAATTTTAGTGAGAGGAAGAGCAAGAGAGGGAGACAGTGCAGATGAGATATGAGGTATGTCAGAATATTTATATCAAGACATTTTGTGCTAAAAAGAAATTAAAGGTGTATATTGCCCAAGTCACTCAAAACAAAGCGGTCTCCATTTTGCTATCTTCAGGATAGCAGAGACATAGTTTCTTCTTACTTTCACTAACCAAGATAAGCAATTAAGCAAGGGGGATGGAATGCTCTGTCTAAATGTTAAAGGAATGTATTATCTAAACACAGACATTAGTGACAGAGAAGACCAAGTAATTTTTCTTTCTAAATGGGGTGAAATTGAGTTTAGAACTGTCAATTTTACAAGTTACGATCAAAGTAGTTGCCACAAAGACTGAGACAAATGCTTTGAACTGACAGCAAATCTAAGTTATGGTAGTCATCTTAGATAAGCCAAATGACGTCAAAATCGTCATCAGGAAAAGTTAACTCTTTCTTGGATAGGAAGGTTTCGTTAGACGAGACTGCCATCTATGGATCAAATACCTAAATTGCGATCCATCGATTGGACACACCTATGGCTGCCTATTGGTTTATCAATTAATGACGTACAGAGAGTCTGGCCCTTTAAAAGTTAGGACAAAGGGAAGACAGGGTAGTTGGAGTTGGAGACAGAGAGATGAATTGAAGTTTGGGCATCCGATTCGGACATGCAGAGAAATCCAGGACAATCTCTGGGACTAACACTATACTCTTAAAACTCTAACACTTAGAATTTTACTTACTTTCTAACCAACACCACCTTTCACTATAACTCATGCACCTACATACAACCAATCAAGTTTCTGGGACTACCTACTCATCTGATGAGAATATCTACATAACTGGTAATTATGCTGGTTTTATTTAATTAAAATTTACTAATAGCATGATATGACTGGATAAATCACGGTCAGATTTCATATTAAGAAATCTTAGTTAACTAAAGAATATATAGTTATAAACATTCCATTCTGCAGGTGGAATTAAGGTTAAGAATAATTATATATTAATGTGATAATATCACGTGTTGGCATACCGCTGTTTTTATCCAGGTGTATTGATTTGCTCTAAATTAAGATAAGATATATTTTTAGACAAATTAAAATTCTGCTTATAAAAATCTGGTAGATTATTCTTATTGGATGGTTCCAGGAAATGACTAATGAGCTGGTTCAAATGTTAATTTAATTGAAAATCACAGGAGAATAGGATACTATATGCCTAGGAGGATCTAGCCAGCATTGAAAGGGTTACTCAGTTGATCTAACTGTTAGCCAGGGTTTTATGGCTCTTCGCTGTGAAAAGTTCGCTTTCTGTGTCTGTAAGGATACCTCATAAATTGTGTAAGTGACAGCTGGTGCTGTTTAGCCTTTGGAACCGTGTATAGCCATTCCATTGTATTGCATACTCATGTTGTACTAAATATTCACTTATTAATATCATGCATGCTGCCTAATAATATTGTTAATTAATTTGTTACAATAAAAATCTATTTTTATAACAAATTGTAAATTATTGATGGAATACTTTTCACTTACATGATAAGCGATCTCTAAGATCTAAGAGAATTGAAATAGTGGGCAATTCTCGACTGCTTAAAATTATCATCCCATAAATATCCCCATAGGTAACAGTCTAATATTAAAAAAAAAAAAAATCCAATTATATGCTATTACTACATTATACTGACTTGAACAGGTGAATGACAAATTTCAGAATGCCATTCAGGCAATGTGATTCGTTTTATGGTTGGCACTTTCCTTACATAGTATTACATAGTTACACAGCGGAAAAGAGACTAGCGTCCATCAAGTTCAGCCTTCCTCACATTTGTTTTTTGCTGTTGGTCCAAAAGAAGGCAAAAAACCCAGTTTGAAGCACTTCCAATTTTGCAACAAGCTAGGAAAAAAATGCCTTCTTGACCCCAGAATGGCAGTCAGATTTATCCTTGGATCAAGCAGTTATTACCCTACATTGAAAAATTATATCATTGAATATTCTGTTTTTGCAAGTATGCATCTAGTAGCTGTTTGAACGTCTGTACGGACTCTGATAAAACCACTTCTTCAGGCAGAGAATTCCACATCCTTATTGTTCTTACAGTAAAAAAAACTTTCCTTTGCCTTAGACAAAATCTTCTTTCTTCCAGTCTAAACGCATAACCTCGTGTCCTATGTAAAGTCTGATTTGTGAATAGATTTCCACACAATGGTTTGTATTGGCCCTGAATATATTTGTAGAATGTTATCATATCCCCTCTCAGGCAACGTTTTTCTAAACTAAATAGTTTGTTAACCTTTCTTCATAGCTGATATGTTCCATTCATTTTATTAATTTTGTAGCCCTCCTCTGCACTTTTTCTAGTGCCATAATATCCTTCTTTAGAACAGGTGCCCAAAATTGCACAGCATATTCAATATGGGGTCTTACCAGTGATTTATAAAGAGGCAAAATTATATTCTTGTCCCGAGAATGAATGCCCTTTTTCATGCATGACAATACCTTACTGGCCTTGGCCACTGCTGATTGACATTGCACATTGTTGCATAGTTTGTCTATAACAATTCCCAAGTCCTTTTCGTGTGTTGTTATCCTTAATTCGCTTCCATTAAGGGTATACGTTGCTTGTGTATTCTTTACGCCGAAGTGCATAACTTTGCATTTTTCAACATTAAATTTAATCTGCCATTTGAGTGCCTAGTCCCCCAGTCTATCTAAATCCCTCTGCAGCAAAGTAATATCTTGCTCACATTGTATTATTTTAGAGTTTTGTGTCATCTGCAAATACTGAAACATGACTTTCAATGCTTTCTTCAAGATCATTTATAAACATGTTAAATAGAAGGGGTCCCAGAACAGACCCCTGAAGGACGTCACTTGCCACCTCTGTCCAGCTTGCAAATTTACCATTAATGACAACTCTTTGTACTCTGTTTTTAAGCCAATGTTCTACCCAAGAAAAAGCATTTTCATCTAGACCGATTTCCTTGAGTTTGAACACTAATCTATTGTGTGGAACTGTATCAAATGCCTTGGCAAAATCCAAATAGATCACATCCACTGCAGCACCCTGATCTATACTTTTACTTACTTCGTAGAACGCAATCAAGTTAGTTTGACATGACCTGTGCTTCATTAAACCATGCTGATTTTTGCTGATAACTATGTTCTTCTCAAGGAATTCTTGAATATTATCCCTTAATAACCTTTCAAATATTTTACCAGCCACAGAAGTTAAGCTCACAGGTCTATAATTTCCAGGCAAGGATTTTGAACCCTTTTTGAATATAGGAACCATATCTGCCTTCCTCCAATCCTCCGGAACACTTCCTGAAAGAAAAGAATCTTGAAAGATTAAAAACAGAGGTTCACTTATTTCTACACTTAGTTCCTTAAGTACTTGTGGATGGATACCGTCAGGCCCTGGAGCTTTGTTTATATTAACTTTCTTTAGTTGCTGCAGCACCTTGTCTTGAGTTAACCAATTACAATTATTCTGCAAATTTTTAGTAGCAATAATTTGCACATCTATTGCCATGGGTTCTTCCTTAATATATACGGAGGAGAAATAGTTATTTAAAATTCCTGCCTTTTCCTGGTCTTCATTAACTAACACCCCGTTTCAGTTTTTAGTGTACCTACACTTTCATTTTTGTTTTTTTTAGAATTTATGTACTTAAAAAATGCTTTGGGGTTGGTTTTGCTCTCTTTAGCTATCATTTTTTCATTTTGAAGTTTAGCAAATCTAATCGCCTTTTTGCACGCATTATTGGCTTCCTTATATATTTTATAAGATGCATCTGATTTGTCTGATTTTAAATGCCCTTTCCTTTTTTTTATTTTTTTGCCTCTGTAGTCCAAGTGATGTTTGTCGTGTGACCATTTTTTTGAAAACATTTTTTTATTTTTTAACCCTGCTTGTGCGTTCAGTTCCATTGTCCATATGCCCCATTCTCCTGGTACTGCTCCCACACTCTGCCAAATTTTTTTAGTGGTGTGCCTGACCAGGGAGGTCAACCTGTCCATAAGGTAGTTGTCTCTTAATTTCGCTAAGGCCAGTGTGGTGGGAGCCAGTTTTGTGCCAGTGCCCTACGAGCCGCCAAGTAAATCATGTTTAATAGTTGTTGCTCCGGGCGTGTAAGGCCATCTGTGGGCCTGGAGAGGAGGCAGGCCTATGGGTCTAATTGTAATGGTCTGTGCATTATGTTTGATGATTTTGGACCAATAGGCCGGTACTGAAGGGCATGTCCACCACATATGCACATAAGTGCCTTGTTCCCCGCAACCGTGCCAGCATAAGTCTGTTGTGGTGTTCTGCATACGTAATTGCTTTACTGGGGTGGTGTACCACCTGAGGAGCATTTTAAATGACTGCTCCTGGATGGTGACACATAGGTGATCGGGCTGTAGCTTCCCAAATGTCCTGCTAATCAGAGCCCTCTAGTGTTTCCCCCAGGTCCGCCTCCCACTGGTCCGTGTATCGGAGCTCTCCCCTTTCTTTGGCTTCCCCGCTAAGGTGAGAGTATAATAGGGAGAAAAGTCCCTTGGGGTGTTTTTCCTGATAGCAAATATTTTCAAACCAGGTGAGAGGGAGAGTGGCAGTCTCCCTGACTTCTTTGGAGCTAGCAAAGTCACGTGTCTGGATGTAGCGAAAGAAGTCTCTGGTTGTTAGGGGGTATTGTTCCTTAAGGTGATCGTATGTGATTATTTGGTTATTTTTGTACAGGTGGCAATACCTCTAGAGACCCGCTCTCTCCAGCCCGGCAAAGTCACCTGCTTTCATTCCTGGCGGGAAGGATCGGTTTCTAAGTATGGGGGACATTGGGGAGGGGAGCCTGCTTATTATTTGGTTGCTACCTGATCCCATATTCTTAAGGAGTTCATTATAGCCGGGCAGGCTATCCTTGGGAGTGCTCTATGTGTTTTATGTAACCAGGGATAGAACTGTGCCCCATTAGTGAGGATTCAAGCTCCACCCATCTTCGGGTGTCTGGCGCAGAGTGCCAATATGCAATTTGTGCTGCCAGGTAGTATAAGTACATGTTCGGTAGCCCTAGTCCCCCCTGTCTTTGGATCGATACAGTAGTTTCCTAGCTATTCTGGGGTGCCTCTTTTGCCAAATGAACATGTTTATCGCTTTTTGGAGCGTGGATAGGTCGCTCCTCTTAATTTGTGTGGGTAGGGCCTGGAACATAAACAGCAATCTGAGGAGGATGTTCATTTTAACCAAATGGAGTCTACCTAGCCATGAAATAGATTTGTCTGTCCATTGCTCCAGGTCCCTCAGGAGCGTGCGAATTAGTGTGGAGTAATTGGTCTTATGTAAGTGTTCTTGCTGTGAGTTTGACCCCTAGATATGGTATGTTGTCTGTAGTGGTTGGCAAGTGGTGACTGGCATATATTAATGCCTTGTCTTGGGCCAGAAGGTGAAATGGCAGTGCCATGGACTTAGTGACGTTAACTCTGTAGCCTGACAGGGCTCTCTATGTGTCTAAGAGGTGTTTCAAGTGGTCCATAGAGGTCAGTCGGTCCGTGAAAGTCAGTAACACGTCGTCAGCATATGCTGATACTTTCAAAGTTTTTCTTGCTACTGTAATTCCCTGTATGTGTGGGTGTTGGCGTATGGCTTGTAGTAGTGGTTCTAGGGAGATGGCAAATAGCAGCGGAGACAATGGACAACTGGCGTTTTCCGTTGTATGGGAGGAAAGGGTTCTTTCGGGTTCCTGCAATTAGTCTGGGCTTGTAGGTTAGTGTACAGGGCTTGTGTGGCCTGGATGTAAGCTTCTGGGAAGCCCCACTCTTCCATGAGGTCAAATAAGTAGGGCCACTGCACCCTATCAAAGGCCTTCTGCACGTCAAGGGAGATGGCCAATGAGGGCACCTCTGATTTCTGCATGTACCATGTTAACACCGCCCCTCTATGCGTATTTTCGTAGAGTTGTCTGCCAGGTATGAATCCCACCTGGCCAGGGTGTATTAGCCGTGTGAGCATTGGCTGCCAGAATCTTTGCGTATATTTTGAGAGCAGAATTAATCAGGGAAATGGGTCTGTAGTTTCCCGCTAGTTTGGTGTCTTTCCCCGGTTTCGGGATGAGCATGATATTTGCCAGTGCCATGTCTGTGTCTGGCAAGCCACCTGCCATAAAGTAGTTATATAGGGAGGTGAGGTGGGGGGCTAATTTCTTGAAATTCCCTATTTTGTAACCGTCAGAGCCTTGCGCGTTGTTCCCTTTCAAGGCCGCTATGGCTGTTTCCACTTCTATTTGGGTGATTGGTTCTTGTAAGAGTGTGCTGTCTTCCTCTGTGATCTCGGGGAGTGTTATATTGGCCATGAAGGCACATTCTGAGGTGTGTATCTGTTCTGGCATGCACTGTGGATGTT